AGTGCAGATATTGCGATCGAAAGACCAGCGCCAAGTTACCCAGTTGCAAAAAAGAGCGAAGGGAAGATACTCCGTCCTCAATATAAAGAAATACTCCGGGATCCGGCAAATTCTCTACATCTAATAGATCACCCTCCAGTACCACCTAATGCCACATCGAAAGAAGTAGAAGCATACGGAGCACGGATAACGCGAATAAATAAATTCAAAAAGATATTACAAGCTACCTCGATACCTTTGACGGAACTCAGAGATGCTTCTTGGAATGGAATACCAGAAGAAGTTCGTGCTATGTCATGGCAACTCCTACTTGGTTATCTCCCAACTAGCAGCGAAAGGCGCGTAGGCACACTGGAACGTAAACGGAAGGAATATCTTGATGGGGTACGACAAGCTTTCGAAAAGGGCGGCACTAGTTCTGCTCCCACTGGCAAAGCCAGAGGACTTGATGAAGCAATTTGGCACCAGATCAGCATCGACGTTCCAAGAACTAATCCTCACTTAGAGCTTTACAGTTATGAAGCTACACAACGATCTTTAGAAAGGATACTATATGTTTGGGCAATTCGCCATCCTGCAAGTGGTTATGTTCAAGGCATTAATGACCTTGTCACGCCATTCTGGCAGGTTTTCCTCGCTACCTATATCACAGATTCAGATGTAGAAAGTGGTATGGACCCAGGGCAGCTCCCAAAACCAGTGTTAGATGCAGTTGAAGCAGATTCATTTTGGTGTTTAACGAAACTTTTGGATGGCATTCAGGATAACTATATTTTTGCGCAGCCAGGGATTCAACGTCAAGTAGCGTCACTTCGGGATCTAACCGCAAGGATCGATGAACCTTTGGCCAAGCATCTCCAAGCAGAGGGCGTTGAATTTATACAATTTAGTTTCCGATGGATGAACTGTCTTTTGATGCGGGAGATTAGTGTTCAGAATACCATTAGAATGTGGGACACTTACTTGGTTAGTAACAGATGCCCCCTTTCTTTCCCGCTGCTAACACAAAATATTAGGCCGAAGAGCAAGGATTTTCAGAGTTTCACTTATATGTGTGCCTCGCGTTTCTTGTAAAATGGTCCTCTAAATTACTAAAGATGGACTTTCAAGAAATCATGATGTTCCTTCAGGCGCTACCAACACGCAACTGGACAGAGACTGATATCAACATGCTTCTCGGAGAAGCATTCGTATGGCAATCCCTTTTCAAGGGCTCTTCATCACATTTACGTGGCAGCAGTAGTACTACACCATCGAGTGCCCCTTATTGAATAAGTTGTGGGTAGAAGCATAATACCAAATATCCATACTATCCAATATTGTGAACGAATGAGTGGGATTCAGGTTATAGGTTATGGCGTTATCGGCGAATGGGACATGAGTGACTCATAAGTCAAATGTATATAACGACAGAGTCACAAAGATGTGTGGATTGGCAGAGAAATAATCATGCGTACTGAGCTTTTGATATCACGGGATTTAAGACTAGGAATCGGATTTGGCCAAGTCGTTCATCTTTTGGAGGGAAATCTTGAATTTCAACTTCCGTCGTCCAAGCTGCTGGGGTTGCATTTATATGCACTCCTCAAACTAGGCAGGATAATAAAAGACAGAGTTCTAAGAAGAGTGTGTCTTGATTCATGTCCGCGTGTTATGTTGCCTTAATCATGTGAATTAGATAATAATGCTGTGGATGATATAGTAGGATACTTAATCACATCTCGTAACTATGATATAGGACTGTAACCATGTGTTGATAACAGTTATTATACTTGAGGATATCCCCAGCGGAAAATTGAGAGTTCATCTTCGGTATCTCTGAATTCATCTTGCGCAAAATGTAACTTGGCTGATCATTGCATTATTGTTTGAATACTAAAAAGATTCGATATTATATTCTACCGAGAGTTGTGTCTAGCAACAAGTCCCCGTTACCATTTGTTGACGTATTTACGTCGATTAAATATTGTACATGATTCTATAATGCTGCTCATTGACTCCCATCTCTTTCGTATTCAACTCCCAACGCCTAACTCTGGACAGTGTAAAAAATGGAAATTTTCAACTCTGAGTTCGCCTTTCGGACAAGAGCTACATTCAAGAAGATATACAAAAACAATTCGTGGAGGAAAATACAGTATTGGTATTTTAAATTCAAATCCCGTTGAACCCAATCATTTTTTCCATCAGGACCCTAAAATCCCACCTCCCTAACCTTCCCAGCCCGTCCCCAAACATCATACTCTATCCACCTCGCTACGCCTCTTCTTCCCTTTGCTACAACCCCCGCTGGATTCATAATATGACACCCCTCGTACGTCAAGCAAAATGCTGGACTATCTACATCACACAAAACAATTGCTGTAGGTAAAGGATAGATACTCAACGCATTGGAGAAATCCCAATGTTGGGGTGCGATATTGAGAGGAAAGGGTGAAAGATGTCCCTGATCGAGGAGTGTCCTGGTAAGACGACGCGCGGTATGGATATCGGGATCGATTTCTGGAGGAGGTGTGGAAGAGGGAATTGAGGAGGGAGGTGGCGACATATCTACATCTTCATCTTCGTCGTTTTCAGGGTTTGACTTTTGAGATGATTTGAGAGTAACGGCTGTACGACGCAATCGTCCACTGACGTCGTCGCGGAATACTACCAGTTCGCAACTCATGCCAAATAAGCTGACTCTTGCTGGATTGCTCGTCCAAATGGCTTCTCCATCTCCTTTCTTCCCGTTTTCTTTTTCCATTTCAGTGTTTGCGTTTGCAAAGGCACGTTTTATGCGGGAAGTGAACATTTCCGGAACAGGTTTTCTGGGCAGAGGAACTGTAGACCCGGATGAGAATGCTGAAACCCATGCGTCGTTGGGGCCAGGGATAAAGATAAATGTAGCTGTACTTAGGAGGGTAGGGTATTCAGAGAGAACAGCTGCGAGGGAATCGAAGTATTCTTTGTATTCAATAGAGCCACCCGATCCGCCCCGAGCGAGTACGGCATGGGAGACGAAAGAGCCGAGTAGGATGAAGGTCATAGGTGTGCAGCCTTCTGGTTCAGATGAATACAGAGAGAGAATTTTTTTGAGGGCTTGAAGAGTTTGAGGGACGTCGAGATGTACATCACCAAGAATGACTACCCGGCCTCTAGATGGAGGCAGGGGATCATCCGCATCTGTATCAGGGGGGGTGGCCGGAGAAGCTTCTGTTCCAGTCGTTGCATTTTGGTGCCTAGGGCACGAGAACTACCCACACCTAGAAAATCTACCCAGCCGAAACCACCGCCGGCTGTGGTATCTCCCTCACCGGCAGTACCTAGAGTCACATGACGGCGCTCGGGAGGAGGGTGGCCGATGAAGAAGCCAACGAATTTTCCAGAAATAGTACCTCCTACGCCCCCATTTCCACCAAGACGAGATGATGTCCCAGTTTCGTCTTCCTCGTATGTGCCGTCTACGAGTACCATCATTCCAGGGGCAAACCAGGCGCTATCTTCGGGGATGGCTGTTGCGTGTGTAAGATCGAGAGCGATGCTGCCCGTCAGGTCATTAATAGCTAGGGTACCAGTGGGCGAAATGCTGAGGAGACCAAGAAGCATATGGGTGCTGCGATTGCGGCCCAGAAGATTAGCTATCGGCGTTAATTTGTATGATTGTTGTTGGGTGGTAATGGCGGATGTGCTACGTTGAAGAGAAGCTTTGCCACCTTGAAAAGCGGGCGTTTGGAAAGATTCATTGCGAAGTAGACGTTGATGTATAACGTTATAGCGATTTTGGAAGAGGAGTGTTTTATGGGACGCTGGTGGGAATAATGAAGGTTTGGAGGTATCTCTATACTGCATTAGTCGATTCAGATGAAAGTTTATCATTGAAACATACCTATCAAAGTGCTTTTTAGCAACATTATACACCAGTCGAGGTTGCTCAAAAGCATCAATGACCTTTAACCACTTCCTTGGATCCATCAGGCCATCCTCATCTTCCTCGTCATTAACCTCCAATGTTGACAATCCCAAGCTTGACTGACTATCCTCTCTAGGAATATTCCCTGGCCGTAGTCCAAGTCTGGTATGATTGACCTCTCCATACTGTGATGATCCCAATACCAAACTGTTCTGCCGGCTTAATTCCCTTCCTACGACTATCCTCCCACCACTCATATTTCCTTCCAAAGCTTTCAGGATTTCCTTCAATTCCGTCCCCTCTCCCTCGACAATAACACCGCCACTCCTATTTTTCCAACTCTTCGCAACCTCCTCTAAAACTCTTTCTGCCAGTCCTTCTTCCCTCCATCCTGTCCCACAATGCTTTCCAATAAAAGTGGCTAACACCTGTAATGCCGACGACGTCAATGTTAAACTATGCTTCTTTGTGAAAGTGCGAAAAGCCAATGGTCTTAAAGTCGCAGGTGGAAGGAGAATTGGCAGGATACTCGCTTTTGGTATAGGAGCTGCGGTAGGATTGAAGGGTCTTATAGGATGAACTGGAGTTGCAAATGCAGGCGATGATGAGGGGATGGGATTCGAATTTGTGGCGGGGGTAGCGGGAGGTCTGAAGAGCGGAGGGGCTTTTGATTTCGTTGTAGGATTTAGGCGAGCCATATTTTCAATTAAGTTTCCAAGCTTCCCTATAGATTGTCGTTTGAATCGTTTTCAATCATGCATTTCGTAAATTCATATATGCTTCATACATTTGTTCAATATTTTGATCAAGGCTTGTGAGACGCGTTATTGACGCGTAAAAGTTAAAGTGCTTTCGAGTTTCGCGTAAAGCTCAGCTAATCCCTGCAAATCTAGTCCTTCAGTAACTTACGACTCTGAGCTTCAAAAACAAGTTATTGTCTTATTCACTTATCGTAGATTCATTTCTATATCACTTCCTAACTCCACCATTTATCAATTGTTAATGTTCTACAGTTACAATTGAACAACAAGATCGACCCTTCCCAAAGCTCTGCCAATTACCTCATTCGCAGACCTTGAATTCCCACTTGCTCACTCATAAAGCTATAATGGCGGAACCAATCGAACCACCCATCACCTTATCCACGCAAGCATCCGCAGATTTGGAAGCGTACAATTCTGCCAAAGTATCGCTCGCCGAATATTGTGCAAAAGGAACCGCTGAATATGCACAAAAGCGTTACGACGATGCCGTAGATCACTATGCGCAAGCCGCCGAATTGCAGGCTGAAATCAACGGAGAAATGTCCCCAGAGAATGCAGAGATTCTGTTCTTGTATGGAAGAGCCCTTTTCAAGGTTGCGCAGCAACAAAGTGATGTATTAGGTGGTAGAGCTGGAGGTGAGAAACAAAAGCCTAAGAAGAAGAATGGCGCAAAGAAAGTAGATGTCATTGCAGAAGAGGATGAGACCGTTAAGACGGAAGATGAGAAAAAGGATGAGGTTGGAAAGACAGAAGCAGAAGGGAAGGCAGACAAAGTAGCCGAGGAAGAGGTTGCGATAATTGCAAATGGAGGCGCTACCAAGAAAGAGGAGAGCTCTAGCACAAATCCAAACAAGCCTCTATTTACATTCACGGGAGACGAGAATTTTGAAGATTCAGATGAGGAGGAAGAGGAAGCAGAGGAAGAAGATGAAGAGGATGATCCCCTCAATATTGCTTTCGACATCCTGGATTTGACCCGTGTATTATTCGAGAAGAGGTTGCAGGCGGATGAGGGAGAGGGCAAGGGAAAAGAAACTGGTGATAATCCTATGACTACCCATATCAAAGAGAGGCTTGCGGATACACGTGATCTTTTGGGAGAGATCTCTCTTGAGAATGAAAGGTGCATGAGGTCCATGATATGAAATTTACATCAATTGCTAACGTTTACACAGATTTCCAGCTGCAGTAGCAGATTTCAAGGAATCCCTCGCCTTGAAACAAAGTCTTTTCCCAGAAGAAGATGAACAAATTGCCGAAGCGCATTATAAATTATCCCTCGCTCTCGAATTTGCATCAATTACACAAACTGAAACCGACGATAAGAAGCCCAACGCAGGAGCCGAAAATGTTGACGAGGAAATGAGAGCAGAAGCTGTCAAGGAATTGGAACTAGCAATTAAGAGTACAAAACTCAAGCTACACAACCAAGAAGTTGAATTGGCAGAGTCGGCCGTATCAGAAGATAATGATGTTACAAGACACAGAATCGCCGATGTTAAAAGTATCGTTGCGGATATGGAGCTTCGTGTACGTTATCCCCTCCCTTCCCACATCATTTCTACCGGACTTCCACATCGCGCGCAATATACTAACACCCTTATCACACAGCTCAAAGAACTCCGCGCTCCACCTGTGGACATCAATCAGGCTTTGGCTTCAGCCCTCGCTCCAGCTGGCGCAACCCAATCCAATGCTATGAGTGGCATTCTAGGAAGCGTCCTCGGAGAATCTGCATCTGATACCGCTGCACGTGTTGAAGAAGCCAAAAAGACAGCTACGGATCTAACAGGTTTAGTTAGACATAAGAAAAAGGAAACTAAGGATTTACCAATACAATCAGGTTCAAAGAGAAAGGCAGAAGAAGACCCAGAAGTTGAAGGCGAAAGTAGTGATGGAGGAAAAGAGAAGAAGGCTAAGGTCGCTAGTGTGGAGGAAACTGCTGAGAAGACTGCTTAGTTGTTTTTTCGAGCGAGTCCAGGTGGGGATGAAAACCAAAGGGATATTTTAACGAAAGGGGAACATTTGAATCCAACAGTGGAAGCAAGACGAGTTTGTAATAAAATGACTGGTGCTAGGCTGGCGTCTATATGAAATCACATAGGATACTATGGATTATTTTCAGTGATCATTTCGATCCACTGTATGTACGATGAATGATGAATATGCTTTCAATTACAATACATAAATGAAGTCGGGAACCTGAATTGCAATTCCAATCCTTTGTCTTTTTGAACAAAGAGCGAGAGAAAATGATACTGTAGAGGTTGTGAATGAGATATTGAAGGGGGTTCAAATTGCTGCATCTAATAGAAGTTGATAGATTATCACTCCCGGTGAGCTCCTACGTGAAGCTCAACGGGAACAAACCAGCAATGGACATTGAAAAGAGCACACGAATCTCTCTATTGAACTTTATTATCAACAGCCGCCACATTCAAATCCAACTACGTGTCAAAGAATATGTTTCTTCCCTATCTCACAGTCCCAAGCAACGAAATCAAGAATAGGGCTGGGATTTATATGCATTGTAGCTATTCACATACCTATTAAGAGGGCCTAAGATTCATCATACTCGAATTTGTTTTTTCCCCCCAATCCTTCGTATTTTCATTCCATCCATCCATCCGCTCCATCCCGTCCCATTCATTCCTAGCCGTTGAGGTCCCCTGAAAATTAATCGCCAAACTCCATGCTACAGTCAATATTACCATGTAACAACCTAGGAGACAACAACGATAATACTACTACCCAATGCTGAGCTTCATCTACTCGATTGTATCTAAGGAAAGCTCATCCTTTCATCTCTTCTCGCATCTCATCTGTCTCCAGAACTTATGTCCGAAGATTACTGTCTCTCATTAATCACTTTCACCTCTACCTCAACTCTAATACCCCCTCATCCAACACTCCAAACAACACCTCCACTTCCCTCTGCACCTTTCCGATTTCCTCTGCCAATTGTCCCGTTACCAAAATGAAAGCATACAAGATTTCATAATCCTCATCTTTCACTGTGATTCCCTGGCTTGACCTTCTCTGCACCCCAGTCCCTTGCAACTCCAATCCGCCAGAGTTTGACAATCCATCATCCTCATCATTTAGTTGCGCAGATTCGTCCTCATTACTGCGACGATTACTAATCGACATATTTTTTCTGTACTGGAAAATCTTCGCCAAGAGGCGATCGCGGGAATGAGCCGTGCTGGGAAGACCGTCTGTTAGGAGAGGGTACTCGAGTTTCATCGAGGAAGCCATGACTATTAATTATTAGTATCTTAACCATTTGTGACTATGGATTGGCGAAAAGTACAAACCTTGAAACAAATGGCTAATCCTCGCACAAAGCTGCGCTCTTTCGTCTTCTGTGAATTTTAATAATAAGGCTTCACCCTCACTAGCTTCAGCATTCTTTTGGATAACTACATTCATGGCATGAAAAGCATCCAGCATTTTAGTCGTAGCTTCGACGATCCGCCCATAGGTAGCAGATGGGAATGGGCCTCGAAGTTCGAATTCGCTTGTGGCCGAGCTTCGAAGTTTGTCAAGTACAAATATATACCTTTGAAATTCGAATTCTTCTCTCAAGTTCATGTACGCATATTGAGACTCGCCTTCTACAATTGTTGATAGGGGATCTCTTTTCCAGACAAGACCCATTCGTAACCACAGAAGTGACAAACCTTCTTTGAATTTTTGTCTTGCTGAAATCGGCCATACAACTCTTGTGATGATCAAGCCCCAAATACAACCTGCAAGAACCGCAACAACTCTGTGAAATGCGATTTCGGTGATGATTGGTCTGACACCACCTTCGTCGTCATCGTGATCGGAGTCCTTAACTGACAAAGAATACGCGTACAAACAAGAAAGATTGTAGGTAAGCATAATAAAGCGACCAAAGGGGCCATTGCCTTTTGCAATAATAATATAGAAACACGGCAAGCTGACAAGCCATCCGCAGAAAGCTAGTGCGTAAGGATTACCGGCACAGATGACCCAAACCACACATGCGATCACGGCGCCGATGAAGGTACCAATAAAACGAGCCCAGCCAGTGGTGTTAGATGCTCCAATTGTCATACTGCACACTAACATATAAGACAAAAGTCCCCATTCTCCTCGGTAATGCTGATATGTTGGTCTTGTGCCAGGTATGAAAGCAAATAGAGCATACAGAGCAGCTCCGAGGCCAACTTTGACGGCAAATCGAACTAGAAATCTGTAAGAGGGGGGGATAGCAGGCTTACTTTGGATGTCACTCACTATCATCACGATCCAGAAATCGTACCATGCACATTGCCTTCCGACGTATTACACCTCCCTTAGTCTCTGAGTTGACTCTAGAAGTGATTTCGACTTTTCTATATCCTAGCCTGGTACGTAAGGGATCAGGAATATCTTTGGGCAATTCAGTGCCTACATCCCTCGCAATAAGTTGTTCCTGCTCTTCATCGTCGATAGCATCTGCTCTGGATTGACGATTAGACTTTCGCCAAAACATGAGCCATTTCCACGAACGATGTTTCGAACGCTCTACTTCTTCTTTCAATTCTTCTAGGATTGCCAAATAATTTTGCATCTCACTTGCAAAATCTTGTAGATTGAAACTAAAATGACCGCAACTTGCAGCCACTTCTTCGAAATCAGCTTCAATACTTTCGGGTCGGGTTCTATCAAGTTCTTTAGATTTATAAAGTTCCTTCAGTGCTTGAGCTCTTGCGTTACTGTAGAGTTTTCTACAAATACGTTGTTAGTTTCTAGGCTTGTAAAGGTAAGTCAGCTATCCTTACAATGCTTCTGTCAGACTTGATCGGAAATGTTCATTTATAGTAATGCGATATTCGGGCCCTTGTGCAAATGGTAGCTCTTCTAGGATTTGCGAGAGTGTATATGCGAGCGACTTCATTGACGGGCCAAGATGAAGAATAAATCGTCCAAAAATTTCCGATGGAGATCGGACCGTAGGCATAACTATACTCGATAAAGTGGTTTCGGTCCCTTGGCGAGTGAGAAACTTAGGTCTCTCTGAAATGGCATCGAGATCGCTGCCCTCCTCGGATGCTTCCTCAATGGCCCCAAGAACTGCAAAACGATCTGATTTGCTGCTAATGGGTCGGCTGAGGGGATTTGTTTGGGACGGCGGGAAGCCATGTGAGCCCGTTGGTGTTGCGCTGCCTAATGGAGGTTCCTGAAGCAACGAAAATTGTGTCAATGCAGCACTCCGTAATCCTCCAATGGATTGGGCAAGTGTTTGCATGCAACCAACAAGCCTCGCTTCAATTGCGTATTCGTTTTCAGTGCCTAGGATGTAATGTTCCAGTTTCGCCTCCTTTAAATTCTTTGTGAGCTGAGTGAAGACCGATTTGTATTGCTTTTGAGCTCGATCAAAGGAAGTCGAGCGCAAATCAGTCTCTGAACCACTAAGGAATCCTCGAGTAATCATAGTAAGCATATCCCCAAATGAGTCTGTGGTCTTGATCATGCTTTCTCGAAGCTCTGCTCGCGCGGATATTGGCCATACCTTTTAGAAATGAGTGACAGGCCTTGGCAGTTGTAAGGAAGAGAATTACTAACCAATAAACTGACGATTGATGTTGAAACCATCCCCATAATAACCATTTTCATGACCTGTACAATTTTATCATTCGAAAAAACTCCCACTTGCACCGCATTCTCTTTTGTGAGAACTGTAATGATCGCCAAACTTGCCAGACTACAAGCAACACTAACCAATGGAGCATTGTAGGCCTGCTTGAACCAGCCGATAAATCCTAGGCCTCCTCCACAAAACACTATGAGAATAAGGGTATAACCAAGTTCTATGAGGCCCAATTGAGTTTCGCAGTACACCGAGACCGCCATGCTCGACACTGATATGAAGACCGCGTATAGGAATGCCGATATACCAAGTATTGCGGCTTCAATCATGGAACCCGATGATCTGGCAGGGTGAAAATACACCGTGATCGTAGCAACCATATGCTTTCCATCTTGTTGCCCTAAAAAGTTGGCCAAGTGCGGTGAGAAAGTCGCGAGACTCCCGAGTGTGTATGCTAACGAGCATTTCAGAATTCCCTTTCCAGTAGGTGTTTTCATCCATTGTGCAAATTCCTTCGAAGATTTAACACAATTTTTCCAACCTCTTTGGAATCTGTTTGTGTCTTCTCCCGTCAAATTTAGACCCAAACCCAAACCTTCTTCATGTGGATGTGATCGCGCCAGTCCGTCGAATCCGGAAGGACTTCGTAGTGTAATTTGTCTGCGAACTCTTTCTCCTGTACTAGGTAATACGAATGTTCCATTTCGTAACTTCTATTGCGGTGTGACACAAGATTAGTTCTCAGCCTGCTCTCTTGCGCGAAATCCTATAGCAACATACCCCTCGCTTTGCTCCATTCTTTCCAAACCTTCTATCTCGTTGAGCGTCTCTGTTTACGGGCGACGCGCTGGAACCTTCTGAAGCCGATGGCGAGGAACTCATGATAGCTATTCCCGTTCTTTCATAGCTTGTTGTTGTTATTACAAAAACAATCGGATTTCCTTGAAGTTGGAGTTGGTGATCTGAGATTATCGGTGGCGCAGGTTGCAGCACTAAAATATAGCTACCCCGGATTCTTTGTTAGGCGCTAAGTGGACCCATCGACAAGCAATGTCAGTAACGTTCAGCGCACCATCCTTCCAATGAATTTAGAAGACAAGAAATGAATTGTTATGAGTGCCCAACAATAAAGGCAATGACAAGGGCAACGACAAGGGCAAGGAAAGGAAAAGGTGAAAGGAAAGGAAGAGAAGGGAAATGTTCTATCATTTGTTATCGACAAGATAATTGAATGTTCCCAGCTCAACATGGATACGAATCTGGTGCTTTCTATCACCGCTGTAGATTTCCAAGCTATCCCAAACGGTATATCGCGACATATATCTTACCCGATCATCAAGTCGTGTGTTGATCAGCCGGGATATAGTGTGATGCCATTTCAAGATTCGGATATCATTACCACTCAATGCTACTATACGGTTATACCGCTCAGCCTACGCTGCACACGTGGTTGGTTTAGTTGAGCTTCCGATCGACATAGGTCTCACCTGATAGACTCTCATATGCATGCCATGGCCCCTACAAATTCAGCTCGACGATATCAATTTGTTCAATGTTCAATGATTGATGGTTGGACGGATTGTTCATACTAGGTATGTGACTATGTTGCACTTGAAGAACTTCTTTCTCAGCAGTCAACAGTAGTATCTCGGGAAGTTCGAGAGGTACATCAGTGTTAAGGATACATTCTCTTCCAATTTTCACAATTGCTAGTGGACCCGAATTCCTGATGCAGCACGTCTAGGAATCTCATGTTGATTACTTTCTCTATCATACAATTCGTTGATGCAAATCTAGAGGCAGAGTGCTTTCCTTGCCTGTATACTTTTCTTCTAATTTCACATGGTTGTGGGTCTGTTAATTCTATTCCCTCAGGTTGATTTGTAGAAGTTTTGCTACAATGTAAATGGGCCATGTTAAGGTCTCAAAAACATAGATTTAATACATTCTCATTGCTGCCTCTTGTCAGATTACCTCAATTGTGTTACCCAGTATACTTTGATAGAAATTTATTTCCTGTAGGCCATTGGTTTTCTCAGAAATTGGATATCTCGTGGTTTAGTAAATGTTCAAGTTGTGCACTTTTTGTATGGCGGCAGGGCAAACAATGTATTGCTTGCATTTGATAATTGAAGAAGTAGTTGGTTAAGAGTATCGTCCACAGCTAGAAATTTATGTTGTCCGTGAAGCCGCCCAGTCTATCGCGATGATCAACATGTATGTTGGGTGAAAAAAAGGGCTCTGAAGCTGATAGATAGGTTTCGTTTGTATATCTTCCCTACTTCCACCAAGAGACGACTCTTGTATTTACTTCCTATAGCGCACACAACCTCATCGCATTAATTCCCAGTCCACGAACTCCACTAGGCTCATAAGATAATTCTCTAGGAGATTTATCTGGCCACTTAAGTCAAGCGTTTAGAGCTCTAATTATCACAATTTCTAATTATGAGAGAACGATCAGATGCTACCTATCATCCTGCTACTTTCCAAGCTCCGAATCTGAAAGATAAAAAAGCTTTTTCCTTTCCGTTGAACTATACGGGTGAGCCAGCACCTCTTATTAAAGAGGCAAGAGAAAAGCAGAGACCTGAAGATGCAAGTGGTCGTAAAGATAATGCAAACAAGAAGAAATTTCCAAAACAAGTAATGCGGATGCTCGTGGCAGCTCTCGGGATGAAGATGGAATTGATCGTATGGATCATGTAGCATACAACAAGAAAGCTCCAAAGACTAGTGACGCGCATGCTCATAGAAGCTCTCGGAATGGTGGTGCCAGTACCACAAATCATCCGGCGAAAGATACTAAAGAGAAGACTGACAAGAAGGGACGCGATTCAGCAGGGAAGAAAAAATGCTCTCGATTTGGAGGTGCTCTTTCTAATTTGAGGTCAAAGGTGATGAGAGGGTGAGAAAGAAGCTTTGGTTCTGGGCTGGGCATAATAATCATTTTTTAGCGTTTGTTGAGTTGCTTTGGACATAGTCGCTGTATTGTCACATACGGGTTAATTGAAAGGATCAGTGATTATGATAGAAATAAGAGGCCATTGAACTGTTCTAGTTGCAGATCATTCTATCTTTGATTGCTTTTTGTTATTGCAAAAATTGACGACAGCACATGCATAGTTATCTCCATTCATAGATTTCTCATCTCTCTAAAGACTCATAGAAATTCGAGGAACGGGGAGGTAGTGTGCACAATGGAGGAAACGAGGTGGAAATTGAGAAGAATGGTGATTTTCAGTACCGTGCGAAGATTATTGCAGAAGTTGGCTCAAGTTCGGGGAGATTTTCTGCTCGCGTAGATTGATAGAAACTGCCTACGTATTTGATTAGACTTTCGAAATCCAGTGACTCTCTATTTCCATTAGGAACATTTGCAATCTTTAAGTAATTTTGCGGATTTATTATTAAGGAGATGAAAAGTAAAAGTTCTCTAGTACCAAGTTGCTGACCCAAAAGCCTTCGAAATATCAGGACATGGTATTTCTAGTCCTTCCCAAAGTTTCAAAGTGAAATTCTCTTGATCATTCTTTTCTACTAATGACATTTTTGAAAATAGCATGTTTTTCTGCGGTTTCCAATTCATGAAGTTTCTTGGGAGTGATGTTGTTAGAAAATATATTCGAATATTTTCGAAATTGATTTCTCAGTTCGTTCCTAAATGGATCCTGTTGAATTTTTGATCTGCAAATACTGTTCCTGAAGTTACAGTGCAGCCTTGATCGTTCACTGAGGTCAAATTTATCTGAAGGAGCGACGACCGAATGCAAGCTAATCCTCGGGTATTTATGAGATATCCGCGTTAATGTTACAAAAATGAGATCAGAAAACTTCTATAAAATCCTAAGAGATTCAATTAAACTCAGCTTAAGCAAAAGAACCAGGAATTTTAACAGGAGCGTATTGACAAATTCAAATTCTGTGCATAACTCGTGTATATTATATCAAAACATTTACTACACCACAACCACACACAAATAGTTGCAAAACAAATTACAGAATAAAACAGTATTTAACAAAGACAGAAGCAAGTACGATTCTGAATACATTCTGCCCAGAGACCACGTTAATTGCTGGTAAGCTTACCTAAGCTCGGCATCCAGTCATATTTGATGGATCTATCTGTCTGTTGAGAAACAGTAGAAGAGAGTCCATCGCTCTGAACGTTGTAATATCAGTCATGACAACGACAAACCCTGTAATCAACTTTCGGCAATTGAAAGAACAGTCAATTGCTAAGCAAGTCTTTCGTCAAGATGAATACATACAGGTTCTTCGGCTAGCAGTGTACATGGCAAAAGGCCGCGGCCCTGAACAGCCAGCATACATACATGTTATAGTGAAAAATTCATCCATGCTATACCCGCCACAAGTTGTTTTGTGTTGAATGACATGTACTCGTGCTATTTTCTTAAAATGTGACGTAGGAGTGACCAGGTCTAGGTACGTTGGTGTTGTAATCACTCATCTATAAATCAACAATGCTGGCGGCCCAATCTTTATTTCAGCGTGTTGTAATTTATTCGAAGATAGATTCAACTTTTGAATTAGATATATCCACTTGGGATCTTCTAATTTCCTTTTCAACAAAAACTTCCTGGAATAGTCGAGTCACGTAGCACCGTGTCACCACAATGTTGAAGCCCTCTATGAGCGAGCGTCTGAATTTGAGACTTCCTGACGGTCCTGCAAAACAGAAACTTGAAAAGCAAGCGAAAGAGGAAAGAGCCAGACTGGAACTTGAAAATGAAGCGGCAGAGAAAAGAGCCAAACAGACGAAACGGGACGCAGAGCAGTCAGAAAGATCTGGAAATAGAGGAAGACGTGGAAGGACTTCTCTTCCACCTGGACATTCAAGCGATATCGACAGGGATGAATCCCCCCTAGAGAACATCCCAAAAAAGCTGTACGGCCACCGAGACCAGCGAGAGACTTTCAAGATTTTGCAAAATCCCGGAACGGTGGCAAGGAAATCCCGACAGATCGAGGGCCTCGCGAAACATCCCGGGCACGGAATAATGTTCCCCAAGGACGAGCAGAGAGCAGAAGGCGCACAAATGAGCAGAAAATTCCTCAGCATTCTCGCGAGCAACGTGGGCATAATTCATTGCCAGCAGAGGATGTTTACTCAAAATATTTAGATAGCCAGAGGGCAGAAAAACTTGAACGGGATCGCGAAGAGAAAGAAGATCGTGAAAGACGCAAAAGAGAGATAAGAGAGAGGCAAGAAAGATGGGATGAGCAAGATAGAATAGGAAGAGAAGAAGAAGACAGAATTTACAATCAAAAAAGGGAAGACTCATTAGAGCGCGCTTGGAAGATCAATAACCAAAAGGGCCATGAAAGAATAGCTAAAGAGACAGAAAGAGAGGAATTCACTCGGGGATCCAAGTCAAGAACAGCTACAAAGGAAAAAATAGGCAGAGACGAAGGGGGACGCACAAAGCAAAAAGCGAATGACAATAATGCAGTCAGACAAGAAAAGACGGGGACAACGTATATATACACTAGCCGGGACGAAAGGGCAAGGGATAGGAAGCCCAAAGATAGGAGCAGAAGTAGAGGTCGATACCATAGAGACCATGCGCGCGAAGAACGAGCTCCCCCAGATACAGAGAGAGTGAGAAGTGCAAAGAATACCGTGGGTAAGCCTAAGGATCGGGATCAGAGAGAACGCAGGAGTAGGGATACAGGTGGAGCTGATCAATACGAACGATATGTTCGAAGTGGGGACCCGCTTCTCTCCAATCATAGCCCGGATCCGAGAGCTCATAGGGACAATGAAAGCCGACATGCTCCCCCGTTCACAATGCCAAAGGCCGGCCGTAGTGCACACGGGAGAACTGTGGACAATGATCCAGAGCTTTACGACCCAAGATACGACCCAAGATACGGCATGTACAGTCGTCAATATCCAAACATGACAGGATAAAAAGTTTCAACTAATATTACTTTTTATCACTACAATCGACAGTTTTGATTTAGGGAAGAATGATCGTATGAGAAAAAATCTGAAAATATAAACCCTTGATTAATGATCAAAAATTCAATTCAATCCAAGTAACTTATCTTGTTGTATCTGAGTGTCAACGACTGTAGTCATGGTCATCATGACTCATTGTTCTATCTTATGGCAATAGATTGTAGTCAAGAGTTGTGATTTGTGGGGGTTTCAAATCGTTGAAACGTCACTACCATCGCTAGATGTACTAGAATTATTATTCCCACTTCCATTCGTCTCTGTTCATTGTGTAAAAACGCTACGATTGATTGAGTTTTCTCTCCACCATGAGAGAGATTTTCAGCATATCAAGAGTATAGCATCGACTTCACTATGATATGAATGACATTGCTGGTGAGTACTCTATTGTAGTATTGATTTCCCCCCTATGGCGGTTTTTGAGAGAAAGGCTCAGAGGCAGAAAAGCAAAATCATGTTATCAATAAATAGTTCTATTGCTATATCTAGCTATTCAAAAGTAGCAATCCAACGAAGCTACAGCCTTTTTGATATCAGATTCAGGGAGTGTTCCTTGAAGCACCTCACGAAGGTCTCGAGGACCGTTGTTACAACAATGATTCACAATTGTACCATCATTCATCCGTACATCTACTCCCCCATCTGCCATATTTACCCTCCAATTGCTTTGAACTTCGCGCGCCATCTCTTCTATAGCGACTTCGTTGCCCACCTTCCCAATATCAAAGTGCCTAAACTGGAAGTCGATGTCTTGGTCGTTTGTAAAACATAGTATTGATGATTTTACAAAGCCATCGAAGCATTCAAATATATCGCCCAGACCACTTTCAGAACCAGTATTTAGGTTGTACAGGTGCGGCCTGCAAGCACGCCAAAATCGAAAGATGACAGCAACAATACCTCGGTGACTGGGATGCATGGCTTCAACAGCGTGGCCAAATCTACCATAGTGACTACCAAGGCTGTTGAAGATGTATTGTAGCAAAATTTTCATGTGAACCATGACTTGCCCGACTTGTTGCCCGCTCAGAACGAGGCTTTCAAAAGCTTTCGATACTGCTACCATGTAGACTTCGCATGCGAGCCAGCCAGCTTCATTTTCGAATGCGACTTCCAGTGTGGAGGGTACGACGTCAGTCAGTAAAAATTCCAGCATGTCCCTATGCCGTGCACCCTTCGAAATCCGGCTGATGTAGCTATAAAGTACATCGGTAGCCGACAGCGAACTTCTGAATCCATTCCAAAGATAATATATCAATCCATTCCGCGTTTTTTCCCGTTCCGAAGATAGTTGAAGTGTATATGATGTTAAACCCGCCAAGTAAAGAGTAGGATCCGTCTCTGGAGGCCAGTACGCAGGAGAATGGCGGAAGAAGAATTCCAAGGGGGGACAAATATTGCTGCAATGAGAACGAATCTGCGAGACCACTTCTTGTACAAAGCTCACATACTCTTCGTGAGCAATGGCGTTAGTAGTCTGGAGCTTTTGCAAGTGCTGCTGCATTGAGAGCATGATAGAATTCAACAAGGCTGAGAACTTAGTCTTGACAGTCTCTCTGGTCGCATTGCCAAATGTAGAAGCAAGTAACGTTCGGTCCGAGAATATCTTCTGGATTCTGATAATAGCGCCTAGACTGGTTAACACAGGTTCCGATCATAAATATGAAAGCTTACCTTTGATAAAATGTTGATTCCTCTTTGCAGATGGTGCTTCCTCCATTAGAGATTTGGAAGATGCATCGTTTATAGTCTCGCTCGCAAGGAGGAAATGTCCTTTCTTCAATAGTTGATAAGTCAAAGCATTCTCCCAACGAAGTTCGTGTTGTGGCTTGGAAACAGCTATCATCCATTCTGATCCAACGTCGAAGCCAGGAACCTACAAAGCTGTTAGTAAAATTGAAGCCATTTACAGACACCTGGAAGTGCTTACATTAGAATGCAATGATTTTGTGTGCTCAAGTAGCTCACTGAGATACAGCGGCCAAGCTAAAAGCGTGCAATGCGATTTCTCTCGATGTTGAAAGACTGCGTTTGCACCGACAGTTAGGAAGGCCTTCGGAGACTAGTATTGCCGTTAGCATAATATTAGAGCAGCGGTCTTTGAGAGATCATACATAGATGTCGAACTTTATGAAAGCGGAGATGAAGTGAGCCCAGCACTTGATCAAGCGGCCTATAAAGAAGTAATTCGTCGTATGTTCTAGTGGAACCGGGCCATCATGCAATATCCTTTGAACTAAATCTCGGAAGGTTGAAGTGATTGCACGATCAAGCGGCTGACAAAGTTAGCTTTGCGAAGCAATAGATACGAAAGGGAGTAGAGCATACGTGAAGATAATCGTCCATAAACTGCATTTCTTTCGCCCAGTCGGGATCACACTCCAAACCCTGGCTGTCAAATTCTTCATCTCCATCTGGACTTGCTTCAGATTTGCTCTCTGGCTCTGCGCTATTGAGTTGATGCAGGTGGCAGTTGAGGATTTCGATTGCAGATGAGGTTAATTCTTGGTCAATTTTATCTTTGGAGGAGCCTATAGATAACATTTTCGCAAGCATTTCTAAGAATAGATTAGCACATAACTCTGTCAATAACAAGTTCCATAACAAAGATCCTTACCTAGGTTTATGGTACGCTTCAAGGTTGTTGAATTTGTGCATTTCAATGATTCTATGGTCGATCTTGCCACAGCTTGTATACAGGACATGGTGCTTCCTCGATTACAGTCAACGTCTGTTTGAAAAGTTCCGTTGGATTGAATGTGTAGTTGCTGCCGAACTTGGGTTAGTTCCACATATTCTTCGAGCAGACTATTGAAGAAGGAGTCCTGCCAAGTGACAAATGGTCCATATGATTCAACAGTGAAACTGGTAGGAATGTTAGACAAGGTGAACCGAGCAAGCCGTTCCCAAGCCCTTAAATTTATTAAAAAGGCTTCGTTATGTGAGTGAGCAGCCGAAACAAGCTTCTGCAGCAAAGTGATGGACGGCCCGTAACCTGGTGGGGCAGCCCAGTATACTGTGCACAGAAGGTCATGATGGTTGCGCAACGAGGCAAGATCACGATGAAAAATCGCCTCTTCTTTTGGAAATTGTCTATCATGGTTTGGCAAGATCCGCGCAACCAAATTCCTAATACCTTTAGTATCGCCTACTGCACGCTGATGCCTGATTGTAATGGCTACCAATTTGAGAAAAATATGAAAGCAGCGGTCCTCTGGTTCGATATCTAGTGGAGATTCTATAGTCAAATCTTCCAGAAATTGAGGCGACTTATAAACCTCTTCATTTCGCAAATTTGCAAGCTTCTGTAAAGCAAAGCAATCAAATAGAGTGCCAATTATCCCGCTACACTTCCACCAACCCCATTTTGATATCAGGTGATGACATCGACTCACAATTGCTCTGCAGTAATCGTTGAAGCTTGGTGATTGTCTAACATTCGACGCATAAAGTGCAAATACCCTTTTGATCAATTGCTGCGGAAGTGACCAATTATCGAATCCATTTTCCTGCCATGAAACTGACGAAACGTAACCATATTCATCAAACCCGAAAAGTGGCAGAAGAGAGAACATGGAGAGCCATAGGTTTTCCATCGAATTGGCATCCTGCAACGAACTTATACTTTTGATGCCCAATTGTATGTTTGCAACGTCCCAAAACGAAACTCGTGGAATCTTTGCAGTCTTTAAAACATGAATGATAATGACCCAAGATTCAGGGACGTAACGATCGTTTCTTATGCCACCCTCTCTTACAGACAGATATTGCAGCTCGTCGTACAGCTTTCTTACAGATTCTAAGCCTTCCGATATTAAGAGACCGATGCAAGAACTTCCCAATTTCTGCAATAATTCTTCGAGGCGGAGAGTCGATACATGTGCACCATTTTGTGAAAGGCGTAGTAATCGAAGTGAGAGCACCAAAAGTCTAGTAGTGACTTGAATTGCTTGCCGATTGTTCACACTAGGCACGTGACATATATTGAGGCGAGATGAAAAGTCTTCTAGTATATCTAACATTCGTAGTAAAAATTCAGATATCGACTCAGAACTTGAGAAATTCACGCCATGCTGTACATAATCCAAGATGAGACTGGTAGTCGCGATCAAGTCAGACTTGTTCAGCATCTCAGATGTATCAGTAAGTTGTTCTGCTAGCCAGTCAACACAAACGCCCATTTGCTCGGAGACAATGGCATTCCACGTTCCCCATATGAAAACATTGTCCCCCACTTCAATCGACGTTGCAGGCCTGTTATCGTCAGATGAGACGAGATCTATATTTTTCAGAGTATTTGCAAGACATCCACTGCCAAGGAAGGTAGTCTCATGGAAATATATTCCCGCCTGCAGTGGAAAAACATCAAAATGTTGAGGATACCTTGTGCCAAATTTCCCTAGACCAAAAAGTTTCCCTTGATCGGCGCTTACTTCACTCAGCGCAGGCACCAAAAAGGACGATAAGAGTGGCTCACTCGGTTGACGATAGATAGCTGCACCTGCATCTAAACGTTGAGGTGACCGCTTCCGACGTCGAGGCTGCTTTCCCACCTTCTTTGTGAGACGGTTTGATATTACATCATCGTCCCCATTGAGAACATTGGATTCTATTGAAGGATGTACGGCATCATTGTCCCCATTGAGAACATTGGATTCTATTGAAGGATGTACGGCATCGTCATCGGCCAAGAAACGGCTGAGTTGGAGATTTCCTCGCTGTAAAGGCTGCTGGCGACTCATACGAAAGAGGGCATCGAGGGTCTTCTTCCTCGGTTCCAGGGTTCTGGTCGGGAACTGCTTTGCTTCAAGTTGCGCTGATCGTGCGGATGGTGCTGCGAAATAAGAATTTGGGCGTGCTCTATGTTGAGTCTTGGTAACGACTGTTGAAGCATTTTTCGATGGAGGCATTTCTGGTTCCACATCTCTATTCGCTACAAAATCGTTCATCGAGAGCTGCCTTGCTCTGGGTACGCGAATCTTCCTTGTGTTGGTGTATTCGGTACTTGGCTGAGACTTTCGTAGGCTCGTCTGAAGCTTCATAATGGGTGGAGGAAGCTTCGTTTGATGATTGGTAGAGATTTCAGTAAGCGGATATGCGTTGACATTTTCGGATCGAGGTATGAATGAAACATTCCTGGGCCGAATTTTGCGGTTCGTCCAATCTTGCAAGACTGACTGGGCATCAGCAGTATCTTCGCGAGTCGCAAGCCTGATAAACTTCCGCGTTGGACTTTGACGTCCAAGTTCCTTTCGTGATCTTGCGCTTCGAGCCGCTACCTTGAGGAATGCCGGTGCATGTGGCTCGAAATGACCAGCATTCTCAGCAACGTCTATTATACTAAGCTTGGGCGGTGTCTTCTTGAGCCGTCTTCGTTTTGGTTTGCTGGCCTTGCGGATAGCTGGAGCTATAGCCGTGAGGTGCGAAGTTATCCTCGGTTGGTATGATTGTGATTGTTGATTCCAGATATGAGATGAAGACTTCATTAGACGTTTAGCATTGGGCTGCTTCAATGAACTCTTGGCTACACGTTTGCGACTTGGAGTTGGCAGCATACCATCAACACGGTCATCTTCAATAGCAAACCCGGAAGTCGATTCTTGAAATAGGCTATCAGCTCCAATTCGTTCATCGTCTTCCATGAAAAATCCTTCGAAATTGTTCTCATCGGGCTCATCACTTTCGTCAGATTCTAAAAATGCAAGTTGGTTGGCAGGTTGCGTGGAAGCTGCTTGATTAGACCCTCGCACAACAGGAAGAGCAACTCCAACACCAGCACGCTTTTCATTACCCTTTTGATAATTCTTTGCTTGAAGTTTGAGTTCTCGTGTCTCTTTTCTTTTTTGATCAAGTCTTAGATGGGATGCAGGTAGCACGTGTTTCATCTTTTTCTTCAAGAATACCATTTCGTCCTCTTCTTCCGAAGATGACGACGTCGAGGATGAACCAGATGCTGAAGAAGGAATTTCTATCGGGTCGGCAAACGGATCCTCTGTATCCAACATTATTTTCGAAGGGGATGTGTGTGAAGAGGCTTTAATAGCACTCGTAATTGGAGTGGGCACTTCTGTGATTCGCCGAGATTGTGGAGAGCTCTGATCCAACCAAACAGGAGCTGAGGCAGGTGAGGATGTAACAGAAATTACACGAGACGCAGGCCTTCGTACAGTTCTTGAACGAATGGGTGAAGAGCCAGTCGAAGATGAGCTGGGAAAATCGTAGATGTTTAATCTAGGTTCTTTATTCACACTTTGGGCTTGGTTTGGCAATTTCGGTCGATTTTTAGTTGAGTACTTCTTTGACGATCTCTTCTGCTTGGGCTTTACTAAATTTGACTTCTGTCTGAACAAATCTGGAAGGTCTGGAAATTCATGGTCGCTATCCTCTTCTTCTTCCCCCAATGTTAGATTATTTGGCTCCTTGATGGTTTCGCGTACGCTATCTGCTAATAGCGACTGTGGTAGAGAGCCTCCGGTGAGCGTAATAGGCTGGCTTTCTTCCATGTCACCCGCTTCCGCCTCTTCTGGGTCTTGAAAATCCTTATCCCACGATTCTTGATTATGTATGACTCTTTTCTTTCGACTAGGTTCATCTTGGCTTTGTGGAATTCGAATAGGTTTAATGTGAGAAGCCTTCATCCTCCGCTCGTAACGCTGTTGCTCCAAGAGAAATGGATGTATTTGCACAGGCTTCCTTTCTCTAAATTGCCTCCTCGGAAGGTAGTCTGAATTATCAAAGCCTGGTTGCGCTTGTGCTGGAGACTCCTCGCGTATCTGCTCTGTAGGTCTTGAGAGTATGGGTTGTTGGACAGGAGAAGAAAGAGGCTGTGCCACTGGAGGCGATCGAATAGGGCTTGTTGGAGGCGATGACAGGATGCTGGATGCTGGGGATAGAGTTTTAATCCAGCTTCTGGAAACCTCATCAGCCTCTGCTTCTGGAGTGGGTTCAGGTAAGAATCCAGTCGCTCCAGTTTCGATAGGTTGCTCTTGATTCTGTTTCACACTGTCCGAAGAGTCTCTCATAATTACTTCTATCGGACTGTCAACAAATTTGTCATTGACTATATCAAAAGATTGGATCATGTCAACGGATGAAGCTTGAGACATTCCGATCTCCTCAACAATGTCTCTCGTATTGGGATATGCTTCTTCATCCTCTCTTCTGACATTGTTAATTTGTTCGAGAACATCGTCGATATCATGAAACTCGTCGTCTGCGGCATTGTCTCGTATCTCATGATTTATAGAATTTTGGGAATCAAATTCTTCTTCATCCTCAGAATCCGGAACCACTCCTTTCTCCTTCCAATTTGCCATTTATGTCGAATAACATGTTATAGTCGAAAAGTATAAGTCCTTTTCGAAGCGCGAGTCTGAAGGGATGGTTGGTTACCTATTGCTTTTTGAGGTTGACGCGACTGAACCACTTTACGCGATCAACTTTTTACGGTAGCTGAGGCGACTATTAGTGCAGTTCTTAGTCATCTTTTGTAACCTATGATTCGCTCATGTGAAGACCTTCACTGCCCAAAAAGGAATCTCATCAGTACAAACTTCTGTTATCGGAGACAATCATGAGTAAAGTTAAAGGAATCTTCCCTTTATTCTTAGCCACAGCCTTTGGCATTGGTAATGGTATGTGGAATCACATTGTATCGGTAACAATTTGCTGAGAAAGCTTTAGGCATCTGGGTTTTTGGACCAGCGTTGAAAGAGCAACAAGAAAACAACTTGCAGGCAAAGTAGGTACAGTGAAGGTTGAGATCTAAAAAATTGATTTGCTTCATGTTTGTATTCCGATTGACTAAATCGGTATAGGGCAGCCTTTGAACGCCCAATTCAAACCGAGGAAAGCGAGGCGGCTAGGATGGCAGAAGTAGAAGCAAGTCGCGCTGCTACTACGAAAACTTTGCTAAACCCATCTGAGACTCCAGAGGCTTCTTGGTGGCAGTCTGCCAAATTCTGGACAAGTTCTCAGCCAAAATCCAATGGTAAATCGGAATCGAAGCCGAAAGAACCGATTGCTGAGGCGAAGAAATCATGAGCCTGTCATGATTTGTCTTGCATATCTACCATGTCATTAGTGCTGATCTCGAGAAGATAAATTGTAGAGGGTATTCTTTTGGGCTCGGATCCCGTTGGATTTCTTACTGTAACATAGAGTGCTTACTCCCTGGCCATATTTCACACGTGGCCCTCACTATTGCATGTCCATTACTTGACCAGCAATCGTTTGAAGGGAGGGTTCGTTGATGGTACAATTTTCACCATGTGTATATTAGACGAGAATCAAGGATTCGTTCAACATAAGGACCTGTAGAGCGTCGTTTCATTAATTCAACGGATGATACTTGAGACCTGATTATTTTCAACCTTGAATATTTACGCGGTAGTCATTTAAAAATGGCACAAAAATAGTTCTACAACAATCACTCATGAATTAGAATATTCATCAAAATCATTAGCTTTGTGTTAATGTGATCTGGCACAGTGCCAAACGCTATGTAGGCAGCCGCATTGCTTGCAACAGGTACAATTCGAGCTCGACACGAGGTCAAGCATGACGCGTGGGGCGACGAAAGTGGGAGAGCGGTACAGCAAGCAGAAGCATTGCCTTCGACTTTCACCTATCACACCAGAGCCTGTTGCCCATTAGATTAACATACAACAATTCTCCGAGTCAAAATGCCTCTCTGTGAGTACTGCAGCGCTATTGAATTTGAGATGCTTCGCTGTCCAACTATTGAGGAATTAATGTCTCTCAATATCAAATCGGGGATTCCAGATACATATCCCTTCAAGTCGTCTTCTCATAGAAGAGACAGGCCCAAGTTTAGTCTTGGCTTTCAATACCGCGTACGCTAATCCTCATCTGAATGTCCTTTTTGTTCAGCAATCTGCGATGTCTTGTCTGATCAGAAAGACAATCGTATGCGCGACCTGGACTCCTTCGAATGTGTTGCTTCCATCGTAGCATGTGCTCGTGTAGTTCCCGTCAAGGCGATAGCGTGGGGACCTGAGTGCGAATTCATGCATTTGTATAGAATTGACTTGATTTGGTATCCGATAGGAGAAGGAGAGAAAATTGATAAACCAGGTCTTCGTACAGATACCGAAACATTCCCGTGATACTTCATAAATGATGCTTTTCAAACATACAACGCAGAAGTATGTGATGACGGTACCAGGAATGGCAATGTCAACCAGAAGGCGGTTGTCTTTTCTGGAAGATTAAGACCGAAGATCATTGATGTTAAACTTCCAGCTCAATGGCTTCGAGAATGTCAAGATAACCATGCGGAGTGTTCCAATTCAAAGCTCCCAGATCAAGCGCATACAAGGAAAGTTCGTGGATTGTTGATCAAAGGCACCGTGCTAATCTTTTGAATAGCGAAATTCCAATATTTCGGCTATTTGACGTGCGGGAAAGTAAGATTGTGGAGTTTCGTGATGTCAATATTGCATATTTTGAGTACGCAGCATTGAGCTATATGTGGGGTGGCCCTCAAAAAACAGTTCTCTTAAAAGATAATCGGAAAGCGCTCCAAGAATCAGGCTCCCTCAATGGATGCATTTCAAAGACTGTTCAGAACGCGATCGGATTTTCACAACAATTAGGAATCCAACATCTGTGGGTTGATGCCCTGTGTATAATTCAAAGCGACGATTCTGACAAAGCCATACAAATTGGTAAAATGGGAAGCATATATGCCCATGCAAAAGTCACTCTTATCGCTGCTTCTGGGAGAAATTCCGAAGCTGGATTACCAGGATTTCGAACTCCTCGAACAGGAAAACAGACACAAATTCTCATTTCTAGGGTCGATACCCAATTTTCTATGAAGCTAATGAGAACATTAAATCCTCACAATAATGGCTTCTCATTCTCACACCAGCTTGATGATGCTGAATGGAGTCGGAGAGGATGGACTCTACAAGAAAGAGCACTGTCAAGACGCAGTATTATTTTCACTGATCAACAGCTTATATGGGCCTGTAAACAGTGCCATAGAACTGAAGAGACCTACTGCGAAACTTCATTAGCACACACAAGCTGGTTTAGGCTCCAAGAAACAGAGTACTTTCTCGATACCTCCCTCCGCAGCTTCTTCGCTTCTGATGATGTTATTGAGCAAACTTGGTATCGATTTAGACTTCTAGTCCTTGATTTCACTAAAAGGCAGCTTACTAACCCTGGAGATGCGCATGACGCTATTCATGCCATTCTAGAACAAGTCAAGCACTTAACCGGCGATACTTTCCTATGGGGATTACCTACAACGAATTTTGAGATGGGGCTTTGCTGGGAACCCAGCTCACCACTCGGCGTTAGGAAAAGGAAGGATTTAACGGTGTTGAAAACTACATCTTTGAATAGAAGAGTACCATTTCCATCCTGGTCTTGGTTGGGCTGGCACAATGCAATTAGTATACGCGTGGAGGAAAGGTATCGAGATCTAGGGTGAGTTTCTGTGGCTTCTCTTTCGCGAACAATGTAATAGGAAATGTAAATAACGCTGTGCATGGATACAGTATGGATCCCGAGATTATATGCTATGTACTTCGAAATTCACCACTCCGATTAGTTCGGGTACTAAGAATTTCTTCAGACGTCCCTGGAGAACAAACTCGTTTTCATCCGTTGCAATCACAACAATCTAGCCCAAATGCGATTTCATTGGAGGACATTCCAAAGCACTATCCAGACTTGGGAGTTGACAAACTTGACGACACCCCAGATGACCAACTCATATTTTTCTGGGCAGAAGTCGCTCAGTTCGAGGTCTCGGAAATCATGACGATGGCGTTCGAGAGTTCAAAAAATACCCCATGGGAACCTCGATATACCTATAAGCAGCGTGATATCAGGGATACGAATGGCAATGTGGTTGCGCAAACAGCATATTGTGATTTCGAAGAAAATGCGCGGGAAAATGGAACATCATGTATAGAAGAGCCTGAAGCTGGTGGTGGTACTTACGATTTTGTCCTAATTGCCAACAACAATCCACCAGATCCGGAGTCTAAACCTTCCAAATTGTATTGCAGGTCGAGAGAAAGAATGGAGTCATGTATAGGGTCAACAATGCAGAGATACCAGAGGAAGCTTGGAAAAGATCGGAAGCAAGAAGAATGCTGGTGGCTCTTGGGTAAGGATAGGCTTGCTGAATGAAATAAAACCAGAAAAAGAGTTCAATGAGGTTAAAGTTGATAGAATTATAATACTGAACCTGAAGATTTTTGGAGGCGCATTAGCTAATGCTATATGGTTTGTTTGGCTCAACTACCTTTCAACTGGTTCACGTCGTAGCAGAATCAACTAACAATAAAGTCCGACTGACAACAATCAATCTATAAGCCAATGAATCCATGACATGCAACTAACATGTTTGGTGTTTGGGGTTAAGTGAAATTACCAACCCAGCGAATGCAATACTATAAGAGAGTAATTCAAAGCCAATCTCTATCAAATCAAGATTGGATAGCTAAGATGTTCTGCTGAATTAGTCTCGAGAATCTCTGGTAAGTGAGTACTCAGAGCTGATTCGCATGCCGAGATACAGCAATGTGAAATTCGTTAGAACCGGGCCGTGGCAATATGTTGCAGATGTGATGTTTGAAGTTATGCTGAATGGATGCTGAGATGTTGTTGATGCATAGATCCGTTTAAAATTAGATATCTATACTCATCTCATCAATATTGATGCAGGAAGATATTCTACAAATGCATGGTTTATGAACCTTTTTTGTAATAATCATAGTTCCCCCTGGTTCTTTGCAAATGGAATATTTGAATTAGATGTTGTCGCAGTGTTGACAAAAGTTGATGCCTGAATTCATCCTCGTATATGCCTGATAATGAAGGATTACCTATCATCAAATTCGATGTGCTTCGAAGAAATATTTCAAACGCTTCTACGAACGATTCCCAATTTCCCCCTTGAAGTATTCGCTCGATAAAGAGCACGAAACGTACCGGATGCACGCCGTAGCATTGCGAGCTCTTCGCACACATAGACACCCTCTCTCGCGACAGACATGCCGAATCATCGCAGGCTGCAGGTTTCCCCCTCCCCGGCGCAACTTCCACCGTTCAGCAATTTCCTATAGTACACCCGATGATCCAGCAACTCCGGAAAATGATAAAGAGGCAAGAGCAGGCATAGAGGATATCCCACGGATACCTGAAGATGGAGAGCAGGAAAACACAACAGATGTCCCGCAAAACCCCACGGAAGCAGAATTAGAGAATCCAGTAGCAGAAGATTCTATACAGCCAGTCGAAAATATAGACCCTGAGCAAAGGTCTCGCGGGAGGCTTTCGGGGAGAACTTTACGAGCAAATCGTCAAAAACAGCCGGAGGGTCTGCCGCCGATAATACTGCCGGATTGGTTTTGGAATAATGTCAAACTGGTCGAGGAGCTACCGCAGACAGGCTCACTCGCTGTTTACTATGGCGGTAACGTCCCAGAATTTGTTGAAAGTTCTCCAGGCCCCGAAGCAACAGAGAAGATGAGCCATGCAATCAAATCTATCGTTGAATGCGACCTCCCTCCTACCGAGAAAGCAAGATATAGCATGCATGTTGATGTTTACAAAGAAATATTGGCATCCATCAGAGCGGGTCTGAAATTGCGCCCTTCACAAGCTGTCTTGGATGGGAAAAATATCATGAGGCCCATTCTCCACTTGCTGTGCCCTAAAGACGGAGGAACGTTATATCTAGACTCTGTCGTGGAGACCATTTCGACCAAACTAGGAGCTGATCTTATACGTTTGGATCCAGTCGATATAGCCCAGATTTTAGGGCCATATATCGATGAGAACCTAGCTTGGACGGGGTCAAAAGCATCCCTTTTGGGTTATGAAACTTCTAGAATGGCAGGCAGGCTGGAGGATTATGAGAAAGATTCAAGCACGTTACCTGAAGACATAGAGGGGGTTGAGGAGGAAGAGATGACGGGCATGAGCAAAAAGGCTGGTCCCGCAATTGCTTTCACCGCGTCAAATTCTTCCGAGGCACAGAAAAAGCTCTCGGCAATTTTTAGCCGGTTAAAGGGGGCCCTTACCCCGGCAGCGGAGAATAACAGGCGTTCATCAGATGTTGTGATGCCATTTGCTACTTTCGCCGACCCCAACTTTTCGGCTTCTAGCAATGGTAATTCGTCCTTTGGCAACGTGAAATCTAACGCTGAACAGTGGAACGATTTGAAGACTACGGCTTTACTTGAGTCATTTGTTGCTGCCGCCGATTCAAAACGTGCATCGGAGTCTTCAGGTGCGGATGCAACCAATACCAAAGATTTAATCATACAGGTTCGTGACTACAAGGATTTGACTAGAACATACGATGGTTACAATATTATTGATAAACTGCGGACGGTGGTCACCAAACGCTGGCAGTCCGGACGAAATATAATAATGGTTGGAACAAGTTCCCTAGAACAAGGAGAATCCGAGCTTTCATCAGCAGGTATTCAACATCTTCAATCGGACATAGTTGAGGGCGAGAAAAGAACTATATTCGTCCCACCAGACCGAAGAGCGGAACAGGATACAATATTCGAATCTGATGACAAGTTACGTATCCGAACTTTGAACATACGGCATGTTGAGGATATGATTACAAAACTTTCGGGGGATACGCCCGTGACTGTGGATATAGAAAAAGACCTCGACGTCGCGTGGGTAGTATCTGCTGGTTTAGACGATGCAGTTTGGCATTATGCCCGTGTGCAAAGGCTTGCAACGACTATCCTAGGATTAGAAAATAGCCCAGAAATCATAGATGGGCCAACATTTTGGAAAGCTCAACAGCTGCTCTCCGAAAGTGACAATGCAAAATTTTCTTGGGGCGCAGCAGAGTTGAAGGAGGAAGATAATGATGTGAACAAGATGCTTGATGAGATCAACGCTTCACCGAAGAAGACAGATATCAGAGAAAAGCTCAAGCAAATTCGAAAAACGTGCACTCCTCATGAGAAAAAGCTGCTCGGGGGTGTCGTTATACCGTCGGATATTCATACCAAGTTCGAAGATGTTCACGCTCCAAAGGAGACTGTAGAGGCACTAAAAACATTGACCAGTTTGTCATTGATACGGCCAGAGGCTTTCACTTATGGTGTTCTGGCTACTGATAAAATGCCTGGTTTGCTCCTGTATGGACCGCCTGGAACCGGTAAGACGTTACTGGCTAAAGCAGTAGCGAAAGAGAGTGGCGCAACAGTTCTTGAAATTAGCGGTGCTGAAGTGAACGACATGTATGTTGGTGAAGGCGAGAAGAATGTCCGAGCGATCTTTTCGCTAGCCAAGAAACTTTCACCCTGTGTTGTATTTATCGATGAGGCAGATGCTATATTCGCTGCCCGTGGTGATACCAAACGCTCAACTGCCCACAGAGAGATGATTAATCAATTTCTACGAGAATGGGATGGCATGAACGATTTATCTGCCTTCATCATGGTCGCTACCAATCGACCATTCGACCTCGATGAAGCTGTACTGCGCCGGCTGCCTCGAAGACTTCTGGTTGACCTGCCCGTTGAAAAGGATCGCGAGTCTATTCTCAAGATCCACCTCAAAGATGAGATTATCGACTCATCAGTCTCTCTTGCCGAACTTGCGAAAAACACACCCTTTTACTCTGGATCGGATTTAAAGAACCTTTCGGTCGCAGCTGCATTGGCATGTATCAGGGAAGAAAATGAACTTGCCACTAAGCACGAAGGCGATACCCCTTATACGTACCCCGAGAAACGTATCCTCACCAAACAACATTTCGACAAGGCAATGGAGGAAATCAGCGCAAGTATCAGTGAGGATATGAGCACGCTCTCTGCAATCCGCAAGTTTGACGAGAAATACGGTGATAGGAAGGGAAGAAGGAAGAAGAGTGCTGGATTGGGCTTCGGTGGTACGACAGTTCCCGAAAAGGATTCCGAAGCGGGAAGAGTCAGGAAATCACCATTGGCGGTGTAGATACAAGGGCACATATTTGAGTACAACCACAGGTACATATGGCTCGCATTTGGGACTTTGCATCGGCGGCGTGCATATCATATTCACGAATTGCATGATAGGGCGTCACGGTCATTGTATAATATGTGGCTGGGAAGGTAAATGCTATGTTACACATAATTTTGTAGCAATAAAATAGATCATGACTTGACGTTACTGTCTTCTCTGATGATGGATCAATTATACATGCGTTAGAATGTTTCATTGATAGTGGTACTCGAACAGGTGTTCCTTCCATGATGGTAGCTTAGATGTATCATTAATATTGGACCTCAAGCACGATGACGGACAATAGAGAACTCGGTATTCAATAATAAATCCAGACAACGGATTCACACTCCCCTCCTAGTCTTGTCCTAGGCTCAAGGAGAATATAGGTACTCGATCATATCTAAATGCTTCTTGTCTCGCTCCTGCTTCAGAATATAGCCTATTCATTCCCTCTTTGGTTGGGAGAGAACAGAATCCATCATAGAATTTGTAGTCAATTCGGTGTCATGATGTGAACTCTGGTTTCTCCTTGTCTCTTTTTCTGCTTTCTGCTTTCTGCTTTCTGCTTTCTGCTTTCTGCTTTCTGCTTTCTGCTTCCCGTTTCATCTTTTGATCGATTTAGAAACGTATTCAATCTCATCGACAATCTATTTTAATTCCGGCTTCTCTTGCCTTTTGTATAGATTGAAAAACTCTATCCTCTTGCCATTTTCGAAACATGACCTATCTATCCTTATCTTCCTTGACAGGAGCAGAAACGAACTAAACACATGATTCAGTTGCGGAGAAAAGTATGATAATCTGAAGTCATGGTTAAATTATCACGTCAAATTCAAATCGCCTGTCTCCTTCCCTCCCCTCTGATTTTCTAAAACCTACTACCTGTGATAGGAGTGGCATCCTGTTTCTTCTTTTGTTTAGCCTCCTTTTCTTTTTTAGTATGTTTACACCCATCGTTTCCTTTCGATATTATACTTCTCCTTTTGTCTTCTGTCATGCAGAACGAAGTAATCCATTCCTCTTCTTAAATCATGGAGAGTATTAAATTCAGAGAAATTCGTCGCTGCCAAATCAATCGTAAAATGCACGTGCAAGCATTATAGAGAACTCACTTGCCGTATTGATGTATCAGCAAATGAAACTTTTAGTTCCCGCTCAACTGTTGTTGAAAAGCTAGGATGGACCTTTGAGGTATCAATGCTTAGTATTAGGCATATTAAAAATGCCCACATTTCAAGAGAAGCAATTTTGCTATGCGATGCGAAGGATATAAAAAGACTAGTAGTCTCACAAAAAGCGCTGTTCCACCACTCATGCGATACGGAGCTTAGAAAGCGCGGAGGAACATCCCGACCGGTTTGACAGAATTGACAGGCGAGTTCATGATTAATTACCATAGGATAACTAATCACTGAACTAGAGGGTTTCCCTCTCTTTTACGCTTTGAGGCCGTTTCGAAACGGTTCCCCAACTCCCCTGAAACTGTCAACTAGTTTTTCGCGTGCATGGTCCTCGTGATATTTCTTGGCGACAGCCATTTTTTAACGTCCTCGACCATACGGTTGGTACAGTGCGACGTTCTTCGTCGTACAGATGTTAGTTCTGAAGATCCATCGATCAGTAATGAACTTGGCATCGGTTTTGGCGTCATTTTGCACAATTCCAAGACTTCTATTTCGGAATGGGACTAGACGCATGCAGAAAGACCAACATGATTTATGAAAGTAATACCCGTCATGCTTTGGCTACGATTTTGCTTCTACATTCTCTGGCAGAAGGCCCCTTTTCCTATCTCTCTTATTATTTCCCAATTAATAGTCTTAATCGTTTTGTTCAGCCTGGTTGCTGCGGGCTTGTATACCACTTCATATGATATATACTTAATAAATTTATCTCTTCATCACTTCGTCGCCTATAATTCTCTAAAATGCAGCCACTTACTCTCTTGGTTCTGCTTTTTGCAAGCACATCTTTTGCAGCAACCACCACCACCACTTCAGCAGCAAAGGCCGCTTCGCAAGCAGCAGCTGTGAAAATTGCTACACCCAAGGTTCTCAAACCTGCAACTCCACCTACCGCAAATGATGTAAAAAACTCACTTAACAACTGGGCCACATCTGTCAATACTGTCAATGAATATCGTATGTCTCTCCTTCTCACTCTAGAATTCTACCTATCCAATCTAACCACACTCACAGTCGACGACCCCAACAACTCCACCAAACTCAAGACCGCCATCGCCTTTGCCAAAGATGAACCCGTTCAACTTGCCACCCTGATGAAAACTCCCAACCTCTCTCCAGACGGTATCAAATCCGCCAAAGTCCTCATGGCCAATTTTCCCTCCATCGTCTCCAATCTGCAAAACGTGTATACAGGAGTCATGACCACGCAAGATGCGACCATGGCTGTAAATTTCAATCGATGCTGCACCGTGCTCCCAAACATTGGGAGTCTCTGGACTGCAGCTACGAATGCGAGTAAGGTGCAAGAGAGCCCGCCTCCAAATCTAGAAGCGCAATGTGGAATGATGAATTGTAATGTGGGAGTTAGTGGAGCGCAGACTCAGGCGATGTCGAATGTGACGGGGTCGGCGATGGCGTCGGGTCTTGCTCGGGTGAGATGAATCACGAGATACGAGGGGTGGGGAGAATTTGGGGTGGTTTGAATTGGCTAGTAAAGATGTCCTTCTGGTGGCGTGACTTGCGCGCATTTTGATTTTATATTTTGTATATTACTGGTGGATTTGGATAGAAGAATAAAAATATTAAAATCAATATTCCTACCTACTTACTGTTTGTTGTCGCACTGCTGTTGCGATGTTGCGATGTAGCTATGGTTTGACGAATGCGACAAGCATATATTCTCTGTACCTGCGTCATTGCTCATTAGATGCAAACTTTTCCAAACAGTTGAACTTGCAAAGGAGAGGTATAATCACATTCATACGTAAAGTGAAGTTGTATTTCTTATCGGTTATGGTTGGTGGTGGCTATTGAACCATTCGAAGAGACCCACCAAAATATTGATTCACACATCGGCTCAAATCTGGAAGGGCAAAAAAGAGCAAAAAAATTCTGTTCTCAGTGTTCAGCAGTCAAGGACTGAGATATTGCCATGATAGCGGGTAGAAGTCAAATCTACAACATAGAATATTGAAAGAAGCCCTAATACCCACAGTAAAGCCAAAGTTCCCCACACATGACGGATTATCCTCGAAAGGACTTTGAAACAGCCTTACGCGATCCAAGCCACTCGACTTCTGCCTTCTTCGCATCAGCTATATAGATGAGGAATCACTTCGAAGTTTCCTGAACCTGTCTGCAACTACCGAGCCTATCGACAGAGACTGTCTACAACACCAGAGACACTGCAACGCTGTTGTCTTTTCCAGAAAGAGAAGAACTGACACTGGCTCAGAATCAACGAACACAACAACAAAAAATCTCATTGGGAAGTCCCAAGACATTCGCCTCGTTACACTTCATGAAAGAAAGTGTACTATCAATTGCTCCAGTCAACAAAAATACGGTGAAGCGAATCAAATTATTGGGAATAGTCTACAAGAACATCAAATTTATTGATGCAGATCGTCACAATGACTACAAGACATGGTAGGGAGTTGGCTTCGCTTGAAGAAATTAACATTCTCACCCTCCAAGATACGAACATACAACGGTCCCTATTTCCATCCCACAGCAAGCTCAACCACTTAGATGTTTGACATTGCCTGGAGTGCCAAAGTGACGTTGTCAGTTCAAGCACAACGCATTACAAAAATAAGCTTTTCTTAAGACTACAGCGTCGAGTTTCTCTCCACTTGTTTCCGCCGTACCTAAGCAGTGCGGATATTTGACGCGAGCTGTGATCAACTACAATCCTATGGGCCTTAGCATTTGAGATATTTTTCTATGAATCTTCTACCTGGTGATTAGTTTCATCCCAGATATATGGACGCACAGATGGTTAGATGTGTAGGCTTTGATTAGGGATGAAGCCATGCATCCCTATATTTGTAAGAATGAAAGTGGCAGTACACTTTACCTCACATATGCGGGCCACCTAGTGCTCTCTGAGGCTAACGCTATCCGAATCTCAGAAAACTCGTTTGACATTTGAGTTCTGTTTGAAGTGAAGGATGTCAGAGCCAGAGAACCAAAGCGGAAAATTCTCGTCGAGGTTCGTGTAGAAAGGTCACGTGTTTTAAGACTGATATTTAGCCGCTGGGAGTAGGAGTGTAGATACAAAAGGGAGGCTCTTGTGAACTTCTTTCACCCGAAAGTGTTTTTGAATCACAAAATCAGATTGTACTAAGATAATTTCACATTTCCTAGCGCTTCTCATGCATTCCACCCAGAGACACGTTGATGACTAGTTGATAATTACTGCAATACAAGAGCTAAGAATCAAAGTAATGTGCATAATCACTAGCAAACGGAGACCATTTTGCAAGAATTACTTTAAAAAAAAGGAGAGAGCATACCCGAGTGCACTAAATTCAATTAATTTGTTTCTCGGGGATTATACATAGTATTCGAGTTGGTGCCAGCTAGAGTGCTATTGTGATTGGTAGAGGGTATTTTAGGAACACAATGTAAAATGGCATGGAGTTAGATGAGATTATTGATGATATGATGCATGTTGATAACTATAATGAGTTATTGATAGCATGCTGCGGCCAGCTCTATAGTCATGTATGATGCTACGTGCGCTTGAGCTTCAAGAATGCTAGTTTGAATGTGTACTGATGACGAGGATGTAAACATAGATGGAGAGAGCATTCATTTGGAGATAATAAGACACTGGGTGACTCCTGTCAGTGAGGCAAATAGTAGGAGCATACTTGTGTAAAGGAAAACAATTGTATTATTGATAATTGATACGCATTTGTCATTCCTGAATACACAAAATGGTTGGATAGGGTGTGATATATCGATTTGCAAGTGATGTGTATGCAAGCAATGAAAACCTCATAGTAAAGGAGGCCGATGGAGTCCGAAAATATCTCTATCACTCGAGTTACATTGTGACTTAAACCAAGGTAGCTTGGGTACAAATTCATGCCGTTTTGGTCAATGTCATGTTACAAGTAAAGTCTGAATCAAACAGCAAAACAAGACGATAACCCACTAATCGTTATTTGGGATTTTTCACCCATGTAGGCCTACTTGGACGAGTACTTTTTGAAGTATAACCTAAGATTGAATATCCAAAAGGTTGAATTCCTTTCAATAGTAAGATTGGTTCATGCTAGACTCTGCCAAATCCACGAATAAGGTGGAATAAGGCGTCAGGTAGTTGTTTAATAGAGGGAGGGGTATTTCTTAATGTAGACTAGTAAATAGAAGAGTTGTATTTAATTTCAAAAAAGTAATATGTAATAGAATCTCGAACCTTTCGAACTAGGGTCAAATGTTGAAAAAAAAACTATTTTCAAAAAATGGTATACAATGTTAATCCAAAATAGAACTCTGATTAAGAGCATCGTCTGATCTACTTATGATACTTATTAAAATAAAATATCTCAATGAGAAGATCTTGTTCAAATAATCTGAACTTTCTATTTAGATGTACATGGATGACAAGAAATGTTATTTTCCAATAGAAAGTCGGAGATGTGACTTCAGAGTAACGCAGAGAGCGGGAGAGCATCAAACTTGTAAATGTTGATGTATCTAGGAATTGATGAGTCGACAATATATATTAGTATATTATTATCTGATAGCGATACTAGAAATCCTATTGCAATCTTGAAGTTTGATGAGATTTGGATGTAGAGGCTAGGTCTGGCGAGGAAAGAGTGTGGCTGAGTGTAGTATAGTTCATATGGCAATGCTAGATTGAAGGATTCTGAGTATTGCTCTAGCAAAGTTGGGAAGAGTGATGGAATTGATAGCTGGGGGAAGATAAGGGGGGGACAACTATTGATGGGAGGCGAGGTGACGAATGATGTGATGTGTGGTTACAGCTGTGATGAGTTACCGAGATGTTATTGCCGGCTTGGATTGATGTGGTAGGAAATGTACGGGCTTGTGCTTGCGCTTTGCATATGCCATTTTTAATGTGAAGATGATTGGGAGAAGGGAGGGGGGAAGAGAGATGTTTTTGTAGAGGTGTCCTAGAATAGTAGGAGAGGTTGCAAATTGGGACTTGGAAGTCTAAAGTGAGAGGCGTGGTTGTGTAAGGAGGCGAATTGTTTGATGAATGAACGAAAGAAAGGATTGGTAAATTAACATGATTTGTGGGTGTTTGAGCGATGTGCACGCGGATAGCGGGCATCTCGTAGAGAACAAAGTCGGGGTGTAATAACAACTTGTTAGGAAGCCATTGTCAAATTGCATGTGAATATCAATACCGGCGATGTAACCGAGGAGTCATCTACAAATACATATTCAGGTTTCATTATTCTCGTATACTTATTCGGATCAGTGCTCTTGAGAATACAAAGCAGAATTGGCTATCGAAGAGTTTGAGTTCCATTGCATGGTAAGATATCTGCATGTTAGAATCTACCAAATTCACCAACTAAGTATGAAAAAGATCAAGTGGCTATTCAATGGAGAGGCATTTCTTGGTGTAGTCTGTAAATAAACAGAAGAGTTATATATAGTCTTAGGAGGTGATGTGTAATAGAATTCAAAACTTATTGACTAGACTGGAATGTTGAGAAGAGTCCTTTTCTAAACATAGTCCACATAGTCAAGCTAAGATAGAACCTCGATTAAGATATCATCTGATATGCTGTTGATGCTCAAAATAGATGATCACAACGAGAAAGATCGTCTAAATGGTGTGAATATTCTATTTTAATGTGCATAGATATTACGAACTACCATTGCCCGATAGGAAGTTGAATATCTATGCTGGACTGAAGCATAGATATCGAGATCTAGGGCCTGGCGAAAATTAATGTAATCTTGGCTAGTGAAATCAGAGTAGATTCTTTGGTCAATAGATCAATGCCCCTCGCTCGAGCTTTCGAGTCTAGTCCTTTATCCCGAGCAAAGGAAAAGCTAGTCTCTCTGAATAGTGGACCATGTTCTTTCGGCCGGTCTATTCACGATGGCAGTAACAAGGTACACACATACTATGGCAGCTGCATTATCACCATCCACGCCCATTCCAGTCTCATAATGGTTGAAATTTCCATCCAAAATTGGCTCTCAAATGCCAAAAAAATGTTACATGCGAAGTTTGAAAAGTTGATTCATGACTTGGGAAGCATTGCATGCTAAGAGTCGGAGGACGAGCTTGGTGGATGATGAGGGGAAGGTTATTAATAGTCCGATTGCGGGTCTTCTGAACTAACTTGCATGTGGAGCATACTGTTCTGTGGATCCAAGCCATCAAGCGCCCGGGTAGCCGGGGAGGCTGCTTGGAACAAATTCGGAGAGACTGGTATCTGACGGGACCCAACGAAGTCAAAAATACGCGTCTACTTGAAAGCTATCCAACAATGTTCTCACAAGCGGCAAACAGTTACCGGGAAATCCACTTCCAACAGCGGCTCATTCTACGCTATATGCCAACCAAATGGTACTGTGAACATCTGAGATCGCGGATACCATGCCAAAGATACCTAATGCGGGTCCGGTAAAAACCTATCATTGCGTCAGTACAGTCAATTCGATTTGTGGTAAAAAATTTCCAAGCTGAACCACAAGATGATAAATCCTCAAGAACTTCATGGCTTACAATTGAGCGATTCCGATTTTGCAGATATGTGACGAGATATCTTGGGCGATTGCAACTGGTTAAAGGAACTAGATGCTCTATTTTTGTATGAACTGGAACTTTTTCATAATGTGGAAATTTCGAGCTTTAGACGTATAGCTTATTGAGTCGCCTTCATCTAGCCGATGTTCCGGCACTCGGCAAAAAGATCTGGAATTGAAAAGTGGTATTAATCGGTCGACAAGGGGCACATGGAATGAGTGGACAGGAAGACAACATGAACAAAAGACCGGAGCTTTACAAGGTCGTTTAATGACATACGGGGAGACTTCTACCGCTTCGAATGTTGAATGTCACATGAAGATGGTTGAGATGTAACCCCGCCATTTGAGTAAATTGTGCCGAAAATAGCAAGTTACTCGGCAGAGATGCATATAATTTTCTATTTCGAGAGCAATTAGCTGGCATTTCGGTTGTATTACGGCCACTGACCAATTCGAGTGGATAAAATTCGCATCAATTAGCGATTATTTATTGCTATCGAGGCGAGAACGAGATCTTACCAGGTAAAAAGGTAGGGATACAATAAGTGGCTGGTAAAAGACCCGAATAAGACATCAACTCCCAACTCATTCACAGATGTCCAAAATATCGCATATAAGACTGATTAGAAAAATGGTAGGGAATGGCTCGGGTATTGGATAATTTCTGATTGTCACGAGAGTAGAGATAGATGCGGGATGTTTGAAGGTGGCGTTTTTGCATTTGGAATGGACCTGTAAATAAGGGAATTCAATAATTGCAAGGATACCTAGAAAGCACAATTTGAAGGTTACCAGATGCTACAATCAGATTAGAAAGAGATGTTGCGAGGCTTCAGGAAATCAACTTACTTCGTCGTCTGATGGATCCACTGTGATAACAAAGTGAAGAACTCCCCAGACTCAGATGATGACTATCCTTAGCCTCGTCTCCTATTTTGAAAGTAAGAAATGGCGAAATGACGGGGTAGTTGGAAAGATGATTTTTCCGGAGAAGGAGTTCAAACTGCAGTCAGCACACCCCGACGGAACATGGAAGTGCGCAGCCAAAAAATCTGAAGCATTCAAACAACTCCTCGAAACAATGTGAATACACTCCCACGTTTCTAACACATGGCAAATTGTCAATGCTCAGGAGAAATTCAAATGTACAACAAGAAAATTAAATTGGAGGATGAAAAGGAGCTTGTTCTCTTTGTTTCTTGTTTCTTTTGGCTGATTATGATGTTTGTGATAATTGTTTCGTCTGAATCCTACAACCGTCACAGTTTGATGTTCGTTGAGCCCTGTACAAACTTCCATCTTTTCCTCTTTTCCCTCCAAATTCGACCCGTTCGTCTCATCTAGCGATCAAACGTAAGGTAACTTTTGACTTGGCAGTAGCTTACCGTACCAAATAGATTGATTCGTAGTTATTGGACCTTTTTTTCCCCTCACTTTCTGAGCATCAATCAGAAAATCCTTAATCCATAGAGATTCTGCCACAAGGAAGATGTAGGCCATCAGAGAAAACGGTGCTTGTCAACCCGGTATTGATCAATGCCATGCCAGTAAAATTTTCATGTTCACAGGGCTACCCAGTAAAATATCTAGATGCTTGCAACTTTACAAGCCCGACCAAGATTGTCAGCAGCGAGCATCTAACAAGAAAACTTAGCGATTATCTCCAAGAGTGCCGTATCTGTACAACAATTCAAGCATTGAAGCAAATACAGTAGCTCATTTAGGTTTAAATGAATTAGCCGCTCGGGAATTTCTGTTCATGAACAATTACGGTACATGATTACACCAAGAAACGGTGAAATAAGGTCTGATTAGGACGCGGGAAAATGGAAGATGCATGCTTACGACGACAGCCAAGATTTGTGAATCCCGATGCTGGACTGAAGATTGTTTTCGAGAAGAAGAGGTTTCTTGAATACTAGGTACTTAGATGCCGTATGATACCTGCCTTGTCAGGTAGGTAGTGTGGCATCGTAGCAGTGTCGCAGTGTCGCAGTGTCGCAGTGTAGCAATTCGATAAATGAGGTTATTTCCTTTTGTACAATCTTACCGTGGTACAAGTGAAAAGATACATGGAACTTCTCATCTCGTGCATATTATCGTAATGGAGAGACCAACGAAGAGGAGAATGATATCCATCGACAACTAAAAAAAGATACACGGTAAGGTCCCGGCACGAACAACGAATTTGTGCAACTCAGATATTGAAGTAGAGGGGTGGGGAATAGATCGTGTGGTTAAAATGGGAATTTTTAGATGAAGACACCAAGGATTGTAAGAAAGCGACAAGCATCCATCTTGGTAAGAGGCGAGAGGCGAGAGATGGTTCGAGGGCACGTACGCCATTCGGCAGCACTAGACCGGATTCTGATTAGTTTTGCATTCAAGCTTCTCCAGTCCCCAGTTAGCTCCAATTCCAATTCTATTCTTGACTGCTTCTTTTTCTTCAACATTCACTGAGTGACATGCCGGTACCGAGAAGCGAGTATACGAACGAGTACACCAGTTGCCAGTATGCCAGGTGCTTTCACTTCAAACAGACAGCAAACAATCCTTGTCCTTTGCTACCTACCTACCTACCTACCTACCTACCTACCTACATACCTGGATACAAGCTATCATCTGAATCTCTATGCACCCCTGGGCATACGTGAGGCAGGAAGTGAAAAAGAGGACATACTATGGACGGAGTCAGATGTCAGATAGAGGTTCGAGGGTGTGAGTCTTGGCTTACAGAGATGCAAGGTATCGTACATACCAAGAAAGCCAGAGAAAAGCCCTTGTCTGCAAGTCTGCAAGCAAGTCTGCAAGCCAAAAAAGTGGAAAAAGGTACAGATGCCAGCATGAAAGAGATCCACATCTCTTTCTATCGTATCACGCTACAAGGTTCATGATTGTTTTTCTCTTCTCTCGTTTGATAGACACAATACTAGGTACCATGTGCTAGCTACTAGCTAATCCTCCGCATTGAACTAGTACGGTATCTTCAGGGTCCAGCTAAATTCACTAGAGCTTATTTATTGCTCCCATGCGAATTTATCTGACTCTCAATCGAGTCAAACCACCTCGATTTCTATAAGATCACTTTTTTCTCCCTCGCTTTTGGCAATTGATCAACAGCTTCCATTTGATCTTTAAACCCAAGACTATTCACTTAATACACCTATATACAATCTCGATACCCGTATTCCGATTGAAATCCTTCAATTGGCGCATCCGATACATCTACGACAGCTTCAGACTTGGAAATTACATATAAACTAGAGCCTTTCCCATCTTCAACTTGATCTCTACTTCGTCTTCCTCAACCCCCTCGATAACCTCAATCTATACCTCGAGTTTAACAAAAGTGGTATCGACCACCGCTTTGATATCGAATCAATACTTAACCTTCAATCTATAATACAATCTTTCCCGCCAACGACATCATGCACTCTATCAGCAGTCTCGTTCTCCTCTTGGCTTCGGTCGTTGCAGCTGTTCCAATCAGCACTGCTCAAGCCCTTGCTTCAAGTAAATATACTTGTGCAACACCATTACTACCTACTACTGGAGGTGCGCTTCCACTTTCTCAAGTTCACCCTTTCAGGATATAAAAGCTAACAATTTTCATTTGCAGCTGTGTCTGCTCTCCCAGCACCAACAGGCACCCTCGCCTATGTTGCTCTCGGTCGTGGTGTCCAAAATTATACCTGCTCCGCCATTGGTGCTACTCCAGTGGCTCTTGGTGCAGTTGCTAACCTTTACGATGCAACCGAATACGCCAAGTGTGCCAGTACCGCATTCAACAATCTCCCAGGTATCGCTGTCTATACCGATCTTCCCTCTACTAGTAGCGCTAGCTTCATGAGTCTCAAACCTCTGGGCAAGCACTTCTTCGATGCTAGTGGAACTCCAACATTTGACCTCTCATCCGTCAGCAAGATTTTGTACGCTGCCAAGACTGGTGACATTGCTCCTCCCATCAATTCCATTCCAGGACCTGCCAATACTGGCGCCGTTGATTGGTTATCCTTAAATGCCAAATCCACATACGTATCCGTTGGTCTCACAACAGTCTACCGCGTCGAAACCGCCGGTGGTAACTCCATCAATCCTTGCACAACAGTAGGCGTTCAGAGTGTTCAGTATGCCGCTCAATACTGGTTTTACAGTTGACTCCCTGACCAAACCGCCGACCCTTCAGACGATGATGACGTATGTGATGATTCTGACGAGTAATGGGTTGAATTCTCAGGGAAGGATATCATTTTCTTTATGGTTTTCAATGATGCATGGCTGGATGGATGGACGGATGGATGGATAAAGGCAAACCTTACAGAACAAATGCATATATAGAATATGCTTTTGAAATGGTAAACGGTTAGCAGCTAAAGGGCACACAAAATGCAATACCTTGGTAGGACATACATTAATATGTACATACACTTCTTTTCTCCACAGAGCACAAGAGTACTTTCTTGCTCGCAGAACCCTCGTTTTATAATCCAAACAAGCTTATATTACCTTGGATTATCTCTGTGAAACCTCTTTTGTTCTTCCTTCCTCGGCAAATTGAATGATAGCACTGGTGTAATCACTTCGCCTGTTTGACCAAATCATAAATAAAGCTTGTGTATCCCTCTTCTTCGATATTTTGGAAGCTCTAACGAATCACTAGATTTAAACATCTGCATTTTGTGAAGAATCAATCACATGTTAGGATGCTTATTTATTTCCAAAGGCGAAGTGTACAGATAAATTGGAAAAATATCACTACTTGACATAGGTTACTTCTCTTCACTTCACTTCCCTTTACTTCTCTTCAGATTGAAAGACTGCACACTCACGTTTAGTGACGGAGAGACAAAAAAAGAAGAAGTGAGATTCTCATACGTTGAAATATGCACAAGCTCCTCATTTTCGTATGCAATGTATGCCTACCCGTTCCCATACGCTTTGAGCCCCCAGACAACACAAAACGGGTGTTGGCAAGTAAATTCGAACTTCAGATCTAGTCGAAATGGAATTCTATCGCATCGATATTTGCATCAGCGAAAACACATTTTAGAACCATGAAACGATATTGAAATTCTTTCTTTGCCATTTAAGCTTCGAACACAATCAACAATGTCGCTGCTGATCCTCATACAGTTTCCCGAACAGAGAAGGTCGTGCTAGTGTATTCGTTGAATTATTACACTCCACTGATTCCTCCTGCTCAAACAACGCCACGCAGTCGCATTTCAAAATGGTCTTTAGCCGTTGTGCAATCTCTAAATACGTCTCGGATGATGGGACCGATCAACGCATCGATTTCTTCATCTACGTTGCACATCGTGTGCTCGTCACAAAAACAGAAGCACACACACCAAAAAATTATCTAGAATCTACATGCTAGTAGCCTGATTTATAATCAAGATTCTCGTAGGTGTCACAATTGAGCGCGCGAGACAAACAAGCTGGGGGTTGTGTCTTGATATGTCGATGTCTGTTTCGATATCAAGACTTCCATGGGTTAGTATGATGGACTCTTTGGATACCACTCTCAAGGTATAAATTAAAGCCGTATCATTTGATATACCATGCTGATCGAAATTCTCGCGAGACTTAATCTTCCCTCGTAGGAAAAACGCCTCTTAGGGAATGGCGTTCAGACGCGAGCATACCGTTTCGCGGGAAACGAGAATGATATCGATGTCATCGACGGAGATGCTGCCGTAAGATGGATCAAGCATGCGGAATAGTGTGAGAGTTCAAGAACTTTAGCCGCTATTGATTATAATATGAGTTTAGAGGGGGAAATGATACGATGGGGTTCGAAGAAGACGGAGATGTAAGTTCCTGCCCGATTTCCTAGCCATAGTAATTCAGTCCATGTTGTGCGAGAAGCGTATCCGTACTGATATATGATCTTTCCATCTGATCATGCCGGAAAATATTGAAAACCTGTCAACTCAGAAACAGGCTTAACGCCAAGTCCGCTAGAAATAAAAAGGGGTTGTGGGAAATTTTTGCAGAATTTAATGATGTCCATCTATTATTATGAGGAAAAAAAGCCAAAGAAAGAAATGAGGTAATGTGAAGTGGTATTGAGAACTAGAATTAACCATTTACAGAATTTCAAGAAAGCGACAACTTCTTGATTTTTTATCGAAATTCTACTCGAGTATTGAAGGTACTCCGTACTATCTTGGAGTTCGACTTCTTATCCGGAGTTCAATCACTTTCCAGAATACGGAATACAACTCTTATCATCATCTCCAATATTTCTGGTTTGGTTAAAGATATCATTGGACGATTGCGTAAGATGATATGTGAGACGGATTTCAAGTAGCCGAATTAGGTAGGTGCGCGGACAAACCTGGAGATTACTGACAGGTACACGGAATAGAACCTCATTGTTGTTCCCGAGAAACCAATCAAAGCTGGTTGATCAACGATGAACGCGACAGTACTCTAACCATTCGTATGAACAAATAAACGCTATGCTTTATCATGTTTGTTTATTTGGACATATCTATGCATCAAACTGTTGCAATATTCCGTGGCCATCAAAGTTGGCTGGCCATGCTCGGGGTGCGAACTCCATCTGCTCTGTTTTATTATTTATTTCCATGCATTATTTGAGGTTACCAAGTGTTAAGAGAAACTGTCAAAAGCATCTTTCTCAAGTGAACTCACGATGACAATCCAAGATTTACCTCCCAGTGAGGAGACACCTCTGCTATCCCCACCACCACAGCAATTCATCTTCTCTTCGTTTCCTCGACCGTTCCGGTCAATCTTTTCCCAAGCACGATCACCATCCTCAATGACAGCGATCGTACTGGCGACTTTATTATGGTTTGAGTTTGGGGGATACTTGATGGCTGTACCCGTGTTGAGAGTCTATGAAGATATAATTTGTCACCATTACTATAATCGCATGCTGGGAGAGGGTCATATCATTCTGGGAGGGGATATAGATGAGAGCATGTGTAAGAAAGACGATATTCAGAATGAGTTGAGCATAATAGTCGCCGGAACATACTTTCTTGGGGCTATTCCAGGTAAGCAAGCGATATAGAAACATAATGACTGAAAGGAAGCTGATCGACACAGGTCTTTTTCTAACAATACCGTATGGTATGCTTATGGATAGGTATACATTGATTTTAGTTATATCAGCAAAATCTAAAAGACGAGGAATCCCCGGGATGATCACTCGAGGCGATCTCTCTTAAACAGATACCGTGCTGACAGACTACAGAATCGGAAGGAAGCCAATCTTTATTTTAGCAGTAACAGGCACTATCCTCAGCTATATATGGAACATCGCGGTAATGTGGTTCTGGCATACAATACCCCTTCGCCTCACTTGGCTTGGTCCCATCTTCACAGTAATAGGAGGAGGACCGAGTGTAGGAAGTATGGCATTTTTTGCGATCGCTAGTGATATCACTCCAGAAGCCAAGAGGTATTTTTTATATTCGTCTTCCAGATATAATTATCTTAGCTTATACTAACAAAACAAGGACTAATATCTTTTTCCTGGCGGCTGCTACGGATCTTGTCGCACAGTTGATCGCTCCGTCTCTAGCTGCTTTATTGATGGCCAAGTCTCCATGGATCCCAATTTTACTAGGGATATCTTTGTCAACTCTCGGGAGTCTCCTCATGTTATTCATTCCGGAAACTCTACACATGCAAGATCGGAGGACTAACACATCGGATGTGGCTCTTGCTACCTCAACTAACGACTTCCCTCATAATTGCAAACCGCAAAGCTCTCTCTTCGCCACGATAAAACACAAATTTTCACATACGCTCCGAACATTCCTATCATCTCTCTCGATTCTCAACTCTGCGCCTCTAGTTCTTCTCCTTATCACTTTCGTCATCAATCCTCTTAGCAGTCAGTCTGAAGATATATCGCTTCGCTACATAAGCAACCGCTTCCACTTTCCCCTTCGTTTAAGTTCCTTCCTCTGGTCCCTCCGCGCTGCTGTGCAAATCATCTTATTTCTCCTAATTCTCCCCTTTCTATCAAAAATCATGATCACCTATTTCAAAATCCCCTCCTCAAAGAAAGACCTTCACCTAGCTCGCGCCTCCATTCTTCTTCTCACACTTGGTTCACTCTTGATCGCCTTAGCCCCAACTCTTCCATTAGCTATCCTGGGGATAGCAGTCTTTACCTTGGGTGCAGGATTTATCTCCCTAATGCGCTCTCTAATAACGACTCTAGTTGATAGACAACACAAGGGACAGCTCTATGCGGCAGTGGCAGTGATCGAGACAACTGGAAGACTAATCGCGGGACCTGGCTTTGCGCAACTTTACATTGCAGGATTGAGATTGAAAGGAATTTGGGTAGGGCTACCATTCCTTGGACTGAGTTTCATATGTGGTTTAGCAGCGGTGGCCGTCTGGACCGCTGGCTGGGTGATGAGCAGGAGGAAATGGGTTTGGGAAAATGGCGAGGATGAGATTTTAGAAAATTCCGGTAATAATGAGGAGGGAGTAGAGGAATGAAGGCGAATCACAGAAGATGATTATCAGAATAGACATAGAAAGATTCAGCCTTTTACACGATGCATGCCCAGCTGGTTTATGTGTACTAAAAAGCCGTTTTGACAATCACAGATGACTAATTCCACAACTGTAACTTGTTACCTCTTTAATGCTCCAGGCTAGCCTTTATCAGATGTATTCTTGTATACATATATGACAGCCTCAGTTCATCTACTCTGTATATCGTGAGTATATATTTATATGAGATTATCATATCAGAGGTACGCATGACCAAAGGCTGAAAGGGAGGGTATAAACAGAGTTTCTCTTCGTAGCTTCGCTCTTTTCTCTTCAAAGTTCATAGTTTATAACGTCAATTGAACTGTTCGATCTCTACAGTTCTTCGATACCCTCACTCCGTGGCACATCGGAACGTGATCTACATATCTAATATACTAATTACTATTTCTCACTTTTACCATCTAATCAGGTTCCCCTTCACTTCAATCATCCGTGGGAGATTCACCAGGCTTTATCCCCCGCATTTGAGCATATTTCCATGCCCTAAACAATCCTTGTAGGATTCACTGAATATAAAGTCGCTTACTCTTCTCAAAGGTCTCAAATCCAACGATCGAATGAGTACATTCACTATCTAGCCTTTAGATTCACCTTTTCAGAGATTTGATCGCTTTTTGAAAGAAATAACATCGACACCATCAACGTCGCAGCACAACTTCACCCCTACGTACATTTTCACGCCTACGTAAGCTGAAAAACATTCCTCACAATGCTTTTACATACAAATCTATATCGCACTACTAACATTCCCATCTAGGAACATGAACGATTCCGAAGAGCTCACTGAGGCGGACGATATCGATCCTTCCTTGATCGAAGAAGTCGAACCCGCTTCCCACTATCCACCTCTAAGACATAATTTTCATTGGATTACGCGGGCCTACAGATTCCATCAATTCTCAAGCCAAGTTTGTGTAATCAATCAGGCGAATTTCGTAGTCAAGCGCGCGCCAGTCGAGCGATATTGGTTTTGGTTCGTGGAGAGAAGATTGAACGAATTGGCCCCAGGCGCCAAAATCTGCCGAGGAGAAGCAGGCTCTTTTGCGCTTGGCTTTCGAACAAGTGAGTAATACTGAGTGTACATTTTCTGCAGAAAAAGAATTCTGATATTTAGAGTGCAAATTGCCTGTGCTTGAAAGTTTCGGGGCTAAGCGAGCTATGGAGGCGGGAGACCCTGGTGTTGCCGAAAGCGTAGGTTGCAGCTACGTATATTGTGCGAGGATTCAAAGCTGATGATAGGGGTTTGAGGCTATCGATGCCGATTTTACTCTCTCCCAATGCGTAGAACGGTTCGCCTTTACTCAAGATGATTTTCGTCATATAGATGGCTCGGCCTTAGCTATCGTCCCAAACCAGCCAGCTACAGACACGGTGTCCCTAGAGCAACAGGCTGCTAATGAGGCCGAGCAAGCTCGCTTGTTTGGCGAAAGTCGGGAGCGAACTGGTCTTGGTGATGTTAGCGGTGGTGAATCTGGTGAAGATGTTGATGCGAATGGAGAAGTCGTTATGGGATAGATTTGGGCGGACGGTGGTGAAAACTCGAATAAAATGATGCAAATCAGTGCCTTGAGAACGCTTCAGTTTGAATATTTTGAATATTTTGAATGTTTTGAATGTTTTGAATGTTTTGAATTACAATCTGTAACTTTGAGATAAATTCTATCATAGAATCTAAAGGATAAAAGAATAAAACAAGTATGATTTCTAAGATATGAGAGTAATTAAATGACTTTTAGAGGGTATAAGAGTAATTTGTCATAAAACAAATTGATATTAATGTTGAACGTAATGACGTGTTCTTTGGTGGATGTTAGGAAATAATACTGATCGCATACAAATACCAGTCAGTGTATTCAGTATCCCAGAATTCAGTCAAATCTTCTGCTTTCTTTAACAGTCGGCTATATAAACGAAAGTTGACGATCACTATCCTATGAATCTCTTTCAGACAACTCCTTTTATTGATCATCTATCTACCCAGGATAAACGGCCCCGTCACCCCTGGGATCACTACCTCCGCTGAAAACCAAAACTCCATCCTCCTCTCCATGTACCCTTATCAACTGCCCTCTACCAAAGACACCCCTTTGGTGCCCTTCAACCATCTTCACCTGATGACCCATGCCCTTCAGTTTCTCGAATGCATCTTTGCTGATCCCTTCTTCCAAAAATACTCTTCTCTCTTTATTTGATTCTCCCGGAACACCATCTGCACTGATGCAAAATCTCGGCGCATCAAGTGCTGCTTGAGGGTTCAGTTTGAACGCTAACATGTTAAGTAGTACTTGGACATGTCCTTGTGGTTGCATAAAGCCACCCATGACGCCGTACACACTATGTAGCGAATCATCGTGGACATTGGTGACCATAGCTGGAATGATAGTATGATAAGGTCTTTTCCCAGGCGCAATGGCATTAGCATGGCCCTTCACAAGTGAGAAATTGCCACCTCGGTTTTGTAGAACAAATCCGCAGCCTTTAGGAATGATACCGCTACCAAAACCTTCGAAGTTTGAGTTTATGAAGGAAATTCCGTTGCCCCATTTGTCGGTTACGGCGAAGTATACAGTATCACTATGATTATGAGCTGGTGAACCATGATCATATATCTCGGGATTAGAACGCTGAGGGTCGAATAGTTTGGCGCGTTCGGCGAGATAAGGTTGAGAGATCAGTTCTTCTACGGGGACTTTGGTGAAAGCTGGGTCGGCGATAAACCAACTAGCATCTGCGAAAGCGATACGCAAAGATTCAATAACAGCATGAAGGTATTCGGCAGAATTATGATCTTTCTCTTGGAAATGCGGGATCTTGCCCGTGTTTTCGAGTTCTTCGAGGATACCGAGGGTCATGAGTGCTACGAGTCCTTGGCCGTTGGGTGGGTGTTCCCAGATTTTGACACCATGATCGTCTTCGCTGATGCCTTGGCCAGATATTCCGTCGACATAATGATGGGTTTTGCTGTACCCTTGGCCTTTGAAAACTTTGGAGATGGGTGTAGATTTCTCACTACCAATGTCCATATGGGTTTTCAAATCGTCTAGCTCAAGGAATCCGCCTAAATTCCGAGTAACTCTGATGATTTCTTCAGCAATTCTTCCGGTGTAAAAGCCTTTCTTGCCTTCAGTTGCGAGTGCTCTGAAAGTCTTAGCAAGATTTGGGTTTTTGAATATTTCTCCTGGTCTTGGTGCCCGCCAGCCATTTGGAGCACTCGAATCCTCTTTTAGCATTTCGGAAAAGTTAGGGGATGCCCTTTGAAGGAGACCTTCACTGCTTCTCCACTATTGATTACATTAGACTTGGCAATACTGGGGAGAGTTAGGCTGCAGTACCATAGTTGAGGCTAATTCGGAGACGGGGAACCCCTTTTCACCCATCTCAATAGCCGGAGTCAAGATTTGCTCCAAAGTGAGATTTCCGCTACCAAATTTCTCAACAGTATCAACCCAACCTGCAGCTGCACCTGGCACAGTAACAGCATGCGGACTTTTCAGTGGGATTCTTGCAGGTTCATCATCCTTTAGTCCGAGATCTTGTCGAATTTTTTCAAGAGAGCATTTATTGCCTGCACGACCTGAGCCATTTAAAGAACTAACTTCCTTTGTCTTGGCATCATAAAAAAGACAAAACATATCACCACCGATACCGGTGGAGGTTGGCTCCGTCAGGTTAAGACCAGCAGCTAGATTTTTGTTAGATTAGATGATACTATATTGAAGCGCTTTAACATACCAACTGCAACCGCTGCATCCTAAGACAAATTAGCTTGTATATTATTAGGAAAAGGACAACTTACAGCTGCATTTCCACCTGCCTCCAAAACCTTGAGACCACATCTAGCGGCTAAAGGCTGGGTACACGCGATCAAACCATCAGTGCTGTGAACAACACTTCTTCTGCTAGGAAATGTAACAAACTCTGGGTCGGTGGCCGGAAAGACTGAGTTTAGATTGACAGGCATGTTCGAAACAGATCTCTAAAGTGGGCAGCTGAAAGAGATACTTTCTAAATCCTCGGCTACTACCGTTGATAACGAAATGTATGTTTAAGTAAGTTTCTATACCACCGTGAAAGTTTCATGTATTAGACAGAAGTACGAAAGAGAAAAGTTGTAGAAACAATCTCCCACAAGATTTCATTCACACTTCATTTATCTAACATTTGAATGGCGAAAGAGGAAGGTTAGTCCCGCTTTCGGCAATTACGATATAAAATGTGAACGTGGGGTTAAGAGATTCAGTGGACTCTGCCTAGGTAGTAGGTAGGCGAGATAGGTATCCGGATATGAGTACTAGGCACTTTTAGACAGTCTTTATAACCCAATTTTCTTTCCCTTCTCAGTTCTCTATGAAACCTACTCTGTTATTTATTGATTTGAAGTAAATAGAAGCTAAATTTCTATTTTGAATTTTCAAATTTTATAATATCATTTGTGGTTGATCTGAAATTCAAATGAATCGATAAAGTCGAGGTCCTCAGTTCCGGTAACTTACCTCACTCACATAGATAGCGGGGAAGTTGCTCGCTCACGTCACTATGGAAGCGGCCGCTTGAAGCTAGTTTTCCCGAGTATAGGCCGTGCTCCAAAAATGTTGAAGGATAAGATTAATAAGTTACATGAAACAGAAACTAATAAATTATCAAGAAACCCGTTCCAACGAGAATGTTTAGAGCTCCTTGGATATGTCGACGATGTATAGATTTATCATTGAAGCCTGGTAAAAGACGATCTTTGGCATTCACACGATTCTCAAGCACCGTCCGTTAGTCTTCAAATCTACCCTTCCTTTCACATCCTCTTACACGAAGAACAGCAAACAATGGCGACACCTTTTCCCCAGCATTACTTGCGCGAGCTCGTAATTTGGCAGCGGAACATGATCGATTGAGTAACGAAACCTCCGAGACTTTCGATGCGAAAATTGCGAAACGAATTGGAGAATTACAAAATGTAGCGATAGCGCTGAGAAAATGGGAAGAAACGAAAGAATCGCTATCAGAGCTAAATGATCTACTGAAAGAGTCATCTACCGATGAAGAATTGAGAGAATTGGCAGTGGAAGACATTGCTACGACGACTGCCCATCTCGAAGAATTATCCCGAAACCTCACAATCAGTCTGACTCCCAAACATCCTTTCGCCGAACTACCATGCCTCCTTGAAATTAGACCTGGAGCCGGAGGAGGTGAAGCCGCGATCTTCGCCGCGGATCTCCTACGCATGTACCGGGCATATTGCGCGCGCAAACGCTTCCGCTCTACAATCATCAAATACGAGACCACTGACGGCGAAGGCGCTGGATCCGATGCGCCCATCTCCGAAGTTGTGCTTGAAATTGAAACGTCCGGATCGTACGATTCCTTGCGCGGCGAAGCAGGCGTTCATCGAGTTCAGCGAGTTCCTGCAACTGAGAAACAGGGAAGGACACATACTAGTGCAGTGAGTGTAATGGTGTTACCTAGTTTCCCCACGACGGGACAGGAAGGACAGGAATATTGGGAAGCGGATCTGAATGATCCGAATAGTGATTATTATGTCAATCCTGCGGATGTACGGACAGATGTCATGAGAGCGAGAGGAGCGGGTGGTCAACATGTCAACACAACTGATTCGGCTGTGCGGTTGACGCATGTACCGACTAATACGGTGGTCAGTATGCAAGAAGGACGAAGTCAGCTGCAGAATCGACAGAAGGCATGGCAAGTACTACGGTCGAGACTAGCGGCTGCAAAAAGGGAGGCTAGAGAAGAACAATTGATGAGTTTAAGGAGAAGTGTGATTGGAGTCGCGAAGATGGGAAGAGGCGATAAAATTAGGACCTATAATTGGGGACAACAGAGGGTGACGGACCATAGGAGTGGATTGAGTGTGCATAATTTGGATGATGTTATGGAGGGCGGTGATGAACTTGAGAAGGTTATTGATAGCGTCAAAGCATGGTTTTCTGAGCAGGAAATCCTAGGATTGCTTGCTGATGAGGATGCTGCAAGCAAGGCAAAGTAGATGGCAGAATTAAGTACTTTCCATAAGTAGAAATGCTCTCTTCAACATTTCTCCAGACATTCGTTTTTCTTGTCCAACACTCATTTGCTCAAGTATTCATTGAATCCAGGAGGCAGATTTTATATCTAATTCAATCTAGCAATCCGACTTGAGGTAACGTACTCGGGACATCTCGCTGAAATTCAGAGGATTCGATATCATGACGTATGCAACTCATCAAATCACATTCATAATGCACATCGCATGAACAAGAAATTAAGAGGTAAGAATAATGAATTCTAACCAGAAGTTATAGTAAAGCCCAAAGAAACAACACATCCAACAACAAGATGTGCCCCTGCCTCCTATGATCCAAACATTCCCAACCAAACCATAGTCCAACAGTTCCTCCCAAATAAACAAAAGTTCCAAAACCATACTCCATGCCTGAAAATTATTTAAGCTGGTGGAGCGCTGGTGTTCTGTGTAGCTTCAGTTCTTTGAACGGCTCCAAATCGGGTATTACCTTGGTCAAAGATCTAGAGAAAAAGTCAGTGCGTGGTACAATCAAAACTGGGTTGGGGATGGAGCTTACAGCATAGATTCCCTTGAGGAAAGTATCGCCAAGAATATCAAACGTCATGGAACCTCTGGATTGGATACCGCCATAAACCATACCATTACCCGCATCGGCAAATCCCAAATCTTCCTTTTGAACTGCGAATTGCTTGCCGCCGACGGCAAAAGTAACGACGGGGAGATCATCGGCGCTGGTGTTACTTGGGAATGTGTATCCTTGCTGTTCCGAATCATAAGTAGATCCTGGGATTGCATCATAGATGGCTTGACAAGTTTCATCAGAAACCAATGCAAGAGTGGTTCCGGTATCGGCAATAGCCTGGTTACCAGTCTGCGCGACAGTCTTGCCGTTGACAGTAGCAGAAGTGGAGTCAAACATCCAGAATCCTTGAGAGTTGTCGATGGGGGTGTAGTAGATTTCGTTGCTTCCAACAACGTCTTGGTCGATGTAGCCAAATGTGTAGAAGCTGACACCTTTGTCGGCTTCGTCGGCATCACGCCAGCTACCGAGATTTACAGTGAAAAGTTCGGCATCTGATGGGATATCTTCTTGGCTGATCATGTTCTCAACGGGTGTAGCAACTGGTTTGGGTGTGACGGTATTGATGCTACCCCATGCGAGACCAAGCAATCCATCGCCGGCACCCTGTTCAAATTGAGCAGACAATTTGGTTGCAAGCTCAATTGCCTGGTTTTTGATGGCCAGACCACCAAGAGAAACAGTATCTGTTCCAACGGTACCTGAAGCAGAAGAGGAATCACCATATGAGATTTGCCACTTGGAACTCTTGGCAGTTTTGAAGGTGGAAGACTTTGATGGGTCGAAGATCGTGTGTCCAGTTGCCTTGGAAGTTGTGGCTTTGGGAAGTTCTGTGGACCAGACCTATTTCGCCATGTTAGTTTTTGCTGCGAGAGTCAAACGTTCGTGTACTTACCCATAAATCAGACGATCCAGTATCAAAGTCAAGCATTAGAGTTTGTGCTGGAGTACCAATTTGTACAGGGCAAAGATACTCAGAATCATTTTGTTGGTCTTCGGCTGGGACTTCGCCGTTCTCTCCGGTAGATGTCTTCTTTGCCAACACACGTTGAGTTTGTGATTTATGGCCAAACTTATGGAAGCTAGCTGAAGTTGCGGTGGCCTTGTTCATCTGAAAGTATGGACCAGGCTGTGTGGGCTCAAAGCCCCACTTATTGAGTAGATAGACATAGGATTTGGTACCGGATCTTTTGTAGTTCTTGTTAGGAACCAGTCTAATCTTTGACAAGCCTTGGAGAGTAGCCATGTTGGGTATTTGATCAAGGTGGATAGAGAATTTAGTTAATAATTATTCTGTTGTAGGTAGATGTGATTTAAAGATGAATGGTATGAGGAGAGAAAAAGTTGATGAAGGGAAAGGCTGCCTTTAAATGCTGTTAAGCATCGTAACTTTCTCACCTGTAGAGCTCCCTTTCCCCGCTAAGATACCTAGCTTTCAGATGATCTAGCCAAGGCGTCATAAATTTAAGTTCCGTAGTTTCAGGGCAGCTTCCATGCTATGCACGACCGGGGAAGCCGCATAGTGGGTATTGATAAGGAATCATTTGGTGAGGCACACCCCTTCAAGCACGCAGCTGTTGGTAAATGCCAAGATCATATGATTTGAGTATCAAAAAGTCAAAAAGAATTCTTGATGCTATTCATGTACACTTGGACATGGTTGAAGATCTAAATTTGGCCGAATCTTCAACATACTGTATCTCGTGAACGGATTGAGACGAAATCCCCCAAACACCGAATTCGCCCCTTAGTCAAGATAGTGACACACTGCGAGAGGGGGCAGTGAAGATGATGTTATCCAGGGTACACAAGGTTTATCTTTCGGCACTTCCTTCAAAGTGGATCGATTCGAGACAACAACCCCTCGTCGTACATGATCTGAAGAAGTAACAATTGAGAGAGGCTGTGCCAATAAACATGAGATACTACGCGTAAGCTAACCACTCCACAAAAAACAAGAAATAAGCATCCACTAGGTCGAATTAGATGGAGTAGGAACCACCCGTGCCGTTGTATAGTGCCGTTCGTCGTTGTCAAGCTCATGCTATCCAAACATTGGCTCACGACAACATCATCTGGAACATTAAAACGGACGATATCAAGCTGAAAATTTATTGATTTGCGTTGACAGTTTCTTCAAGGGTATCAACAAAGAAGGAGGATAATTGACGTCATTAACGCCAATAATAGCTGGCTATAGTGCTTCATGGAGTGGCGTTGATCGATTACCAAATGCTGCGAACAAGCTGCGTCGTACCTGAAATCCCAATGAGATATTACACATTGGGAAATGTTCAGTCCTTGATATGGTAATTGCGCCGATAGAATTTGGACACACAACACACAGGACACAGGACATAGCATCCCAATACCAAGTAAGCTGACCAAGGTAGCATTTCCCATCATAACCCCGACAGTACAAAATCGATAGATTGTTCGCATGAATCCGAGATACGAACATGGCGATGCCTATCGTGCGAATTTAGTGGAGTTGCACATGGGATATAGCTTCATGACCTTCCGAGCTTCCTTATCAGGAGAAGCCAAACCAAAAGCTTGAATCCACTTGGCACCACTCTTGGTGGCGGGTATCGGGAATCCCCCACCATAGAAGTATCCTTGATCCTTTATACAGTTCATTCGTCTGTTTCAATGTCCTTTTCTTAATGCTTGTTTCTTCTTCCTTCGTGAAGCCAGAAATTCGCATCAATTCGTATCAATTCGTGGTCGTGCTGCTGATCCCATCTTAAGATCAAGATCAAGGATTGGAATTTTATTTTTAACTCCTGGCTCATCATTCTCTATTTTGAGACATCGCCCCTAGAAATGACGTTTCTTCACTTGGCTTCCATGTTGACTTGTTGATATGATCACCTCCACGGGATATGCAAGACATGTATCGTTTGCAAAATATCTACCGGTCCTGTGCTGTTGCGCGGCTGACAGCTGCGAGTATGGTGATTCAGGACATCACACCCAGAAGCTTGCCCAAACAAACTTCTTGCTGTTATCTCGGGGCTCTTCCAATCTAAGGGCAAGAAGTGTGTTTAAAATTTTGTGGTGTGAATTTAGCAGGGTCTGGGAGGTCTTCTGATATATGTGAGGTGCGCGAGTAGCGGATCTGGGTAGGCGTAGGATTCATTCATCATGTGCTTTAGCAATTGGTCTTTTGTTACTCTATATAACGTGGTTTATCAGTGCATGGCCTATATCAATAAATGGCCCACTTTCACCTCAATTCAACTCCCTCATTTCAATATACATTTTATTAATAATCCATAATAAATTCGAATAATAAAGAAACCTATATATTATTTATTATTATAGTTATTCAAAAAGATAAGAAATTAAATATTCGAAAAATTGTAATACTATATAATATCCCATAATCAACATTACAATATAAAATTAACAATATACCTCCTTATACAGAAATTCAATCTAAATCTTAAAATCTCTTAGAATTAGAAAAGGAAATCATTATTCAGTATATAATTAATATGAATTCAAGAGATTTTGTATTTAAATAAAAAGGGATAGAAAATATAACAAATTATATTCTTGAATCTTAAAATACAAAAAGAATTAGAAAGTTTTAGGTTCATTAATTTATTAAATGTTATATAGAGTTAAAAACACATTTTAAATATATTTATGATTTTCAAAAAATTCTCTACAAAAATTCTATACTTATTGAAAACTGATTCTAATTTATATCGAATATACAAGCAAAATATAGTATTCTCGATTGTAATTTATAAAACTTTGATGAAATTAGCTTTATAATAGATATTATAAGTATTGGTATAATTATTACTAATACTGAGAGATACAGCAAAAATAAAGTTATACAATCAGACAATCGAGAATAAGCAACAGTGATTATATATAGTAATAATAAAAGAAACACTATACCTCCATTTCTGATAGTTCTGTTACAACGGATTAGTAACAGGCTGTGGAATCACTAACCTATAGGCTATAATGGTATTATAGGCCTCAGTGATTCAGCTGCAGTATACCGGGGGACACTAGGCACCCAAGGAAAGCCTCAGGCATGTATATAGTATTAGTCATAGGATACCCTAGAAACCTAGAACATAGTTCCCAGGACAGCAGGTCCTAGGAAAGACAGAACACAGTAAGCAAGAAGGCTTCACTAGGATTAGTAATGTCCCAGGGGATTAGCCCCAGGACAAAAGAATAAGCTAGGACAATAGAAATCACAGGACAAGTGTCATGTGATCAAAAGCCGATCGACTTATCGATCGACTTGTCGATCGACTTGTCGGTCGACTTCAGTACGAAGGTCTATATAGGGAATGGGTTTCATTACAATGTAGAGCTTCGTGCTCAAGAACAATCATTAGTTTCATTACTATAGTTACGAGAATTGCAACCAGTTACAACCTTATTGAATTCCTACTTGAAGTTTAGTCTAAACCACCTCGAGAGATCTCTAGACACTTCCACGTGACCCTAGAGGCAGCTCCCGTAACAAATACTTACTAAATAAAAAACTATAAATATATTATTTCAACAAAAGATTAATATTCAAATTCGATGTGATAGATATCAAAATAAAGGAAATTCTAATATAAAGGTATTCTTTAATCGATACTATAGTAAATATAGAAAAACAGGTTATAATATAAGAATCTATAAAAATAATATAATAGATTCTAGATTATTAGATTTATAATAACTTTAATTAATTGATTCAATAATTATTAAGAAATATAAATTTGAAAATATAAATTGAGATGAAAGTAGGCTATTCACTAATATAGGCCATGTATTGATAAATCATGTTATGCTGCTTCTTTAAATCACTTTGCACTCTACCTTTTGGCAGTAGAAACGGCTCCCATTCATAACTTTGATCGCTGAGTGGGTGATAATCCGCGAAAACGACGGATACGTACCAAACGATACATCCTGCTGCAACTCTATGGACAAGACCGAGCTTGAGAAAAGAAGATGGTGTCGTCGTGACGCCTTCAGTATCATTGAGGTTGATATTGTGCATATAGTACCACGCTGTTGGCGCTTATTATGCTGTGCTGACGGCTTACATTCCTATGCTACACAAAGTTGAAAACAAGCTTCTCGCGAATGCACAACTGTGTGGGGGTCAGTGAGACATCTGAAAATGGAGATAGCATTCAATCATCGTCCTTGGCATGGACTTAGAATCAAGACCAATTCTGCCAACGGGCATGATAAAAAGTGAGCATCCCGCCGCGAGTCATATCGAAATTTTGCATCTCCCGAAGATATTGAAATTCGGTTGTTATATCGGCAATTCAGGGTTGGATAACATCCATTTATTGTAAATCAATTTTTCATTATCGGAATGCAATGAGCATTTACCAGATCATCACAACCCCCAATTCTTGAATGCTTGAACAATGTTTGGGAATTCGAAGTCCCTCGATCTAGGATGGGTATTGAAGACACAAAGGGTGTCCTGTGACCCCCAATACAAGAATATCAACCCACTCGTCTCATCTAGTATCTCTATTCCCCCATTTCACCCTCCAGATTTGATTCTTAATTTTTTGGTCGATATTCTCCCACGTCCATATCAGTATCCAGCTGCACATCACATACTCTCCTTAAAGATCCTCTCCGCCTCCTTCTCCACTCCCTCATCCTTGATGTTTTTTCTCTCTCCCACCTCAAACACTCCACTATCTCCTTCCTCATTATTCCTTTTCTGTCCTTCCAAAACACCTCTTATCGTCTGTACAAAAACGCAGCTTCCAAAATGCTATCAAAGCTAACCAAAGGACCAAAATACACAGACATTCCATCCATCCCAGAAATCCAATCACACAAATGACCCAGACCCACGGAATCAAGTATTGTATGGTTTGGAAGAACTTCTTGAGTGAGTGGGTGGGAAGACAGATAAATTGAATGTAGATATATCGAAAATAGTGAGTAGCCGCAAGCCCAGGAGATGAAAGGTGTGAGGAGGGGTACTGAGATAGAGAGAATCATGTTGTCCGACATAATGAGAATAGTCAGATTCTATGTTGCTTTTGGCTGAATTATCTAATGTGTACTTCCTGCAGTGTTTTGTATCTTAAGATATATCCGTTCAAAAAGAGCAAAGACTCAGAGGGGATGGAAGCATATATTCCCCAGATTTGAATCATCTTTAGGTACGTCACAGTTTCCAGTTTCCACAAACAAAGGTTGACTAGGAAGTTTGTTTCGTGAGCTGTATAACGGCAGAGTGCTACCAAACCATTCCCCAATTGTTTGCTATTCTGTCCAATTTGTGGGATATCAATCATGGATAATCAAGCTTCTGTCGTCTAGCGATGAAAAAGATGGATTACCTAAAGCAGTGGTCGCGTTTGTTTCTTGCTCGCTGCTAAGATGTGATACTTACTTACTTCAAAGCCTTTCATCACTAACTCTCTCTGAAGGGGAGGCGAATCTTTCGATTCTAACTGATTCATATAATCTCCCTGTAACTTAGCATACCAAGCGCCCTCGACAGTGTTGCGTGTGACGAAGTGAATCCGCTTCAAAAAAGGTATACTCGAGCATAACATCAATCAATACCCTCTCTGGATTATTATTATGGATGGTAAGCTAGCTCGACATTGTTCTGCTCATCAGAAAAGCACATAGTAGAAAACTATATATCCACGTAGTTCAAATAAGATAGGAAAATATGTGATTTAACACAATCAACTAGTTGTGAACCTTCACATGCATTAAGATGTCCGTCATATGACCGCGTACCATTTCTCCTGCCTTTTAAACGATGGTGTTGTAACAGCTGTACGATATGCTCTTGTCTGGTCCTTGATATCAAAGAGCTCGTCACTCATTATTGAGATAGGATATCTTGAAATAAAAGAGGTCTCAAGCAACGTAGATGTCAAAATTTGGCTAAGAAACCCGTCGATATCGTGATGGCATTGAAAGCTTGAATCCACTTACTTCTGAATAGCATGCATGAGTCAAATTTAGGAGACGACATCTCACTGGTACCAAATGATTATATGTTCCAGAAACATTTTTCGAGGGAAAGAGAAGATCTCCCTTTTGTATCATATCAAATTGGCGTGCCACGGCTAAATATCGGCTTCCCACTAGCACGTGATATCAACACGTCGAGCCTCACTCGCCTCGACAAAAAATTCTGCTTCGGTTCTCTCGGGCTCTGGCACCCTTCACTTCAAATAAGCCTCGAGATTTAGAGCGATTGTATTGATGGGGTTTTTTTCACAGCTTCGGTGGCAGAGAATATCAATAAATGGTACACATGTATGATGTATAATATTCGACCAGTTCCCTTTAGATATACGAGTAGATGGCTTCTTCGCTAATCCAAACCGTATCTCACATCTGGACATCTGTACATCCATGGATCTGGGGCGAAACTGATTTTCGAGGAGAAGCTTCATAAATGATTGACTCAGATGCTAGTTGATGCGAGATAGGCGACGCTCTTCTTTTGACTGTTACTTCGTAGTTGATCGCAGCTCTTATCGAACAGACTCACCGCATGTATACGGCCGAAACACACGAAGTGGATACCGAAGCTGTGGTCCAAAAGCTAAACTTTGCAATACTTATGCGAATTGATAAACCATATCTTGATCTGTTGATACTACATCGACATTTCAAGCAGTGACAAGTGTCTCGATGGAGCTTGCCGGGAAATGGAAAACAAGGACCAATCTAGCACTTTGTTCCGGGGGGCAAGGTTCTTCATCCCTTCCAGTGAAGCCAAACACATATCGTTAGGTACAGTGATATTGATGAACTATTGATAGACTGCGTATTCTGCCAAAACTTTCCAAATGACCCACTTCAACCCAATTCTTCAACTGGACCAAGTCTGGGTGCACCTCTTTCCGCAAGGGATCTTTGCCATGTGATAGCTCTAATAAGTATATTGGGGACTCGTATCGAAGTTTGTGTATTTAGGCTCACCAAATAAGTCTTCAGTTTTTGAACGTCGGAATCCGAGCAAGCGCCGGTGCCACGTTGTTTCATGGAGAAGATAATCGTCCCGTAATATCTCTGGCATTTCAGAGATTATTTGTTAAGAATATCGGTAGTGGTGGATTGATCAAGGAAGCCTTGAAGTAATATGTCCTCTGCATCTCGAGGGTTATCAGTAATTTGCCGTCTAGCGAGGACAATATTACCCCAGTGGTGCAGCTCACGTCGATTTTCATCTATGAGTCTTTTCCTCTTGGGAGGGTAGCATGCGATGTAGAACCCAAAATTTGAGCCTTGGTGTATACCGACTAATTTCTGCTCCTTTTCGACGCGCAAAAGCTTGTAGTGTTTCATTTGAACTGCAATATATCAACCCAATGAGATCGTTAATTCCGGACGAAAGTGGTTTAGCTGTCAGCTGGCCTACAGTATCAATCGTATCCCATTCTCTTCCTAAGAGCTAGCAGCTCTGTATACCGATCTTTTGGGCAACATCTAACAATAGATCACCGAATCGTCGTCCGATGACCAGGTGGCTCAACTTCCAGTCTGTCAGAATGATGGATCTTTTAATCTCCAATCTAGGAAGCGTGATAGTATGGCACTGTGCGACACGAACTAGTCTTTTTTTATTATCTGATGCGCGATAGTCATATTCTCTTGACAACTGAAAGGAAAAGAAAAATATGAGGAATCTTCGTACTCCGATCTCCTTGCGTCATGTGGTTGTGAGCAGTAACTGTTAAGTAGTGTCGACGATATTCTTCTAAGATACCTAGCTAGATCTCATAATTTGATTGTTTTGAAGAAGCCAGAGTACAAGCGGCATATAATATGCTGGGTGTAAGCAAACGGTCTGGCGGGTCAATGCTGGCCGGTCTCTATATGCACCGTTTTATTCACTATTTCATGTGAAGAGGGTGCATATGATCTGTTTTAATATCACTTACTCAACCAATCATGCCAACATGGTTGTGCACTTCAATGGCGCTGTGGATAAAGCGCCATGCTCTTGACGGAAACTTGGCGCGGCTCGATTCGCAGGTCAGGTTCTTGAAAGTCCTTCGGGATAATTCGTTATGTGTGGGGATTGTTGGCTTCTTTACTAAATATTCTATATTGTAGATTTGACTTCTACCCATTATTATTATAGCGATATCTTAGTTCTTGATTGCCGATTACTAAGAACAGAAATTTTTGCTCTTTTTTGGGCTCTTCTGAGCTAGAGCTAATACATAGTTGAATTTTTTGTAGATCTATGAATATATGAATGTAGGTGAATGACCTTAAGTCATTAGTAGTACACTAAGCGAGAGGGCTAGCCTCAAAGCATATAAGGATTGCTTCTTTCTGTAGATAGCTAGCTCTTTAGACAGAATACAATATTGACATTTAGGACCTACCATCGTAGGTGCTACGTCATCGTCATCTGTATCCTTCTCAAACCAACAATGAATCATTCAATAATTATTCACCAAAACCAATAAGAAATACAACTCCATTTTATATATAAATACAATAATAATTGTCATCTTCTTCCGAAGAATAAGTGTTTGGAAATTTTTGGATTCAATAAGCAATGGCGTAGGTACCTATAGCGTCTTTTTGGGACGAATAGTGACAAAATTCAATGTTTTAGTGTAGATCGCCTCGACGCATCTTAACGTCGATCGGCAATGCATTGTTGTAGCAAAAGTTTGGTAACATCAACGGCATCCCATTTCCTTTCAATTCTAAAATACTTTGATAATATCTATAGCAACAGTACTAATAGCCTCCTTACCAGTAATCCAATTTGTTTCCAACCACACCTTTGTTTGTGTCCCATTTTACCACGAGAAACACCTAATCCTTCATCTCATTTTCACTTCAATAATTCTCTCTAGCATCCCACATCTCTATCGCCGTCTTCTTTCTAGCTATCCGTTGTCCTCGACTCAAATTCTCTCTCCTGCCATATTTCCTCTCAACATCACTACTCCAACTGCTCTTTCTCTTCTTCCCTCCATACCAACTGCCACTCACACACCTTTTCTTCTCTCCAATATAATTCGCACCACTAACCGTGCGTTTCTCCCTCCAACTTCCGACATCCCTACTCCCACTACCCCCACGATTTCTTTTAATCTTTTCCGACGTATTAGAAACCGATCTCTTTTGAAAATAAGCTTTACGGAACACATTATTAGGATCAAGCCATTGCAAGCAAATTTGATGCATAGGTTTTGCTTTCTCCTCTCCCTTGCAAGGAGATCGAACCGACCAGTCCCAAAATCCAAGGAACTTATATGCGTTCTCCAGTGCTTGGCGGCCTTTAGTCTCATCCGCTGCCAATTCATCAAGGCTTAGCGGTTCCACGGTGATTCTCTTGAGAATGAACGCTTCATATTTCCACAGCAATTTGACACCAAGAAGTTCTTCGGTTCTTTTAACTGGATCGAAGCTCCAGAGCTGAAGAGCTGAAGAATCTAGATGGTTTTGAGTGAATGATGTGAAGCCATAGGTGTAAGGCCGCTTTCCTGATTCGAACGGCAAGAGCTGATGCTTCAATTCCATCAGACGAAATATTTCTTGTTTTGCGATTTCATTTTGAGCCTCAGCATTATCTCTTTTCCATTCATTATATCTCTCGCGACCCCATCTTCCGAGTAGTAGGATCTCCGGACTTTTTATCCATTGTTCGTGAAGGGCTTCTATAGATGTACTGCCTTCTGACTTGATGGAAATAACTGTAGGAGGATCTGTAGGATCACTAGTCGACTTAGACCTTATAGCCAGGCGAAAGCTTCTTGGTGCTTCTCTGACTTCTGCAATTGTAGAGAAGATCCGATTTTTCTCATCAACGACATTGGTTACATGGTTTGCGAAAACAGTAGGTTCTTCATCCAAACCTCCGTCTTTGAGGAATCCTACCAACGGTATATCAATTTCAATAGGTTCCTCGACTACTTTTGCGACTTTAAACCTGATTTGGTCTTTTTCAGCACTGATATTGATTTGTGGTCCTGCAGCAACGCAAAGATCATCCCCGACAATTCCATTCGTAAAGTTTGCGTTTGCATTTCCCAGTGGATCAGTTTCATCCACCGTGTCTCTCACTTCTCTCACCTCTGTAACAGTTGAAGTAAGTTTACCCTTGTTGAGTACGTTATCAATCACTGGTCCAGTGGCCATACGAAGACCTTCATATGCTTCATCCACAATCGCATTTATAGCATCTACTTCCGATGCCGTAACTCTCAGTAGCCGCGAGGTATTTTTATCCGTATCCACTACCTGATTATCCGCCTTAACACGCGTTAGAGGCACACTTTCACTCCCTCTATTCCCCGCATAATTTCTATCATTCCCTATCAAGACCCGGAAATTAGCATTTTTACCATTCCTCCCCGTGTTAAGCCGGATTTTATCTCAAAGGAAAAACTCACAAAATAACCTATAAACAATGCGTTCAGCAACATCCAGCTTCTCTTTCTCTCTGTCATCATACACTTCTCTCGTCTCCACGCCAAAAGCAGCAAGTATACTCTCATACGCCTGCAGGAATCTGACCAAGTCGATCTTGTCATCGATGGCTCGATATACCATTTCTTTTTTGCTGTATTTGTTGCCTCTGGATCTTATTCTCTTGAGATCTGAAGCTATATTAGGACTTGAGTAGAGAGGAGATCTTTGCGGCGCAGCTGGGGAATAGAAGTTATGTGATAATGAGAGAGGAGAGATGGATCGTAGGATCTCGTGATTGTCGAAGGTGATTGGGGTTGGAGTGGTAAAGTTAGAGTTAAGCCAGAAATCCTGGTCAGTTAAATAGGATGCCATGTTTGCGGAGAAAATGGGGAATGAATGAATAGACACAGACGAAGATATATCTTTTCGTGTACCACGTCAATTTGAAGTGCACACTTTACCTAAGGATATATACCAAAATAACTGTACAAGCAATGCAGTGAAATTATTTGATGTACGAGTCTTTATTGGAAGAGCAGAAGAATGAATAGTATTTCAAGTTGGGTCATGCAGACTATGATGTGTTTTTCCTCCAGATCTGTTTCGATTAAGGAAGTCGCTACTAGGCATCGAAAACCAGCCCATGTGGATGTAGTACGCCATGATCTCGAAACAATTTCGTTTTGACAGAGATGGATGTAAATGGAAGGAAGTGACTGATCACTTGAATACAGTAGTAGAATGGGGAAGGAGTGACAAGGCTGGGATCCTCGACGGGGGGTATCGCCAAGGAAAAATTGTACAGGTTATTTGATATTGATATTTATCTAGTAAGTACCTAGTAGTTATAAGAGGACCGTCTCGTTACTGCTGCATTCTAGAAGATATTTGAAGTCTGGGAAGTAGGTAAGAAAAACCGGATTAGATAAAAAAGAAATCAATTAGTTAACACCCAAGTATCGAAATCACAATGAAGTCCACAACTCCCAACACACAACAATACAACAAAGAACTTTCCTCTTAACTTCACAACACAATCAAGATTTCGAATCAAAAATAGCGTTCTTCATACCAATCGACTACTGAGATCTATCTAATCCTAACCCTTCAATCCACAGATAAAAAGAAGCAATACTAGTTACATGATTACCCAACATTCATCTTTCTGCCCACGACCCAAATTCTGAACGAAAAAAAGAACATACAATAGAAGTAAAATAAAAAATGTAGATAGAACTAAATGCCCAAGCGGATATCGATACCGATGGATGCGAAAGAGAAGAAAATTATGCAAAGAGAAGAATTGATTGTACACACTGACAACACCAATTCTTTATCCACTCACTCACTTACTTCCAAAAATCTCTTTTTATGAATCAATGGGTATAAACCTCCCCGACACACAGGATCAAAAGCATCAACTTCGTCCCCAGCCCCCATCAATTCCTCTTACCCACTCGCCGACTTCAAATCCCAAACGCCGACGTGTCTTTTCATCCATCTTCCCTTTAATTTTCTCTTTTTCCTTTTCCTTTCCTCCACTTCCTTCCTTTTCTCTCTCTCCACCCCCACTACCCACCGTACTCGTACTGCCTTTCCTCAAACCTTCTCTATCTCCCGGTAAACTCCCCTCTCTGCCCACCTTCTCCGAGACCAACACTCTAACCACAATTCCTCTTCCAACCAACCACTCCACCCCTCCAGACCGTTCCATCTCCTCCCTCCCTACCCCTTTCACAAACACCGTAAGATCTGCCCCCACAATTCCTCTCCACAGAGTAGCCATCCACTGCCAATGATCGATCGGAGCATAACTATCATTTATCGGTAATTTCAACGAATATGCATCTGATAACGTGAGAGAATATCCATGCGGTATAAGAGCTATCGGTGTTCTTTTATGCGGAGTAGACGACTGTGATGCTTCCGACGATTGAGGAGTCGAAGAAGCAGTAGAAGTATCTCTGCGAGGAGAAGAAGGAGGAACCGTCGTGATGAACTTCGTAATCTGTAATGAATTCCGATGCCATTGACAAATCGTCGAAAGATATTCGACGAAAGGATCAGAAGACTCTTCTTTTTCCTGGAGATCTTTCATGTCCATCACCATCTCATGTTTATTTTCCTCTTTTTCCTTTAATCTCTCCTTTCCTTTCTCTCTTGTCACTCGCACTCCCGAAACGTCCCGCATCTCAGTATCTGCATCTCCATCCACGGCTGTACCCCCCGATTCTGGACGAGCATCGGATCCCGTCATCCAAGTCCGAACCATACAATTAGCATCTTTTTCCAGATGACCACGAATAAAGTCTCCCACCTCCCTGATCAATCCCTTTTCCATCCCCTCCACAGCAATCACCGCGCCTCTAATATCCTGCGCAGGACTCGTTGGGCCCGGCGCCGCTAGCGGCGGGGAAATTTTCGAAAGGATATTTAATTTGTTCCAAAAGGGGATTGTCATGACCATGGCCTCAACACTACGAGCTTGGGACTCTCTACTTTCGCTACGGACGTCGCGGTCGGTAGGACGATGTGCGGATGTAGTGGCGGTGGTGGGAAGTTGGGTTTGGAGAGGAGGCAAACGGAGAGATTCGTCAAATGTAGGGGTCCGATTGCGGTAAGTGGGTGTCATGCTCTGTTGCATATGTGTGCTACGCATTGGAGCCGACTGAGGCGGACCCATTGCGCCCGATCTTGAACCCGGAAGAGGTTGAGGAGGATTCCGGAAGGGGCCCGCTGACATTGGGATCTGTTGGTTGCGGGCGAAACCTTGTTGAGGGGTTGAATAGACCATCGGAGATGGTTGTGGATAGACCCTCGGATCATTCGTGAAACGTCGACGCTTGAAATCTGGAGAGGCAGATTGCATCTCGATATCTTGATCCTGTTCATGATGGGTATGGAGGGGTTGAGGGTACGGGTGTCGCCTAACCATTTGTTGGGGAGGTGGACCTATACGTGGAGAGTCTACTCTACCGCTGCCGGGCATTTGAGCTAGATAGCGGGGTCTCTCAAGCTCGCCGAGCTGGGGTCGATACTGAGACGGTTGAGACTTCTGGGCCTGATTGTTTGAGCTGAATGGCGGGAGAACTCTATCGTTACGAGGAACGGCAGCTCCAAAGGCCGGCGTGAAGGGAGTCAACGGTGTACTTGGCGTTGAGATGTAGCGTCCGTTACATCTCGGACACCGAATGGGATCGTCCGATGTTGAAGTTAGCGGACGATTACCGGCGGTTTTCCCTGCTCTGCGCGGCTGGTAACGATAATTAGGATATTGTCTTTGATGACGCTGTTTTTCTTCCTAGGTGCGACAAAATTAGCATGGTCTATGATCACGGGCGACTACTGTGTTATTTACTTCAGCGAGTCTTTTCCATTCCTCTTTTACATTGGGTGCCTGCTCGCGCCACTGTTCTCCAATAATCTTTGATATTTCGGGATTTGCAAGACCGGGATGCTGGGCGACGACTTGTGCCTGATAATGTTGACGGTAAAGGATAAATGCTACAAAGGGAAATTGTTAGCTTCTGGATTCTGGAGTGGCGACAAAGAATCTCATCTCAATAAACAAAGGCTAGGGTAAACATAGGGTCTCTCGCAGCCATTCTCAATAACCAATCATACGATTATTGTCAATCGTCATTGCCAAAGAAAAGTTTTAGGTCACGCACCGTTTCGAGGTCGTGGGATCTTTGGGTCTGGTTGACAAAGACACACTTGTTCCGTGACTGGCGTATCAGAAATAGGGGAAGGGCCTCCAATGCTATTGCTTGTGCTCGCACTGTTCAATGCAAGATCTCCGATTCGTGGTTGGCTCGCACTCGCACTTTCAGTATCGAGTGATGCTGCTCGTTTTCTTGACAAACGGTCGGAAGGTGGAGGTGAAACTGGAGTTGGAGGCTCTGAATGTTTCTCCGGGAGGATTGGTCTCAACGAATTCCTCCTACTAGAATCTGTTGAGATACTAACAGGAGATCGAGGAGCGTCTCTATCAACATTGCCGTTGGTTCTACGTACTTCTGCCATAATTGACATGGCTTTTGATTTCAAACGAGATGAGAAAAAAGCCCAGGTTTTTGAAGTCGATATCAAGTGGGAACTTCAGAGTATAATAGATAGAAAGGAAAATAAAGAGGAAAGAATAGAAGGGTAGAATGCCCTTCTTGATAGTGACGAAATGCTTTGTATGCATCGCGACTGGATAAAGAAAAGGACAATTCTATCATAACTCAATTCATCCATAATCAACTTCTAGTTGTGACATTCTGTCCATTCTAGGCATTCTAGGCATTATGGCAAAGTGTTGGTGTCTTTGTTGTCTCGGGAAGACTGCACAGCTGCAGTTTCGCATGCGTTTTCCTTTGTCTTTAGTGAGCTCCGTTACTAATGTTCACTCCCAGTAAATCCCAAGAAATAGAAAATCAAAATTAAGAAAATGCTTGGTAACGGGTAAATAATTTCATGCTTACTAAATAAGACCTAATTGGAATGCTTTTTTTTAACCAATTTTGGAGAGGTGTGAGGAATGTAATCCCAATTAGATTTTTTTTTTGGAGATACTACATAATATCCGCAAACAGAACCATGAAACCTTGGACACCCCCTTTAGACGCCAAAAGCAAGCGACGAGCTCTAGATAAACCCCTGTTCTCAGGTTACACTGGTAGTCACACCAGTGAACTACTCCCGCAAATGCACTAATGATGTGACTACGCCAATCAACTTCTCACACCAGTCGATGAACTGCATCAGCCGCAGCGGATGTTGTTTATGAAATGAACCCGTTACCAGCTTCACCGTTCATAATAGCTGCACTCCTCCGTGCATCAATGAATAAATCTTCGCACTCCCCCACATCCTGGACATCAATTTGATTGCGTCCGCTTACTCGCGCTAAAATACTAGATGGTGTTAGAAGCTGCAATGCATATCTCAAACTAATTCTTGAACCATGTTCTGTGAGTTTGTCTAATGCAGCTTCAGTTATGGCTAGACCTTCAACTGTAACTCGAATACGAAGAATTCTCTTGATTTCATCCGCCTCGTAAGCATTTGTAGGAATGATTAAAAGTCGAGCCAAAAGATCAGAAGGAATTCCATGTGCTGAGATCAAGTCTTCACTACCACGAATGGTACACATGCCACGGTTGGAAGCGAGAATTACGATTGGAGAAATCGTTGATTCGAGAGCACGATTCAGATATGTGAAGCATTCGAGATCGAGCATGTGAACCTATAATTTGTTAATGATCAAGAACCGGAAGGCGTATTGAAGGCTTTGACACATACCTCATCAATAAAAAGCACACCTGGAACAAGCTCTGCCACTCCTTGATCAATGTATTTGTTGACCACCTTATTAATCTCCGCTCTTAATTTCTCCGTAATTTCTGTCATCTTTGGTTTCATCAACTGGCCCATCATACTCATTATGTCTTGTCCACCTTGAGGTCTGGCGTTCGCGATATCGAGATCATGTAAAGTAACGTCCTGTACTATCTCCTTCTTCTTGTTAACTTCTCCCTTTGGTATTGGCACATACTCCTCCGCCTCCAGGTCGAATTCAGTCGCATACGCATCCGATCTGCCAACACGTTTACAGGCTCCAGTATTCGCTTCGATATAAATGACATCTCCAACTGTAACCTTTTCTTTCTGTATAGCTTCGTAGATACTTGGATCCAATCTTAACTTCTTTTGGCCCTTGGCGCTCTTCAATCCAATCAACAATGTGCTGATGGTCTTTCCATAGCTTCCCAATGGATTTTCAGCTTCCTCTGGTGTTAGTTCTGTGACTTCGCCCTCGTAAACCTCCTTCGTTTCGCGAACTTTCAGACCAATGGCTCGTCGAAAGTTTTCCATGAGCGCCTCTGTTTTCTTGACTTCCGTCGAGTATACTTCGCTTGCGACGATGGGGCAGAATGGTACTTTTGTTCCAAGTTCTTGACTGATAGCTAAAGCGAGAGCTGTCTTTCCTGTTCCAGGACCTCCTGCAAGCAAAATAGCTCGGCCAGCCATTTTCTTGGAACGAATTAAGTCGACAACCACACCACAAGCCTGTAACCAAGATATATTAGTTAAAGTCCTATCATCCATTGTGCATATCAACCCACCTCTCGAGCTGAAGTTTGGCCAACAAATCCACCGGCTTGCTTCTCAGCAGATCCATCATTTCGAAGTCCAAGACCTTTGATGTGTGTATGTGTGGAAGTTCGATTGTCGCGGGAGTTTCCCTTGACATCGCTGAGGTTTACCATATTCGCGATTTAGATGCAGTCAGATATAGGTAGTAATTATTGGTATCAAATACGTAAAATATTTGATCAAAAATAAATAATAAACTTCTCCTCCAATATCACAAGGTGCAATATAATCGATGGTGATTGGCACAAGATCAATTATTCTTAAAGCTTGAAGATGAATTTCTGAGAATAATTTCGCGGAAGGCTGGCTGCACATGTAAACGCGACTGGGAATTACTAGGTAAGCGGTGGGTCCGAATCAATCAAATCACGTGAAGATACATAAGGCTGATAAATATTCCTGATTGATTGATCATTCATCTGCAGCCTCTCCTAGAGTTTGAAGTCTGCAGGTGTTTGGTGAACTCCGGTTATTTGCAGGATTGTATGAGGCTATCCGTTAGTTCTGCATTTGATTGATGGATTTAGTAATCGGTCAAGCTTACAGTATACAGTATGATAATTAGATCTCGACGAGTGAAAAGTGCATGGTAGACAAAATGATTGATTCCCAGTCCTTGATATATTGTTTTCCACGAACTTAATTACTCCAAACAGGCCATTTTCCCATCCCTCCCTAATTCTAATGCCTATACTCTCCCTTCTTTTTGAAAACTCCTCAGCCATATGCGTCATGGAATAAGTTGCAGCTTGATTTTTATCCCACCCTAAGCTTATGCGGACGCCCTGAAGTAGGATAGAACCTTGTGCCATGCAAACGATGACCCCAATGCAAAGAGTATTTCCTTTCAAACGCCTGCAACACTTCCAAAAAGAGTAAGGTATTCCAAACGCCTTCAAAATCGATGCAGTAGAACAAACGAAATACACAATCAATGACAATCAAGAAACTCTCCGTCTTCACTGGATCTGTCAGCCGTTCTTGGGCGTTCGACCATCTCGGTAGGAGACTCTACCATTCTGTTTGGGCCCAATTGACTTAATCTTAACTTCTCATCGAACATGGAAACTAGTCTGTCGGAATATTGGTCAAGTATTCCTGCTAAAACTGTCTCACTAATAGTTCTAGACTTTTGGCTTCTGTCCCCCAGTGCTACCGAGGTTAGTCGCAACTCCTGGTCTAGCTCCTTTAGACACTCTTCATCTATAGTCTCAGTAGATAACAGCTTTCTTCGGTACGCTCTAAGTGTTCGACAAGCTTGCTCTGTCGCCATGTTAAGTGACCCGGATTCAGTTATGCCACTGCTTGAACTTTTGCCCCGGCCCCGTAAGTCTACCGACGCCGTCGAAGGACGTCTGACCTCTCTTGTTTGAGGACTGTTTGGACTCCGAGATCTGTTCCTTGGGTACGATCTACGTCCTGTATCGTCTGATGCAGATGCGAAATGTTTAGATGGCACAGCTTGCACAGATGGAATTGATAAGGTGGGGTTCTGATTCGCCAAGCTGTATTTCGAGGTCTTACGTTTGATCACCCTAGGTGGCGAAGACGACCCAGGAGGAGTAGCTGTTGGTGACGCTCGTTGAAACTCGGCAAGTTCAGCTTTCGATAATACCCGTCTCAATGGCTGGCGCGAGGTCGGTGGATCCTTCGGTGGTGTCTCATCTTGGGTACCGTCGTTTGACTCAGGCTGATTTTGTGAGTAGGTGGTGGCATTAGAAGCAATGTCCCACATCATGATTGTGCCATCTAGCCCTGTGCTTATCAAAACTCTAGACGACGAATCGATGTTCTCCAGAAGTGCGACGCCTGACACGGAAGTAGTGTGCCCCCATTCGCGGTCTAGGAAAGATCCAGTACTCCAGTCATAGATACGAACAGACTTATCGGTAGTCGAGACACCAGCGAGAATTGTACTAGGTTTGCCAGAAAGTACACTAGGCGTACCCATCACAAGAGAGTCCAGAGCGACAGCGTCTGCTCCATCATAGTCTGTTGCTCGAAATGAGTTGACAAGGCGTCCAGTAGCTATTTCGTATGTAGCTACAGTGCGATCCAATAAAGACACCACAATATTACCTACTTGAGGACCGAGACAGGGCGTCATCGAGACGGGCGCAGCTTTCAAAGTGATGATACGGACTGGGACGGCAGCCAGCGCGTTTCCTTCCGCTACTTCCTTTTTTACAAGTTGCCGGATGTGAATTGTCCTGTCCATTCCACAAGATATGAGTTTCTCGCCATTCTCGGCGAAGAACAAACCGCATACGCCAGCAGTATGTTCGTCTAAAGTTTGTACCAGTTCCCACTTATCTGAGACGAGACGGAACAATTGAATGGTCCGATCGCGACTACATGAAGCTATCATCGTTGATGTATCATCCTCATAAATGGTGATATCTTGAATCTCGGTAGAATGAGCACGTGTCTCAAAGGTGCATGCACCCGTGGATGGATCTAATATTTTCAAAACCCCGTACTTATCTCCAGAAACCAGGAACAAAGCATCCTTTGATATTCTCACGACCTGACATGAGTTGGCAGCTTCTTCTTCTATAGACACTTGATCTATGCCGATTGTAATCGATCCTTTGCTGTTGCCATGCAAGTCCCAAAAAGCAAGACTGCCATTGACAGACCAAGTAAGGAATGCTGCTCCCATCTGATTGATTTCGGGTAAGAGCTGGACACCCATTACTGCGTCACCATGAGCGGGTTGAAGTGTGTTTTGGAACCCATGATCAGCGTCCTCGTCATCTTTCCCCCATATCTCAATCGTATGTCTAGAATCAATCGTAACGAAGTTACCTCCAGCGTAGCCCATAGCACACAGATGACCAGGGTCAACCTCGTCATTAGATTCATCTGACGGGAGGGGTGATAATGGAGGAGTAGATGGTGCTAGAAGTGTATCTAAGGATACCGTTTTGACTTTACCATTACGGCCTCCTATCCTTACCTGCCGAGTTTCCATCTCAATAGCTATACATGTGACTGGAAATCCGGTGCTCAAAACTTTGATCAGTTTTTGGCCTTCTGTGCTGTCCAGGAGGCAAACATCTCCCTTTTCCGAGCAAACAATGGCCCTGTGGTCAGACAAAGAAGCCACGCATGTGAAAGTCGCATCTACTAATGGTCCGAGTAAACAGTTCCGGCCAGTAAGGGTTTTGAGCGCTTGTTGCACTGGCATTGGTAATGGTGTACCGTCAAGTGCAAATTTTTGTTTTGGTGAGGGACATCGGCCATCGTCGACTCTCCATACTTTTATATGGCGAGTTCCCACAGTAACAACGTTCCCTCCTAACCACAACATTTGCTTGATGAAACTAGTACATTTGTTGCTCGAATGTAGCTTTGCTGTTCCATTCTTTGGATTTATGGACCAAACGTGAAGAAATCCATCGTTAACATTACCTAAGCTGGCAAGATATTTGCCATCGGGACTGAACGATATGGCGGCGACGCCATATGTATGCTCGGTAAGAATGGCGAGCGGTGTATCTGAAGAACTGTCTTGCAAAGAGAATATTAAAACTCTAGGTGCGTATCCTGTCTATATCCTTATCAGTCAATACACAAATGTTCGTACAGACCTGCTTACCTCGCCCACAGCCAAAAAGCGACCATCAGAACTAATAGAAACACATGTAGCCGCTTTAATCCTTTCCCTGCTTGACCATGTCTTTGATGAAGAGTCACCTGATTCTAGACTCGTATGTGCAGTGGATGGTGCATATGGGATTGCAGCATCTCGAAACCCTTTTCCGTTTCTGCCATCATTGGCATTGTTGGCAGGTGTTGAAGGTCCACCTAGAGCTACATTACTTGTGTTGGCGGCGACTGCTGTTGGAGAAGCCCGGAAAAAACGTTGGGAGTGTCTCCCCTCATCATCAATATCAACAACCACTACCGCGGCCCCAGCTGTATATGCAAATATCCGAGAGGTAGAAAGACAGTCGAAACATGGTGGAGAAGATACTGTAGTTCCAATTATTTTCTTCAACGATAATCCTAACTCGTAGGGATTCCTGTTCTTGTTCGAGGGTCGCGGGGTTCGTGGAAATGGAGAAGGACTAGCTTTTAAACCGGGTTTTGCATTCGCAGCGAAGGTCCTTGGATTGATGGGTGTCGAAGCCATTATCGACTGTTCATGAAACAAACCACCGGGACAATATAAATGCAGTGGTCGAAGCTCTCTTCTTCGTCCAGCGTTTGTGGATGTCGATTTGGTGCTTCAACCTTTGTAATATTTAGGAAATGAATTGAGTTTTGTGCGCCTCGAAAGAAAATCTGGGTATCATGAAGAAGAGAAAATCAAAAACTACCTAGGAATTATGACGTTGATTAGCTCGTTGAGTTTTCCTATCGTGATTTTCTTTACACACCGATTAGATCAGATCAGATCAGATCTGGAAAACGAGTGAGAGTGGGAGGGGAAGGGAGGGGAAGAAAGAAGGAACTTTAAAAAGAAGTCCTCAAAACATTGATCAACTTGTTACGGCGTTTTTAGTACGACGACGACGAGAACGAGCAGTCAGGAAACCAAAGATCAGAAACCAGAATATCAGAAACCAAAAGTGGCAGCCCAAACCACCTGTTTTCCCTATCTTTTCTTCTTTTGCCCTATCCTATCGTGACATGCACAGAATAATTTACTGGGGAATCTTAATATACGGTGTCTACGGTGTTGATGCACTGGAATTTGACCCAAACCAGAAAGTAGAGAGGTCTGTGTTCAACCCTTGCCCTTGTTTACAGGGTCGTGTTAATCAGGGGAAGGCTCGGGAATGGATCTACTCGAGGAACTCCACCACCAATTGGGATCTTTCCAGAATCTTACCAGAATGCTATTGGTCCATTTTGAGTTTATTTGCCAACAAATTGGTTGAACCGTATCTTAATAGACATTGATAATTTGATAGCTATCAAACCATCAAGCCATCAATGTAGCTAGATGGCTAGATGGCTAGATGGCCTCCAGCTGTTCGTTCTCGAGTCGGACTTCACGTCCAAAGATCAACAAGCAGTGTCAGATATGTGTTCAAGTATAGTTGATTGATTTCCGTCGTCGTACTTACATGGCACACAGATGACCTACCGATGATGGACAAGAGAGAGGAGTGAGCGTATCTGACAAGCAGCAACGGCCATGCTATCGGATAATGTCTACCAGAGACCCTCGTGACCTTTAAGATTGAGTAAGATTAGTCTACCTAGATATACGTCGAATGCAATATCAATAGGATGGTAGCAGGGCAATTAAAAACTGTCGATCAATATATGGTCCCGTTCCTACAAGTGGGTTTGTTCATATTCTTACATTATCATTATACACATTCGAGAGCAACTAATGCTCAAAAGATCCTATCCTCCATTTCATCATCGAGACTGATCGTCGCTGGCCTTCGAGGTTCCGAATTCCCAGGTCGACTAGTTGTCAGGACAGGAGCTGCTTTCTTTTTCCACTCCGGCTTACCCCTACCTATACCCTCCTCTCTCCATTTCCGGGGTGGTTTGACCCCCAATTCAGCATACTTACCCCATATGTTCTTCCCTCTCTGAAACCATCTTCTCTCACGGTCGGCTTCCTCTTCTGGCTTCGGTACCCATGTACTCCTCAGTATTCTCCGGATTGCTTCTGCAGATACTTGAAAATGATCGGCCAATGCAGCCGTTGAATATTGCTCAGGGTATTGAGCATGCAATGCTCGAATCCCTGCCTGCGCTTCCGGCGACAATCTCTTCATCGGCTTCCAACCTTCAGGGAATTTTTCCTTCAATGCTGCTTTTTGTTCCATCCAAGTTTTACGCTTCGGAGGTACCCAACCATCGTCCACCATGTTTTTATTCGATGTGCTGGCTTGTGGGGAATGTGATACTGCGTTGTCGATTTTAACGCTTCTAAACCTGATTTTTTCCTCGTCTGTAATCCACCTTGCCTTCTTCAACGGTTTTGAGAATATGTCTATCGGTTCTCTCTGGACCCACGACTCCTCCGTTACTTCTGTTGGCTGAATCGATTCCTCTGCTCCCTCGGCTTTCCATGGTAATCTCGATTCCTCTGATTCTCTTGATTGAAAATCTGCCAACTCAGATCGTGTCTCCGCAGCAAGGGCATCTATCGATTCTGGCGTAATTTCCATGAACAAGTCATCTAGATAATCAATTTCATTTTGTGTAGTATTCTTGTGCCCTTCCGTCGCAGATGAGGTTTCTTCTTGCTTTTCGATAGGGCCATCTTCATCACTACTTCTGACAAATTGAGATGAATATGCCGACGAATATGCTCTCGAGTACGAAGGAGATGAATATGAGACTGAGGGGGCATTGAACCTTCGAATGTTAATTCTTTGCGGGCGATGATGAGTGGAGGTGTTTGATGCAGCCAAATCAAGTTGAGCTACATGGCGAATGAATAATCGAAGCGTCTTTGTTGTGCAAGAACAAGACATGACTATTTACATTCTTCAATGGAGAATAATGTGAGTTTATAGACGGGCAATAGGAAACATCAGGATCGATGGAAAAGAAAATCTTCGCCTAGGAATTTGACTGGGATTTCTTATCGAGGTGCTTATCCGAGTCGATCAATCTGCCAGCCATGCCAGTCCAGCCAGTCCCGCCATCACTTGATCCGAACATCAACGGTATCCGCGCATTCACTTCTTTCATCGACCCAAGTGAGTCTCATCAATGATTTCCGTCAAAACTGATCATCAACGGATTTTGATACATCTTGACTGTTGATATACAATCTATCAATGTCCGTCTTATATATGTTTCATTCCATCTTCTTGTATATTCACCAGTCAGGGGATGGTTTCCTGCTTTTTAGACTACCTAGGCACGCTACATTAAGCTTTTAGATACGCAAATAGCGCACTTGTCAAAATATCTATGATGTGGATGTCGTCTTTACCCGTAGGTGAATGAATTAGAGTGAGGCGTTTGTGGATCTTATTCTCAATTATGCTTCCGGTAAATCCAAAAGACTTTCCTCCTTTTTCACAAGTGTTTTGTAAAAGAATAGCTTCGTTCTTTTTCTTCCCATTGTTCAATAAATTTCTCGTCTCTCTTCATTCTTTCTTGTATTGAAATTTACATGGCTTTACCTAATCCTTTTCGTCGAAATGATGAAAATACTCGCCACGCCTGGGGATATACCTTTCAATGGACTCCTGATCATTTTACAGAAGAGCAAATGCATCCCATGAAGTTTTCATATGATGTTCTGGCTGAAGAATGCTTAAATCGTTTGGACAAAATATCGCCACCCACATCGGGAGAACTTCCCAGAAACCAAAGTGCGGTTCCGAAGGGAAAAGAAGGCGAAGAAAAGCCCAAGAGAGATTTGTATATCTTGTTGAAAGATCATGCTTCCGAAGATGAAAAACTCGGGGAACTCTGGAATGAAGTTAATACAATACCGGATTGGGTTGTGAGTGGTTTAGTGGCCTTGATACTGGTGACTTTGCTCAAACTAGATTTAGGATTGGGAACAAATCAAAAGAGGCCAAGAAGTGTTTTACAGATATGGAGGAGCTGTATTGACCGGAGTATGTTACCTGCGCGCATCAATGTAATGTAGAGACTGATTCAATATTCTACAGTTAGCTTATCAGTCATTACTCGGTGGAATGGGCGCTGCTAGAGTTACAGAAGTTTTAGCTAGGACCGGCGGCTTTTCTGCAAAGGTAAAAACGAGCCAGTGAAGTACATTGTATTGCTTGGACTTTCATATTTTCTACTAGAAAGTTTCAGGAAATTGCTATTGGTAGAAGTCCTCTCAAAAGCATACTTTCCACTCAGGTCCCAAATCTCAAATATTCTACGTTTACCATCTATTTACCTTCTCAAATATTCTACGTTTACCATCTATTTACCTTCTCATCTAATCCTGTAATAGTCAGCCAGAAGAAGAATGTTCGAAACGACCCAGCTCCTCCTTCAAGTAACTCAATCCCTTGAAGCCATCAAACCCGGCGGCAAAGGCCACATATCCTCCATAAAAGTCCGTCTTCTCCACGCCGCCGTCCGTCGCCGCATTCTAACCCTAGCCAAAGAAAGGCCCTCCTACTATTCCATCACAGATCATGGCATCCCAATCAACGACCTTGACAGCATAGCAACCATTGGCACCTTCTCTACCACCCTGGTCTGGCTCTCCCTCCCCCGTCAAGGCATCTTTCTCCGTCCCCAAGAAATAACCGACTACATCGCTCTCTGGCGTCTCGTCGCCCACTATCTCGGCACCCCAACCTCTTTCTTCGAAACTCCCACCATCGCAAAAACCATCATGGAATCTCTCCTCCTAACCGAGATCAACCCCTCCCCTACCTCCCAAGTCCTCGCCCAAAACATCATCCTCTCCCTCCAAAACCAAGCCCCAGCCTACCCCTCCCGCGCCTTCCTCGAAGCCAACGCTCGCTGGCTAAATGGCCACTTACTCTCCGATGCCCTTGGCCTCGGTAATCCTCCCCTATACTACTACATCCTCGTCGCCGGCCAATGCATTTTTCACATGACTATTAGCTACCTCTACCGCAGCATCAACCATCTCGATCGCAAACAGATCGTCTTCCTGAGAAGAGTCTTGCCAATGGTAATACATAGTCCGACGGTGGGGATTGCAGGAGAAACGGGCTTTGAAATGCAGTATGTGCCGGAATTTAGCACCAAAACGGAGTTGGGGGAGTATGTACAGGAGAAGAATAAGGGAAGTGTGGAGGTGAGAAATTTGAAGGCTGTCGGATTGGCGGTTGTAGGGGTGGGAGTGGGAAGTTGGGTGATGTGGAAGGTGATGAGGGGTTTGGTCATGGGCGTGATGGGGATGGGAAGGGGAGTGCTTTGGTTGTGGGGATGAGGAGATCAGAGGAAGGGCAATCAAGGACTGTATTTTTGTTATATCTTGTATCATTATTGCTTTCTTTCTGTACACAGTAGCGGGAAGCATCGCATCACAATTTCGCATCACCATCTAGCAATAAAATCAAGAGCACTTTTGAAAACTGTATTTAGAAGAATATATTTGTATCTCGCATGATTGTCATCATGGATCTTCTCTCTAGATCCTAAACCAATCTCGCTCCTCTCATGTATCATACAAGCGCGCCATATGCCGTAGCATTTACTATCTCATGTAACGCCACACCCGGCTTCTCAACTCCTCGCAATGCACCTAAGAAAACAACCAAACGCAATGAGAATACTCTTTTTGCTTCATCCCCAAGCGAACGCCAATGAAATGCCCAAAGCCGACCAATAAAAAATGCCTCTCCAAAATTCTCCATGCCAGACCACCATCATATCATATACACATCTCCTGCACACCGCTCGCATCTAAAACTCCATCAACTCAACCGGCGGCCTAGCAGTATGCGCCAAAATCGGCTTCTCCGTCTCCAGCGGAGACACACCCCAATCCTCTCCCGTGGTATCCTCAACCGCTATCGCAGGCAAATTGGGACTGTGTCCATGAGCCTGGGGATCATAGATGGTGGTCGTGCTCGCGCTTCTTCCTCGTCCAATTTTCAACGACTCGCCATTATCGCTCATGGGACTCGCGGGCAAATCGGTGGTGGGTCGATGATGCAATTTCGCGAGGGCTTCGGCGAGATCTTCGGCGTGCACTTGCTTATTGGGGGCATCTTCCATTTTCATTTCCCAGCCGTGGGGAGGAGAGGGAGGGGGAGAGATGAAGAAGAGTTTTCCGGCGTCGGGGAGATTGAGATGCGTGTCTTTTGGGGAGATGGATGTAGGTTGACCGAAATAGACGCGCATGCGCTCGCCCATGATTTCTTCGCCGTCGAGGATTTGGCGGATGCGGATGGCGGATTCTTCCGAGAAGAAGGAAACGATGATGCGGGAGAAGGATTTTAATGGGGCCCAGGAGTGGATGGGGGCGGAGGTGTTGATCAGTTCTTTGATGGATTGAAGGTTGTCGGCGCGGAAGATCTCGCTGTCTTTGAGATTCGTTATGAGGAGGGTGTTAGAAGGAGGTGTGGGTTGTGAGAGAGGGGGAAGATTGGAGAGATCGAGGGAAAGCGATTTGTGGGATCCTCTGCGCGAAGAAAGAGTACTTCCAGTTGGGGAAGTTGGAGATGACATGGTTATAATATGTGGTTGGGTTGTGTTGCGGTTGTAGTTGTAGTAAAACAAAAGTAGATATATGAGTTTCGGTGAAGGAGAGCGTTTTGATAGACGAGTTTCTTATTTGTCGTTTTAGTTTACACTTTGACTTCTTGATGGTATGTAATTTTCAAGAAGGATTCGTGTTTTCTTGTGAATAGAGAGGTAGGTAGATGTATTTATTTCTTGATTGAAAGCTGGATAGAGAAAAGTAATATTTCCAGAAAACGGAGAGGGCTTTTTAATTGTCTTTGTACCTGCTTGTAAAAGAACTGGAGCTTGATAATGTGTAATCTGTATCTGGTAGTTTCCGGACATTAAAAGTGGTGGTCCCGGCCAGACAAGGGTCATATTGGCTTGTTTGCGTGGAGGCGAATGATGGCGCAGCGGCGCAGCAGCAAAACAAAGTTTTAGTGTGGATTAGCAGGTTTTTACTTGCGTAGTGCTATCTGGCTCGCTGGGTAGATACGGAGTAGAGGCGTACGAAGGTACGAAGGTGCGAAATTCACACGAGAGAGCCATGAGCAATGTCTTGTCAAGCTTGTCCATCTTGGTACCATGCACAATGTAACGATGTTTCTCATCAAGTTGTCTTGTCGTTCGTTGTCTCTGATACAAGAGAAAATAGAACAAGCGGTTCAATTCACCTCAATAAACCAATAACCTTGATCAATTCAATCACGATGGCATTAGTCAAGACTTTCTTCTTCCAGCTTTCCCAGCCACTTGATCCGAGTCTGATTTTGATATCTCATACGGAACACTCATTAAGCGCTTCCATCAAGGCGTCCGACGCAACTACGAAACATCCTCACCAATTTAGCCAAGTCTCCAGAATTTCATCCGTGTTTCTTCCTTCGTTTTCAATGGGAGAAGGAGGTGAAGAAAAGACCCTTGAGAAAGCGGAATGTACGGCAGAGAGATTGTCAAATAATCCCAAGACTTATTACGATGTGTTATATTTGTGGTTGTGTTATGTATGCTTACCTAGGTACATACGAGATTTCTAGGAAATTTCTAGTTCGCTTGGATGTCACGGCTATGTAATGCTACGTGATAGTGATAGTGATTCAGAAATTACTTACAGAGCAACCTACAGTACCAGATATCTATCATCCTCTACAATTATCTGCTGCATGGCGGATGATCGACCATGGATCAATACTCAAATGCTCGAATGCTGAGCCTCAACATTGCGCAAATGGAAGAATGGGAATTGGGAATGATTTACCAAAAGAAGTAACCCTTCCATACCGATCCATGCCATCAATGCTGGGAGATACCAAACCCACTGAAAACACCAAACAAGTTACAACTTACAGCCCTCGTGGAAAGCTTAGATCTACTTGTTGTCCATGTCTTAAGATTGTTTTGATTTTTGTATTGTGGGGTCTTAGTCGTGTCCTTCTTGGGATCTTCGAGTGCGAAGGACTTCATACCATGGCGACCTGTTAAACCTAGAAAGCATTAGAACACTGCCTTCGCATGTTCTACCCAGTGGCTCTTGCGTACTCTGTACACGAAATCCGAATCTTCAATAGAAAACGGTTCCACTTGGTCGCCCACAGCTTAACCGCCTAGATCCAATTCATCATCTTGTAGATGGCCCAACGACAAAGCCCAGATTGGCGACGGGGGTTAGATTGAAGCATGTACGAGATTGCGACTTGTGAGATTGGTCCTCCATTGCCCAGCTCGCCCAGTCTGTATCCTTTCCTTAGAGTTTCGTCTTCATATCTCTTGTTGAGGGCGCAGCGGTAATTCCTCCATAATATAAGCTTTAGTTATTGGTCCACTCATATCATCATGGCAATCAAAGACTGACTTGATTCCTGAAAAACAACGGCATGGCGGGTTGTGAATCACTAAGGTTACAAATGCAAAGGGTTTCACTTGTCTACTCCAATCAAGTGCAAAATGATTTGAAGGTTAGAATCACGTAGGCCGTTTTGCAACAAACATCCCCCAACATCCCCTCTAGATAATACTCAGCCTTCTTCTTACGCACCCGCTTGCAGACGAGAAATGGCAAAGAATCATATAGCCGTCATGGGAAATTTTCAAGACTGTAAGACCGTTTTCAATATTTCAGCAGGTCTCTTGAGGCGTAGTTAGTAGTAACGCATCATCGTAAAATCTCCTCAATAGTCAGGTCTTTTCCTTCGTACCATTGCCACAAGGTCTTGTCCAAGTTGATCTCACGTTCTGGCCCTTCCACCTCCTACACAGCCTCCTATCCACATGTTGGCGTGCTACCGCTTCTTTGTAAGATTATGTAATCAACATTCAAACGAGGCTCGGGTAAACTCTTCTGCCAATTGTCCGAGACAAGGGATGGATGTTCCTTCAGCCTCTATCAACCGCAGTATCTTTCATATTGTCATTGCAGAACCTAAATTTCATCACCAGATACTTCAGCCTTGCAGAATACCCACAGTCATTTCAAATTCATTATCACCCGTGGCTCAGACTCTTCAGGAAATTATTTGGAGTTAAAATTGAGTTCAGCCTAAGGGGTTAGGTTGTCTATCCTCGCGTTCTCCGGATTTCAGTCCACCGCAAGGCCAGCCCAAGCAATTCGCCCATCAGCAAATTTCTTTGTCAAGTCGCCCAATATGGATTACGATCCTATGGTAATGGACCAAGAGTCCTCAGGACCTCAAGTCAAGATCACAGAGGTATATTCTACATTGCTATAGCTGAATTTAATGCTTTGGAAGCTCATGCGCACTGTATCATAGGCTGGTTCACATCACGTCGACTTTGAATTATCCAACGTAGACCTCTCCTTTGCAAACTCGCTCCGTCGAACAATTCTCTCAGAAGTCCCAACAATCGCTATCGATCGAGTCCAAATCGAAGCCAATACATCAGTCCTAGCAGATGAATTTATCGCGCATCGGCTTGGTCTTATCCCGCTAAACTCGAAGAATTGTGATGATGTTATCTATACGAGAGATTGCGATTGCGAAGGAAACTGCGAACTTTGCAGTGTTACACTTACCCTCCACGCAAGATGTACGGGTGATGAAATCATGAAAGTCTATGCTCGCGATTTGGTGGTCGATCCTCAACGTGCTAACAAATGGGTCGGAAATCCTGTTATCACTGATCCAGATGGACTTGGACCAGTCATTGCCAAATTGAGAAAGGGACAGGAGTTGCGCATGAAATGTATAGCCTTGAAGGGTATTGCAAAGGAACACGCGAAATGGGCACCTACAGCTGCTGTCGGCTTTGAATATGATCCACACAACAAATTGAAGCACATCGATTTGTGGTATGAGCATGATGCTGCAAAGGAATGGTATGTAAATGATCCTTTAATGGGACCAAGAAATTATGCTTACCTAGCCACCACAGGCCCAAGAGTAAATATGCGGATTGGGAAGAGCCAGCCCAAGAAGGCGCCCCCTTTGATTACGATGCCGTTCCAAATAACTTTTACTTCGAAGTCGAATCAATTGGCAACCTAGAGCCCGATGCAATCATTCAGCAAGGCATCAAAGTCATGCAACAGAAATTGGCAGCGGTCCTTCAGGATCTTACTGAGGGAGATGGCCAGGCCAATGGCGGTGGATATGATGCGCCTCAAAGCCCGGACGTTGGTATGAATGGTCATGGTTGGCAAGACCCAGGCTACGCTACGCCATATGGTGGGGGTAATGCTTGGGGTGGTGCGGGTGGTGCGGGTGGTGCAGCTACTCCTTATGGTGCTACTCCATATGGCCAAAACGGTCAAAGTGGATGGTAGAGAGTATCTGTTCATGATGACGAAAGGGTATTAAAAGTTCGTCATGAAGAAATGAGTTTCTGGTTTACTTTTCATGCTGACGGACAGAGTTGGATTTTCTGCCTCTTCTCCGTTTTTAAGCGGCATGTCTTTTGATCTTCAAACCAGAACCAGTGACATACATTGATGTTATTTGATCCAGTCTGTCCCAAGGAAGATCAAAGAAAAGTGTTCCTTGCACTAAATTGGCAACGATCAGGGGAATATCAATGCAACAACAAAAGCAAAAACAAAAGAACTACACACAAAATAAGATAAAATGTACAATCAATAATTGCATACCGTGGAGGTGGGTGGGCATTATCTGGGTAGGATTGGCGTTTACAGGACGTTTTCCTAAGATTCTACAGTATCAAATGGATAGGAAAGTATTGCAACGATCAATACATACATACATACTATTTAGACCCTTATCAATGAATGAATTCCACGAATCTGTTCTTTTTTTCCCTCTTATTTTTCCTATTGGGTTGTGGTGCGCATTGGATGGATAGATGGAGAGATGTTCTTTTCTTTACAGATGGATGCGTGCAAATTTGTGGTCACTGAACGAATGGCATTATTTCCGTATGTGATACTTGAATGGCATTGCTTGGATCCACGTTCTTACATAGGTAAACTGTAATCATCATACTCATTTACTTGGTAGGGAGTTTCTCTTCTTCATACTCTCCCCTGCTTTTCGTTTTTCGCTTCTTGTTTGCCATTTATTTATTTATTTCGTTTCTTCTCTTCTCTCTGGGATTCTTCTCCCTCTGTGGGGTTTCTGTTTAAGTGTTTTCTCTTTGTTTTATGTCTATCTACCTGTCTATCTACATTTCTTCTTCTTCCTCTCTCCATCAGTTTTTCCAAAGTGGAAAAGCAGGAACAAAAGAGCAGCGCAGAGCAAAAAAACAGAGTAAACCACAAAAACCAGAAAACCAGAAACCCAGAAAAAATGGAAAAGAAGAAATGGAAAAGATAGAAAAGAAAAGAGAAAACGAAAGAAAGGAAATGAGAATGAATATGATCGAGGATTAAGAATACATCAAATCAATGACATCTACGAAACGATTCTTTTACTCTTCTCCTATTGTAATTTATTCTCTACTCTCTACTTTCTACTTTCTACTCTCTACTTTCTACTTTCTACTTTCTACTTTCTACTTTCTACTTTCTACTCTCTACTATCTACTATCCATAAGATACACGGATAGTATTTATCCCAAGTCCACGTAAAAGTCCAATCACAAGTCCAAGTCCAAGTCCAAGTCCGGAGTAAGGTAATCCTATCCTATCCTACCCTTAATGTTATATACACATACACATACACATACACATACACATACACATACACATACACATAGCAACCAACAAACATACAAACACACTCATCTTCAATTCTCACGCGTTCCAACTTCCTGGACTACAAATGCATGTTCCTAACTGTGAGCTCAACACTCCCACCATTGACCAGGAACTAGCAATTACTAACGAGGCACCACTCTCCTCACAAACCCCAGGCTCCATTATCCCCCAACAGAAATCACAATTCGGGAATTTAGACATCAACTTTCATATTCACATTGCACAATGATAAAAATCTGCTCAACCAACAAATCAATTCATTCATTCACTCCCCTTCCTCTCTCCCACTCCTTCTACTTCCCCCTCTTCCTCTTTGAACACCACAATCTAAGACATAAAAAAAAAATAACTAAAAAAATAAGTAGAGAAGTAAACATAACAAATGAATATAGTAACGCTATATGCTGGTATTTATATATATACCAAATCATAAGCCACCAGCCCTCTTCATACCCAAGAACCCCAGGACCTGAAACGCCATGTCTGATTTCGTTCCATCGAACCTATACCAAGACCCCCATAGAAATCAATCCAAAACACCATGTGATGTATATAATGCATAATGAATGTATGCCATGCACTTTCCCATACCCAAAGTTAAATTATAAACTCTTTCAAATCAAGCATACCTAACACTTGGATGCCATCCAGGGGGTTCCTGTCTCCATCTTCCATCTACCCAAGTACCTCCATTAGGAGCCGCCGCTCCTCTCCCTCCTCTGGGACCGTTCAAAGGAGCTTGCCACATATTTGGTCCTTGCGGCCAACCTTGCGGGTTGTTAGCCGCTCTTTCCTTTGCTAATCTAATTGCCTTTCTCCTTCTCATCCTGCCTATACAGCAGCTGAGTATTGCAAAGATGACTAAAGCGCCGACTGCAGAAGCGATACCTATCACGAGATTTTTATGTTCTTGAATCCAGGAAGTGATTTCTTTGCCGACTGATGCACCCTTGCAATCACCGTTGGAACATTTTCCACCACCTTGACAAGATGTACCGTCTAGAAAGTTTTGCTGCATGGAGTAGCAAACGTTGGAGCCAAATTCAGGGGAAGCACAGGAGATTTGACATCCAGAGGAAGAACAGGCATATGTATCGTTACCTGTGGTGTATGATCCCATAATGGTTTTGCATTGAAGATCGCGCGAAGTACATTGACCTGAAGCACAGGACAATGACGAAGAATTGCCACAAGAAGTTCCTGTTACAAGTTAGTATTATATTGGGAAACGAGAACGTTACGGGATCTTACCATCAGGAGCAGTAGCATCCTCAGGACAAGTAGCAGCAGTTCCGCTGCAGACTTCTTGTGGATCACAGACACCGGTACTCGAGCGGCATACTGTACCATTGGATGCAAACTGACAAGTCGATGTACAACAGTCCTCATTGCTAGGATCACAAACCGAATTTGTCGTAAATTTGCAAGTAGTTGGATCGCAGCAACTATTGCTCCCACACCCACTAGTTCCCCCACAGTCACAATCTTCGCCTGATTCCACAATTCCGTTACCGCATTGACTTGCGGTAATTATAGTGATGTCTCTATTTGCAGTCAAACAACTGGTTTTGACACCATTTCTGCCGATAGCTGAACAAATGTTTCCAATACTACAAGGTGAAAATTGGGTGATGCCACTTGAAGTGCTGGGGTTCATGATGTATGCTCCCGCAGCATCACAAGTTGAGCTACTGAGGGGACAACATTGTTGTGCTGCGACTGTTTGACCATCATTACAAGTTGTTGATGTACAATCATGGACAGCTCCGAATGTATGTCCAGTCTCATGAGCAAGGACCTGCCATTCGGTACTGGTTCTAACCACTACATTGGCACCACTGACAGTTTCGTTACCAGATGATGTTGAGGCTACCTGTGCGTCTGTGACACAAGCTTGACCAAGCCAAGCTAAACCGACAGCCTAAAAGAAGATTAGTAAATGATCAATGTGTCTCATCCATCTATTCCGTAGATATTCCGTCATCAAATAACAGTCTAGTGAAAAAAAAAAAAAAAAGGAAACTTACACTTCCGGTACCACAAGTACTAAGCAAAGTCCAGTAAGCATTAGTATCCTGGCGCTCACCTCTCCACGCAGAAAATAAGTTCAATCGATCTTGAATCGTAACACTATCACTACATCCTACATTCCAGGGAGCCGAAGAGGATGCAGTAGCGGGACAAGCAGCATCACTGATGGTAAGATTTTGTAAACCCAGAGTAATGTTGAAACTATCCTCATACTGTACCGAGGCAGAGTTAAGAACCTGGATGACGTTTTCTCGAGCCGTTTCGGTAGAGTTGAAAGCGGCTGTGTACGTACAGTCTGTAGCTATTCCCACGAGAGCAACTTTTCGAGTAGAAGGACATCCGGCTGTTGATCCAATAGTGGTAGCAAGGTTAACTCCTGCGGAGTTTCCACCTGATTGTGTATCGAGCTGCCTTCCAAATATGGCTCGAGTCGAAATTGATCCCCAGAATCCCTCTTCCCTTTTCGCCATCGGCTCGTAGTTGTTGATCGGGTTATTCATTGTGTTAAAGTTAAGTCCATCTGCTGAACATGAAGGGCCCTCCCGAGCGCTTCTTCTCAAATCCGGGTGCATGAGTCCTTCATTATCTTCGGTATAGCCAGTTCCAATATCAGAATCCCTCCACACAACCATATATTCTTTTCCTTCTTCCGGTAACGATGGATCCAATGCATGCCTCGTGGACATAAAGCTCGTCTTCGTCTGGATATGGTGATGATCTCCATCCAATCTAAATGCTCCTTCGAACAGAGGTTCATCGCCGTCCTTTTTCACTATTATCCTCGCCCATCCCACGTTCGTCCAATCCGCGCCATCATAATGCTGTAGCCATGTCGACCCCTTGAATACCCGATGCGCCGACCTGTCGATAGTTTCTGAAGTCCTTACAGTTCCATCGGCAGCTAAATGTGTAATCGTGGCTCCATCCGCAATAACATCGTGATTAGGTTGCAGCGACAGCTTTACTCGTTGTTGTCCCCCATGTAATCCAAACTCGACATCAAAACTCGACAAGGCATGTACTCGATGCGACGGAGTTCTAATCACTGGAGTCTCGACATATGAAATATATGTTAAAGGGTTCCTTTCATTAGAGTGTGCTTTAAGGTTAATTCATTAGCCTTTGATTATCTCCATATTTTAAGGCTGTTGGCTGGTCGGGAGAAGTTGCCATATTTTTTGTTTGTACTTGAGATTCCAACTGATATCCATGTGTGAGAGATTTGACATACCATTTATTGAATTTGAGAATAAAGTCGCAAGTACGACAATACTCCTCAATATGTACATGATCTGTAGTTGTGTACAATTGTTGATCTGTTGTCCTCACAATCGTTCGTTGCAACGGACTGGGGCACAGCCTGATGAGAGCACCACCAGCTCCTCTCGTATCGCAAAGTACCGAAGTAAAAGAATGTTGTACCCTTGATTATCTCATGCGCAACTCGTAGTTGTGGAAAGTCTCGGAAATGTGCAAAGTATTATATTCTTCTTTATTGCGAACAGGGTTGAAATCAAAAAACGAGCGACTCGAATTATTATCGTACAATAAGTCTAAAGAACGAGGTGGTGGTGGTGGTGATGTGATGAGGTTTTTCGTAGGAATCGCGTGAATGTAAATTGAATGTGAATGTTTGTAATAATAAGTGAGTTAGAAAAGGTTAATGATTGCCTGGTAACCTTTTCCGCAATTGAACTAGTCGATGGGAGTTTGGACTGATCTACTCTGTCAGACTGCAATGAATTGGTCGGTAGGTGGTATTTAATACAATCCTTCTCGTAGGATAAATTGTCACTTGTAATAAATATACTCCTTCCCTTTCTTATGGTTGATTGTATTGATTACCCGGTTGATGGAGACGAAAGGACTATTCAAATATCGTTTCAGCCCCCTCAAATACTCGAAATACACGAACACAAAGACTTCTCCTTCTCGTCTTGCCTTCTATCGTTGTCGTTCGGTATATTCTCGATGATGTATATTAAAATGATATCGTGACTCGAGTTTCTGGTGTCCAATTCGACTCTGCAAGTGTTTGAGCGAAAGTGACTGTTGGTTATAGGTACTGGTTATGCGTCCCGTCGTTGGCCAAAAAATACAATGAATGGAATCAAACCGTGGCTGAGCTTTTGTTTACATATATTTGGGATACTGGAAGACCGGCAAACTAATACGATGGATACGAACAGATGCAGAAGAAAAGAATAACGAATTAAGGAAATAAAATGTCTTGGGATGCAGCCAAATTTGGAACTAATTTCTCTTGGCTTAATATCATTATTATCAATTCATCATCAATCAACCAGTTCATCCATTATAATCTTCTGCTTCTTCTTGTTCTTCTTCTTTTAGTCCTGCAGCTTGTCCTTCCTGAGGTTTCTTCTTTAAACCCGAAATCTTCGACCGATGGATGAACTTTATCTTTTCGATCTGGAGATTCTAGATGGTGGCAATACCAACCATGTGGCGGAGTGATGCACCTCTTGTGGCCTCTTTCTGACCTTGACCTTGGCCTTGACTCGAATCAAAGAAAAGCGTTCTATTGCATCGTAATTCGTTGCCCCTCCCCTCTTCTACATCGTACATTCTTTCAAGAAGGATTCAAACGAACCTGGGGTAACCTATCACATCGCTTCATAGCCAACAATCCCAGCATCATCATCCCAATCCATCCATCCATCTCCGTCTTCCTCTCAACCAATAAAGTTCTTGCATATCATCATAAGGTAGGACTCGGAAGAAGATGAGATGACATGAAATAAACAAACTGGGACTATTGAAGATTCATCTGCTCTGTACCTAGTCCCACAAAGGTATCCATAATGATTTGCTAGCTGTCAAAACTACATGGAACTATACTCGTTACGATCAATATCAACATGACATTCCTGACGATCATGATCACGTGCCACTCTTCATTGTCTCTGGAATGTATTTGCTACAAGAGATCTGTCGAGGATATTTAAAGACGAATTGAACACTAGACGTGAGATTTCAAATCGACATGTACATACATCCCGGCCGAACAGAACGCCTAGCTCCCATCTCCCCCAAACACAACATCATCAAATCATCAAACTATCTACCCATCTAAACTACCGTTCCCCATCTCCCATTACCATCCCCTACTCCCCCATATCACACCATCCAAACCTCACCCCCCTCACCCATCCACGTCCACGCAATCCCCTCCACCACATTAACCACCACCACCACCAGTTTGAGGCTATGCCATGCTATACTACACTATCCACGATATCCGTAGCCCCCTCCCCTCCGAGCCTATCCCGATTCCCGACAATCCCGTAGCACGCACATTTCTCATCTCACCCAAACAGCCCCAATAAGTGACGAGTCCATCATACCCTCGCCCCCTAACCCAACCATACCAAGATAAGATGCCCATTGCGCCATCGCGCTCTCAAACGGTACATACCCATTACAAACCCTCCCCCCTCACCCCCACCAACCATCATACCAAGACACCAGCCCTTCCATCTCTCATCCGCAATCCGCAATCCATCTCCAACAAATTCATCATCTTCAGCTTCTCCAACGAGGCTGTGCAACATCTTAACAAAGGAGATAGGAGGTACACATCCCAACCCATCAAATCATCGCCAGCCAAGCCCGTCAGAGTGGACACGCCAAGTTCACCATGCCAAGTCCCCTTCCGTTTCGGCATATGTGTTCCGGCCGCAGTTGATCAAGTCTTACCAATCCATCTCACCTAATCTCCAATCTTGAATCTCGAATCTCAAAAGCCGATTCGGGTTTCATGTCATACATGTTACAGGTGTTATATATATATATACACACAAGCACTCCGAGTAAGCAAAGCGTAGAAGGGTATTAATGGAACTATCATATAAAAAGATTCTTGATTCATCATACTCAACTAAATACCAATCAAATAAAAGCGACCTAACCCCCTGATATTCCCTCAAGACCAACCGAAACCGAAGTTCATCACCAGTCCTCCAATATTGCTAACAGACTTCTTTGAGTCAAGTCCAATGACTGTAAAGAAAAGATAAACTAGCATGACATAATCTGCATGCATTAAAAACGATAAACAACATAGAACTCCTCTCTCCCATCATTAGAATATCCAATGTATTTCTTTTCATTACTCTACTTCTTTCTTGCGCTGTGAACTGTATCGATGATTTTCTCGACTACACTTGGGTCGGAGAGCTACATATCGATGTTAGCACTGATACTATTAATCGAAGGGAGGATTGTCAAACATACCGTAGAAATATCACCCAATTGATCCTCTTCACCCGCTAGAATCTTTCTCAAAATTCTACGCATAATCTTACCACTTCTAGTCTTTGGTAAATCTGGAACGACAAATACTGCCTTTGGAGCTGCGAATGGACCGATACTCTTTCGGACTTGTAAGATGAGATCTTTCTTCAATTGGTCGTCGACCTCATGACCGTCCTTAATAGCGACGAAAGCGTTGACTGCTTGTCCGGTAAGCTCATCGTTGATACCAACAACGGCAGCTTCAGCAACGGCATGGTGTTCAATCAAAGCAGCTTCGATTTCAGCAGTAGAGAGACGGTGACCGCTGACATTGACAACATCGTCAACACGACCTCGAATCCAGTAGTAACCTTCGTGATCACGTCCTGCCCCATCACCGGTGAACTGTATCATGTCAGTAAGCTGCAAAGAAAGATTGGAGAGTGAAACCTACGTAGTATCCCTTGTAGACGTTCAAATAGGTGTCCATATATCTCTTGTGTGCACCCCAAACGGTACGAGCCATACTGGGCCATGGTTGCTTGAAAGCCAGTACACCCTCGACATCATTTCCGTGAATTTCTTCTCCGGAGACAGGGTCGATAATCGCAGGCTCAATACCAAAAAATGGGAGCGATGCACTACCAGGCTTAGTAGGAGTGACACCTGCGAGAGGAGTAATAACGTGGGAACCAGTCTCAGTTTGCCAGTAGGTCTACAATAATGTCAGCATTGATTTCAATGACCAGATCAAGATGGACTTACGTCAACAACGTGAGCTTCTTCCTTTCCAACAATCTCAAAATACCACTTCCAGACCTCGGCAGCAATTGGTTCACCAACTGATCCCAAAACTCTCAAGTGCTTCATCTGTGCCTTGACATGTTGATCACCGGCACGCTTCAATAATCTGAGTGCTGTAGGCGCTACATAGAATTGTGTGACCTCGTGCTTCTCAATGACATCCCAATATCTGGAGAAATCTGGGTATGCTGGAGTTCCTTCGAACACAACAGTCGCAACACCAAGAAGAAGAGGGGCGTAAACTACATATGTGTGACCAGTAATCCATCCGACATCACCACCACAGAAGAATTTATCTGAGTCGTGGATATCGAAAACATACTTTCCAGTAGCTGCCGCACCTAAAAGATACCCAGCTGTTGAGTGCATAACACCCTTGGGTTTTCCAGTTGATCCAGAAGTGTAGAGTAAGAACAATGGATCCTCGGAGTTCATTGGCTCTGGAGCAATGTAAGATGGCCATTTCTCGACCTCCTCATGCCACCACCAATCACGTCCTTTGGTCATTGGAACATCCGCACCGGTACGTCTGTAAACCAGGCAGTGTGTGACATCGGGACATTGTTTCAGTGCATCATCCACAATCTTCTTTGTGCCAATGAGTTTTCCACCACGCTTGCCTTCATCGGAAGTAATAACAACTTTCGATTGAGCATCAATAACTCTATCCCTGAGAGAATCGGACGAGAAACCAGCAAAGACTACGGAGTGAACTGCACCGATACGTGAACAAGCCAAGAAAGCAATAACAGCTTCTGGAATCATAGGCAAATAGATCGCAACAGTATCTCCTTTCTTGACACCCATTTGTTTGAGAACATACGCGGTTTTGCAAACTTCTCGCAGAAGTTCAGCATATGTAAGGGTGCGACCATCGCTAGCCTCATCGGCTTCGTAGATGATAGCTGGCTTGTCTGGGTTCTTGATCGCATGACGATCAACACAATTGTATGAAGCGTTTAGTTGACCCTCCAAGAACCAAGCATTGTCACCGCCAACGAATGATCCGCTGTGTACAGTCTCGAAATCCTTTTGCCAGGTGAGAAGTTCACGGGCCATTCTTCCCCAGAACTTGTTGGGCTCTTTAATCGATTCATCGTAGAGTTTCTTGTATTCGTCGAGTCCTATTGCTATCAGTTTCCATGATTTTTGCCAAGAGGGGATTATGAATCTTACCGCTCAAATGGGGTTTGCTTGGATGCTCTACATAACATTGTTAGTATTTCACAATTGTTAACCGGCATGCGACCTCTCGTGGGTCTGAGGATTGAGAGCTTACTGTCAAACATCTTTTGCGGGGGATCTGTAGGACGATGGGTCAGTAAATGCACATTCGGCACGGATAGCTTGGGTTCTTGACTCACGGAAAGTGTCGACATCATGAGCTTCTGCTACTACTGGAGTAGACGGCTTTACCTTTCCTTCAGACATTGCTATATTTCTGATATTGTGGTATTGTGAATTGATTGAGACGTGAAAGATGGAGTGAAGGTCGACGCCGCGAGCTTGGTATTTACGAGCTTGGTATTTACTTAGTGTCACCGCAATGCGGGGTCGTGGAAGTATAGCGTCGCTCCTTTCTTTGTGCGCCAATAATCGGTGACGAAATTCAAATGCGTGATCAGTCGGAATGCGTAATGATTATTGCTTGAGGAGAGTGAATAAGAAGAAGATTTAATCAAGTGAGATTACAATCATGAAGAAGAAGTATAAGGAAGGGAGTAAAAATGAGAATGGAAGATAATGGGAAAGGAATCAGCTGGGTCTTTAGCTGTAGTAGAATTCGGGGCAATGGACTTGTGTCGCTCCAACATGCAACACCCAAGGTAGTTTGTGTTGATTTACCCCGGTTAATGAACTTATGTCCTAGTATTCTTTTCCCTTTTCCCTTCTTCGTGATTGGTTTCTTCAAACTCTTTAATGCTGCTAATTACGATATACTTAATCCTTATTGTTTCTTAACAAGTTACAACTCCTTTCCACCGAGTCGCTAGCCTGCTATGTGCGAAGCGAATACACTCCGGCGGCTCCAAATACCAATTTTGAACTAATTCACATAACATTTTTCGGGATTCCCTCCCCTTTGCAAGGCATAGCTTGCTAGGGATGTGTGTGGGGTTAGGTGCATAAGCTTTGCATTTGTTGTAGGGAAAGAATTCAAATAATTGCAGATCTTGTGACAATCATGGCTGCTCAAGGTCTATTTCCATCGCTCGGGGTTGTAGACGAGGGATTGATGCATCTAGAGTGCTTCTAATACACTATTTCCTCTTATTTGAAATCTTCCACTATCTCAACCTCAAGGAGACCCATCTTCGCTCTAGTATGTCAGATATACTTGATTGTTCCTGGTGCCATCGAACGTCGAACATCGAACATCAATCCCCACATAATCCTTCTTACTCAGGTCTATCATACCGGTCTCATGTCTCCAGTATCCAATTGAATTGAATTGAAAACGATATCCGTGTTGCCGCAATTCCCAACGGAAAGGAATTTCCACTTATCACCAGCTTAGTAAAGGAGAGACTCTCAGCGGTCTCCAACTGGAAGCTCTCAAGCTTTGTAGTGGAGTTGAAAAAGTGGAACAATATTGAGAAAGATATTCCCCTCGGTCCCTCCAAATCTCAAGGGGTGGTCTAAACTCGCTGAGTTGCGATGCCGGCGTCGGCTTCGGTTGAGTAGCACAATTAGTATGTTCTCTGAGTTCTCACAACCGAGTTTATCCAGTCTCTTACCTAGGTAGTCAAGAAAGTCACTTCGGACCAACTGAAGTCTGCTCATTTAAATGACTGGCAACTGCTCCCACAACAGAAATCATATATCATATACAGAGAGGCCCCTCTATCGACTTCAAGCACGCAGCGCCAAGACATATGTTCCGACAGGGGGGTTCAGAAGGTCAGCATTCTGATTCGAATCCAAGGATACAACATCACCGACCTACATGCACTTACTGTACCGTTATACGCTTTCTGCATAGTACCGTCCACTGTAGCATTCGAACATACGCTGTATCACGAATTACCAAACTCTTGGTACCCAATTTAACCAATCTTACCAAGAAGCCTGTTCCAGAACCAACGGCTCGAGTATCCCATTAGGAACCTCGACATATGATCCCTTGCTGTGATACACGACAGCTTCTCTATTCAGAACCAACTTGCTTTATCAAATATGGTCTTTTCCAATACTACTCTACTATCCTACGATTCATTAAGGTTATAATTATACTACCACATAAATGAAATAGCTTGCATGCTACCTCACCAATGCCGCAATCACGACGGCAACTACGCCGTGATCAACGGATCGACTAGTTCCACGGAGACTAAAAACCATTTTGCTTAGACAATCTTACGTTACCCCAAGAAACCCAAGAGGTTCCACCACACATCGAAGACTTTCTGGACACTTTTCTTACATTGGGCAGGTAAGCACCCCTCCGACCGGATACCTCCTTCACCAGTTACACAACATGGGGGCCTGACCCCTCATTCCCTCGTCTATCCTAGCACCATACCACGTGGATAAGTAGGAAATTCGTCCATGTCCATATACCAAACTGCTAGGTATGTCTGCGCATCCTTCGGCTTGAGCGATACCTTTGTTCACCTTTGTTCTATCGTAATTGCCATCTAGCTATGAGATCGCATTCTCGCTTCTTCGCCACTATCCAAACACTATTCTGCTATAGGAAACGGAGTTAGAGATCCGCGATGGAGATTCGGAGAGGATGCCTGATTGATGTCGTTTAGTGGTGAGTAACAGGTGGATGATTGATACATCATACAAACATATATACAAAGTAAATCATTGATTTCTATCCTTAACTAATTTCAACCGAATACCATAGAAGTCTGAACGAAACCCCCATAGATAGTTCTAGTAAATGCCCTCCCCCTTCCCTCCCTTCCTCTCTCACGCCACTTTCTCTCTATCAACCACCAATCTCGTTCCCCGCTCCATAACCCATTTTTCTCCTTGTATCCTCCGTCTCCTCCTTATTCTCTCCACCCCCAACCCCCATGCTATATCCCACCGTCTCCCCTCCAAACCCATGCTCACTAATCGCCTCTCCATACCTAATATTCTCCGCCGTTCGCTCGCCACGCGCTTTGTGTTCTGCGGCTTTTTGGAGAGTGGCTTCGGAGGGCCCTGTCGAGTCTGTTCGTCAGGGTTAGATACTATTTGATGTTTGGAAGATAGGCGGAGGGACACAGGAAGAAAACGAGTGGACATGAGAATATGAAGAAAGGGGAGAGGAAAAATGAATAATTACCTCCAAAGGTCCCCTGGTCTTTAGCAGGCGACTGCGTAAATATATTTTGAGATTCATATCTAATCCCATTGCATCAGTATATCATCACTCCAGAGCATCTCTCGATAGCTCAATACTACCTCAGGGTCAAGATATGGAAAGCAACTTACTGTGTGTTCTCGCCTCCCCTCTCCGTGTCCATCAATTTCGTATGCGTAGCTTCCGTCATTTTGATTGTTTGCTTGCTTGTTGTTATGTGTTCTAAGGAGTTCTTGTTCTTTGTGTGGATGAGGATATTCTTGACTCTTTCTCTTAACAAAATGGTTTCATTCGAATGTAATATATAGATGTTGTGTTTCTTATTTGCTTGTTTGCTAGCTAGTCGATTATTTGATGCAGATCAATAATAATGACGTATGCGGGGGTTGAAGCTTGGGTATGTATCAGAGCTCTGGCCTTCACGAAAAATGTAAATAACGCCCGGTGAGTATCATCTGCGATCTGGCTTAGGTTTTTTGGAAGGTCCCGGTGCGCTTTAGTTGATATTGAGCTATTCCTGATGAGCCCCAAGTTTTGAACTTACCGGAAAAGGTAAGGTATCATACCAAAGCTCCTGGAGTATGTACAGTGGTATCCCAATGGACAAACTTCAGATATATAAAGATTGAAGCACGAACTTCTGTGATTGCTCGAGTCTATGTGCTAAATGCAAATTGAGGAGGCTTCTTTTGGGTATCGTAATAGACTTATTATACAAGGAACAGCTATACATATTTTAGACTTCCTTCTCTATCATCGGTCATCTTAACTCTACACCTAGTTTCCCAGCCAATTCCTTTTTGACCTCTTCATGCATTTTATTCGTCTCTTCGTTCGTTAGAGTTCTCAACAAACTCCTATAATTAATCCTATAGCACATGCTCTTGCGGCCAGTTTTCGGATGTGTAAATTCATCTACCTTTTTGACATCCTCCACTCTGTCTCCTCCTATATCCCTAACAATCTCCATGAAATCATTCTCATGGAAATCGTGCGCATTGGCCGCATTACCACCTCCTGCCGAAGAGGATGATCGTAACCAAAAGGAAACATCTTTGTAGCATGCGGGATGTTTCGAGAATGGAATATATCTCCTCAAATTCTCTAGGTTCTCCGAAACTCCTTTGAACTGACTTAGAAACCTCTCATCTTTGGACCAAAACAGTCTAATATCTGGAATTTCGAAAAGTAACATGGCGATTCTTTCCAAACCTATACCGAACGCCCATCCTAATTGATCTGGCACACCTGCATTCTGCATGATATCCTGCTTAACAACACCACATCCAAGCACTTCTAACCAATCCCCTTGCCAAAAGATTTCTAGCTCCCAGGATGGACTTGTGAACGGGAAATAAGCTTCTATCCACCTTACTTTTAATGGCTCATCGATGAAATTGGGATCTGCTTTTATGGCTGCTTGCTTTGCGCGAGAAAATATCTCTGCCACCATCAACTCCAAACTCTTCTTGAGATGTGCCGCAATAGCTTCAGCTTCCGCTTCGGTATGCTCTCCTTGTAATGGATTTCTCTCCGCGTGAAAAGGTGGATTTGGATCTTCGACTTTCATATCATGCTTGGGGAGAGCATCGATATCTTTCCATATAGCAGCTGCGATGTCTCCTTTAGGAACCTTGGCTCTGTCCCACATCCTTGCCCCTTCCATTTGGTGGAAAATAGGATAATGGCTTCGATCGATTGCATCTCTGCGGTATACGTCTGCACTAATAAGGAAACCTTCACTCTGGTTACTGCGAAATACATCTGCTTGGTGGGCACTTGTATGAGTTCGTAATACCGTTTCCTTATTGATATAGTATGTATCCGTCTTACTTCGCCCAGGATGATCCGATGGGAACCCCAGAGAATCAAAATTTTGATGCGTAGATACGACGGGGAAGAATGTATTATGGTACTTGTAGGTAGGTGAGGGGAATCTTGATTCGATTATTGAGCGAGTTATGGAAATAGGATGATCTAAGGTTGTATGTAGACTTCGAGAGAGGGAATCAGTAATCGATTGTGGCACATTGTACCACTCATCTTTTTTATATTCTTTAGATGTAATGGGATCCGAAGCATTCGTAGCCTTAGACGAAAGATCTATTTGAAATGTATTAGTGGCGCTTCGTGAATTGAGGGGTTGTATGTAAACACACCTGCCACTGAAGAATTATATCGACATTGTCCACAGACTCTCACATTCCTTGTAGCATTATTCCTCAGCCCAATGAAGGCTTTCAAGACCTCATTGCCCCTCGAGAATGAGGCCTTATTTGTTGTAAGAAGTCTCATGGTTATGAGCTTCGAATCCAATAATTTTATCTTATGGGAAAAGAGCTATGAAATGCTGAACTTCCGGAATATCCCTGACGAACCTACCAAGAGGCGGCCGCTTGTTCCGACCCGAAGATATGACGAAAGGGCTGATTGAGAAAAGCCCATGCACACGACCTTCTTCATCTGGAGAAGAGAAATCTTGGAACTTCAATATCCATGGATCAGATAGGATACAAATCTTCGGACGCCCCTCTCTCTTATCTCCTGCATATCGATTTGTACATACAAAATTACAGAAATACAGAAATACAAAAACACAAAATATATCTTCAGTTACCATCAACAGTGACGGGTGAAAATCACCAATTGCATCAAGCACCAAGCTATATTCACAAGCCAAAAAAAAAAATATCTCCTATTCTAACTCGCACCTAACATTAGCAATCAGCCTTAACCTTCCCCATTTTTCTTTCTGTTTACCATTTTTTATCTATCCACTTTTCCTTACGGTCTCTTTCCTCCGCTGATTGCTGAGCCAATTGCATATATTTCGTTCAATCTCCTCTCTCATTCTTCAATTCCTGTGTTTTCCCTTGCGGGATCGGAATGAACCTCGAGAAGAAAGATTCGGAACCAGTGGAACAATGTCGAGCGGAAAGCAAAGTGTGGGAGAGGTAGTGAAAGCGGAGGTTAAAGTAACTGCTGTAAAGTACCCGTTTTGGTTTGGAGGCAGTGCAAGTTGTTTTGCGGCTTGTGTTACTCATCCATTGGATCTTGGTATGTGAAGTCTTTCTCGGTATGGGAAGTCGTACTGTATGTGCGAACATGTTCTAATTATGATATAGTTAAGGTATAACTCCTGTCGCATGAATGCGCAAAAGCCGATTTTTCTCCATTTGCCAATACTGAACATACTGCCATTACTAGGTCCGATTACAGACTCGATCTGGCAATGCGCCCAATACTATGGTTGGCACATTCGTGCATGTTTTAAAGCACAATGGTGTTGTTGGACTTTATTCGGGGCTTAGCGCTTCCCTTCTGCGCCAAATAACATATAGTACTACTCGATTTGGCATTTACGAAAAGCTCAAGACGAACCTCACATCAGGAAACAAACCTCCCTCCTTCCCCATTCTTATCGCCATGGCCTCCACTTCAGGTTTCATTGGTGGAATCGTAGGAAACCCAGCCGATGTTTTGAATGTGCGCATGCAGCACGATGCTGCATTACCAGTCGAGCAGAGAAGAAACTATAAGAATGCCGTGGATGGATTAATACGCATGACAAAAGAAGAAGGGTGGAAAAGTTTGTACCGCGGAGTATGGCCGAACAGTATGCGAGCTGTCTTAATGACTGCTTCTCAATTGGCCTCTTACGACAGCTTCAAACAGCTACTCATTCGGCATACACCGATGGAAGATGGGCTCTCGACACATTTCACTGCTTCTTTAATGGCGGGTTTCGTGGCTACCACGGTTTGCAGCCCAGTAGATGTTATCAAGACAAGAATTATGAGTAGTCATGAAAGTAAGGGATTAGCGAGACTCTTGACGGATGTATATAAGGTAGAAGGCGTTGGATGGATGTTTAGGGGCTGGGTGCCGAGTTTTATTCGCTTGGGTGAGTTCCAGTTGCTACTCCCTGCCAAAACTTTATTTCAAATGGAAAAAGACAAAAGGGACAGGAAAGAGGTGTGGGCGCTAATCAAGAAATTGTAGGACCACAAACCATCGCAACATTCCTCTTCCTCGAACAACATAAGAAGATATATCGATCTCTAAAAGGAATCGCAGAGCCCGAAGCCGCAATTGTTTAAATGAACTTTTCACAGGAGGTTCTTCCTGAAAGAAGAACCACAAATTTACCTAGTCCAATGTTGGACGTTGACTTGTACAGCAGCGGTAATGAAGGGGCTCTTCTCAAGCTCTTGAATACGGGCCTGTCTCACTAACCCACCCACCCTTGAAAAAATGGCTGAGGAATCAACCCAATCCTCACAATCTCACATCACGAAACCCCTAGATAGACAAACTTCTATTCTTTCTTCAGCGCCTTTATACATATCCACCGAACCTACATACCTTCCTCAGTACATACACCTACCTAGACATAGATTCTCACGGACAACCTTTTCGGCGTTGGTGGATAGCGATATGCGTACACATAGACGGCTTTATAGACCGGATTGGATACAATAGACTCATGGCTCCTCATAGAATAGATTCTAGATTTAATGCACACGTGCATACTTAATGAATGACGTCCAAACTTTTCCTCCCGTTCTGCTTTTGATCTATCCAGACGTATAACGTAATGTGTTTTGCATGTTTTATTGAAGAAATGTAGAATTGAAGAGGGGGCAGAGATTGAAGTTGCAGTAAGATTCTGTTAGGGATATTGAATGATTTAAAGCGTACTGATTGATCTCCACACGTTATACCGGAACCATATAGATGGGAATACCCTCCGTATCCTCGACAATGACGACTTTCAAAGTAGAAGTGGCACTATCAATCAGTATAGAACTTCAACTACGCATTCCTATGAAGCCAGCCTTCCTAAAAACAAGAAATCCAATAAAATTCAAACTGAAAGGACAGTCAGAAACCTCGCCAATAAACGTGATGACAGGAAAGCAGGGAATCTGCATATCAGAGTCTTTAAGTATCTCATCAGTGAATAAAACGAAGTACCGATGGAATTAAAGGTTCAACGTGACAGCGACGAGAGATAGTAATTATACAGATGAACAAGTTTTATCTTGGCATATTGGGGAGGGAATACTATCAGCTTCTCGATTGACATATGGAAATTCTCCAGAGGATCGGAAAGTCTGGTAAAAGCTCCTTAGTCAAATGCGAATGCTTGAAATCTTCTGACACTTGTCGAGAGGAGAAAGCGTTGTTCACAACGTTGTTCATCATGCAGAAGATAACGTTTCATGTGGAACCTTTGGCGTTCATATTAGTGGTTTCTATGAGGCATTACCTAATTGATATTGTAAAATTGATCGTTCCATCAAGTAAACGTTTCCCTTAGACCTATACCGGCATCACTCCTGTGAGCTAATGTTGCCTCTGAATTTGCGGCCAAACGCTGAGAAGAATGAGACCATTCATAACAGCTACTCCGCGATCTCGTGATCTATCCAACCGTTTTCCCAGCTACCATCACGTCCCAGCTACCATTACATCCCAGCTAACGTGTAAGATACCTGCCCTGGAAGACAAAATACGGGTTCGCGTTGATATCGAGATTTGCTATATTACAGACGAAGTGCTAATTGAGATTCCCATGCATGCATTTCAATTTATTTGTCCTGAATCATATGAGGTCAGTTCTGTATACTAATGAAAGCTTCGACTGATTGGCGCAAATATCTCTAGTCAGAAACTACACTCGCAGCAGCCTTACCCTTCGAAGTTGAGCCCGAACTTGTTTCAGCATCAGCCAGATCACGCTTTTTGGCTAGTTTCTTAAGTTGAGCTAGGCGATATTCCGCAGCTTCCTTTTCTTGGGCTGGGGTTTCTGGTCGACCAGACAAGCGCTGAAGAAAGTATAGACGTGTGGAGGGGATGGACTAGATGGGGTGGAAATTAGAGAGATGGTACCGACTGGGGATAGAGTACGCACATCGTTGCGGGCTGCTGCGTGCATCATTAATAGTTCTGGGTTATCGAGCACGGCTACGGCTTCTCTTCGTATTTGTACACTAATATACGATTCGTTCCCGAATCTGAAATGCGGGTTTCATGTTAGGACTAGTCAACTTATCATCCACTTTCCATGTAGTATCCATATCTTCTGTACCCAAGCTCTCTTTTCTCCCCATCAAGAAAATCCATCAAGAAATGCTCCCGAAGATGGCAAGAACATGAAATTCACGTACAAATCATAACTTGCTCCTGTCAAATCCTCATCCGAAGATTCATCATCATAGTTGTCATCATCGGGTTCTTTATTCCTAGCTTGCTGATCTTGTTTTAGAAGTGTGTAACTGGAGGATTTGGACTTCGAATTAGAAGCGCGAGCGTTCTTATTTGCGCTATCAGGCCTTGAGGAAGATGTGGAGCGGGAGGGAGTGTTGGTGGAGATACTAAATGGGGAGTCCATGGTAGGCAAGTTGCGTAGATTGATTGAACAATGATATGGACTGAGCTTATTAGAATATGGTAGCAGTTGTGAAAGGAATGTTGAAGGTGAAAGGTATGACTGATAATTGTATATCACGCTCTTTGAAAGTTTCTGGATTGATGATGATTTGCAAAGGAAGAGGTGGGGTGATATCGACAGGGTGTGCCAGGACTATGCGCTACACTATGGTGGGTAAGGCGCTGAAATGACTAAGCTTGTATTGTCACAGTAGCGCTTTAATGTTGACCGTAATCAGACGACATCTCTCTGAGCAACGGCAATGTTCGATGACAGCTTTGACAGCGAATTCTTCAAAATTCACATGACGGTGATGTAGTTAGTGGAGAGAAAAGGTAGCTTTCAAACGAAGCAAAATACGATGATGTTCGTGCGAGCTAAATTCTTATTGAACTATCCAGAAATTCTGATGACCCGGGAGGGATTACAGCAGGTGAAGGAGTGGTATCTACTTCACCGAAACTTTGCTCCAGCATGTTTGGGCTGTACTTGCGAATTGCATATCCTTTTGATTGAAATGTTCCCATAAGCTGCTGCTCAGTCTTTTGCCTTTTCTTTCCTTTCACGCCTGCTCTTGATCAAGAAATCATGGGAGACTCACAACGCTTATGCCCCAGCAGAAGTAAATCGATGCTCTGTGGCAATTATTCCTTCCTCAACTACGATTCATTCATGCCCCCAATTAGGTAGTCCTATACATGAAACTTAGCATTCCTTCCCATCACCACTTCTTGCGTTTGCAGCGAAGAACATCAAGTGGTTATTTTAACTGCATGGCACTGTGAGGTCACCTCACAAGATTATCGGTGCATGACCGTATCAGTAGATCTGGTATTGGCGAAGCTTGGAATTAGCTCAA